GATTGCCACTCAATGTCTCTTTTGCAAACCACAACACCCAAAAGGAGAGAACGAACAGTGGGAAATGCCCTACCACAGAGGCACGGTGGGATGGGGGGATGGGGGGTGGGAGGGATACTAGGAGCCATGGCACTGGTGGAGGGATGGGTACTTGATCACTGTATAATTGAAACCCAAGCACAAAATTTGTAAGTCTACAACTGTACCTCATGGTGTCTCACTAATAAAAGAAAAACATTAAAAAATAATTACTTAAAATTTTGCTTTGTGTATATGTGTAGGGAGGAGTATTCCTCTGAATGAACTCAGGACTTGCAGAGGTGCAAAAGCATGTGCTGTACTCCTGAGCTATGTCCCCAGACCTAAATTCTGCTTTTCAGCTTTAAAATTAACACGGGGGCCGGAATGATATTACCATGGTTAGGGCATTTACCTTGCATTCGGGCAACCTGGGTTCGATTTCTAGCACCACACATGGCCCCCAGAGTACCTCCAGGAGTGGCCCCTGAGAGCAGAGCCAGGATTATACCCTGAGCACCACAGGATGTGGCCCCTCCCCAAAATAAATAGATGAAAATAAATTTGGGCAAAAATTAACATTTAATTAATAAGCATGATTTTAGACAACATACTCAGAATAGGTATGACCAGGCTTGAAGAGGATAGTTCTGGCAGAGATTTATAAAGTATTTCCGTTTTCCACGTTGAACAACTTCCTCCTAATTTGTGTCAAGCCATCTTTCTTGCTTCATGGACCCTTATCACCAAGTACTGTTTGGTTCAGTGGCAAAGAGTATGTTTCTAGAGTTGGGATTCTTTTCTGTGATTTCATTAGGACGGTAGTAAAAAGTGAGGACTGAAGATTGTTCTCAGTTCAGTTTATCCACTAGTGTCAGACTCTTGGCATGAGATTATTTGTTTTGTTTTTCTTATTTTTTTTTGTCTTCATAGTTGTTAGATGCTATTTTGAGTTAGATATAATCCTAAAAATCTAATTGGATCTAATTATATATAATACTATGTCTAAAGATGCTTGGTAAATTCTAACAATGGCTGCACCTTAAAGGGTTGGGGTAGAATAAGATGTTTATCTTTACATATCTGTGCTTTGAACATTATTTCTATTGCTACTGCTTTATTTCCTTTATAATTAGTACATGTACCCATATATTAGCTAATCTTCATTCTTAAGGTATTTTCTCTGAAACAAAAATCACAAATCATCCTGTTATTCGTCGATTGCCTTGAGCAGGCCCCAGTAATGTCTCCTTCATCCTAGTCCTGATATTATATTCAAGGCTCTTTAGGAGAATGAGATCCATTTTTATGGGTCTCATTCATAAAAATGGGTCTCATTCTCATTTTCTCTGAAGAGGATGGAAAATGGATTTCACAGTTTAAATTTGACCTGGGGCTGGACAGACAGTACAGTGGGTAGGACATTTGCCATGTATGTGTCAATCTGAGTTCAACCTCTGCCATACCCCAGAGCCTGCCAGGAGTGATCCCTGAATGCAGATCCAGGAGTAAGACCAATATTGAGGAGTGGTGAAAAAAAAAATCCAAGATTGAGATCATTTGCTTAAAAGATTTTACTTCATAACCTCCTGTGGTGAACTTTATTTTTCATAAATTTTTACATAGTACAAAGAAATCTCATACAAATTCAAAGGAGAATAAACAAAATAGGAAAGAAATTGGCTTATAAAACAAAGTTCAAAAAGAATTTGTAAAAAGAAGTTAGGTAAAATTATTATTTGTGCATAAAATCTGTATCTGAAAAACATGACTCACTGAAAACTATGGGTATAAAATATTTGTACAAAATACAAAATTATTTGTAGAAAATAAATATACAGAAACAGATTTCTTTTTTATACGAAGTAAGTAATCATTTAAAACTGTGATGTTAGGGGCTGGAGAGATAGTACAGTGGGTAGTGCACTTGTCTTGCGGACAGCCAACCCTGGTTCCATCCTCAGCATCCCATATGGTCCCCCCTGAGCACTGCCAAGAGTCACTGAGCATAGCCAGGTGCGGTTCAAAAAACAAAAACCAAAGCAAAGATAAACAAACAAAAACACCCCCCCAAAAAAACCCCAAAAACTCTTATTTTAAGTGAAAGGACATAGATTGAAAGCAGGGCTTTCAATGACATTTCTCTTAGTGTTAACTGGAATTTTCCCCCTCATCAACATCTAAACAGAATATTAAAGAATCTGCTGTGTAATAATGGACAGGCAGAGATATAATGGAAGGAAGAGCCACTTAAAATAGCACCACTAAAAGCAAATAAATCACCAAGAGGGGACTAACAAGTACAACAGGGTCCCCCCAGAGTTCCTCAGAAGTTAGAATTCAGTTTGTGTGTAAAAGGGCCTGGGGTTATACCAGCTCCTCACTTTCCAAAAGTCTCTGACTGATCTGAAGAGAGATTACTAACAAGAGATGTTGAAGCTACATGCAGAAAAGATGAGCACGTATCTTCTATATGCCTTAGAACTACTAAGTTTAGAAGAATTCCATGCTTCCGAAATTAGATAATAAATTTACTATTTTTTAAGAACAATAAAGTTTTCATCTTTGGAGCATCATTCTAAATATGTATTAGAAAAACAAGTTAACATGGTTTGGCCAGATTTTTTGGTTGACTATCACATTACTAAAATCGAATGGTGTAGTGCAAAATAATAAATGTTCTGAGGGCCAGAGAGATAGTAGAGAGATACGAAATTATGTAAGCTATAGACTGCAGCTGAAACAGTGATTTGAATCCTGGCACCTCCTTTGGTCCCCTGAACACCACTAGGTCTGGCTCCTGAATACAGGGCCAGGAGTGACCTGGAGCACCAGAAGATGTGCACCCCCTGCTCCTGACCAAAATAAAATAATCACTTCTGAAAGGATCCAAATATAATTAGACATTTGTTATATGACAAAATGCATTTGAAGTCAATGGAGTTTTGAAAAGGTAATTTACTCAATAATGAAGTGGCTTTCCTAACCAATAGGACAAATAGAGTTTAGTCAATAAAAGGTCATTTTTTAAGTGAGGTAGGGGGGTGAGAAGGGACCTAGATGTATGGGTGGAGGGATACTGGAATTTTGATGCCAGTATGGTAGAGCAATATTGTACTTTCTGAAATACAGATATCAACACTACTGTAAATCTTGGTGCCTAAAACAAAACTAAGCTATGATTAAAAAAAATGATGAGAGGCTAGGGAGATTTCTACCCCCTGAGATTTGGTAGCTATCTTAAAAAACAAATTAGTGCTCTCAGGTACAATATAGGGCTGGACCGATAGCACAGCAGGTTTAGCGTTTGCCTTGCACAGAGCCAACCTGGGTTTTATTTCTTTGTCCCTTTCGGAGAGTCCGGCAAGCTTCCGAGAGTATCCCGCCTGCATGGCAGAGCCTGGCAAGCTCCCTGTGGCGTATCTGATATGCCAAAACACAGTAACAACAAGTCTCACAATAGAGACGTTACTGGTCAGTAACGACAGTGCTACAGTGCAGATATAATACATTCCAATGGGGCAAAAAAGATAATTTTCCCTAAACAAATACGTAAATAAAAAATAAAAACAAACCAGAAAAGAAAGTGTTTCTTAGATGTACTTTTAAATAATTTTAATTAGTAAACGATGTCTTTCTTAAAAAAAAAACTAGGGAGGTGATTAGAGCAGCTACCTTAGGAAAGGGGAGTGTCTGGTTGGCAGACAGAGAGGATGAAGCTTCATGGACACTCTCAAGCCTTTCAAAATGTGTACCTTGTGCATTTATTAGCCATTAAAAATAGCACTTAAGTCAGCCATATTAAGGGCTTATTGTCCCATAAAAACACTCCAGATTATCCCAAATAGGAACAGAAAATATAAATAGCAAACAACATCAAATACAGATAACTCCTTTATGGTTCATAATAAACGATTGTTTAATTCCACATTTCATTTCATCATCCTGTTATTCGTCGATTGCCTCGAGCAGGCCCCAGTAACGTCTCTTTCATCCTAGCCCTGAGATTATATTCAAGGCTCTTTAGGAGAATGAGACCCATCATTGTTACTGGTATTTGGCATATTTGGTACGCCACGGGGAGTTTGCCAGACTCTGCCCTGTGGGCAGGCGACATTCGATAGCCTGCAAGTTTGTCCAACCAGAGCATTTGACTGCCACATTTCATATTATTCAGAAAACCATAACTTATGTTGTTTCAATACAGACTATGTTCAATATAAACTGTCACTGTCACTGTCCTCCCATTGTTCGTTGATTTTGCTCGTGCGGGCCCAGTAATGTCTCCATTTTTTTTTGAGACTGTTATCGTGTTTGGCATATTGAATATGGCACAAGGAGCTTGCCAGGCTTTGCCATGTGGGCGAGATGCTCTTGGTAGCTTGCTGGGCTTTCCGAGAGGGGCGGAGGAATTGAACCTGGCTTGGCCGGGCTGGCTGTGTGCAAGACAAACGCCCTAACCCTGTGCTATGGTTCCAGTCCTTAATAAAAAAACAAGTATTTTTAAGTATTTATATAAATACTTGCTTATAATGAACATAGTATATATTGAGCCATTTCATTCATCATTTTTTTTATTATTGCTGTTGGTTTGGGCCACATATGACAATGCTAAGGGGCCGCTCCCAGCTGTGTGGTTGGGGGTCACTCCTGGCAGTGCTGGGGAGTCTTTGCAGTAGTGAGGATCGAACCCAGGACTCCTGCATGCAAAGCATGTACTCAGTCCACTGAGCTACGGCTCCGGCTCTGCTTCACAATCCTTTTAATACTTCTACTAAGTTGTTAAAAATTGGTAAGTATGGGTTCTTGATAGTCATAATTTTTGAAAAGAGATATTTCTATAAGACTGGTGTTATATTTTAAAAGAGTACCTGCTTGAGCAAATTGATGAACAACAGGACAGTGCAACAGTGCTACATTCTTTACAGAAGCTAAATATCACAACATATTAAAACCACATAATTTATCTTGCTTTTAAAACATTATTTCTGCGTTGTTTTAGATGATCGTTTTGTCGATGAACGTTTTTTATTTGTGTGGGTTTTAAGCCACCGATTGATGGCATTTTCAAACTTCTTTGGTTGTTTCTGCCAGTCCTGATGCCACCTGAGGTTGGAGATGACATTCGAATAGTTCTGTCCTACACTTTGTTTCCAGCTGGCAAACTGCTCTTTATTGTATCGGTGAACAGAAGCAGAAACTTTGGGGTAGTCTACAATGGAGCGAAGCTTTTGATCTAAAGAATAAGTAATTTCTGGAAATTTTGTAGCGATATTTGTTAGTTCATCTGGGTCCGAAAAAAGATCTTAAAGAAAAGAGATCCATGTCAAAATTTCCATTTCAAAAAAGCATTTTAAAGAGTAGCATTACTCTGTGACAGGTAATGTATTAGATTTAATTTAATTTTTAGTTCCTTTTAGTAAGAAGGATGGTATATGTGATAAAATAATATGCCCAAAGTTAAACACCCCCCCACCCAAACATGTCCAAAATCACCTTTCTGCATTACTATCATCTGCATTACTATCATCTTACTATCCAGTTTTGTTCTTTTCCCAGTTTTTCAATTTTTTTTTAAAAAGTTCATTCGAGAGAAAAGAAACAGTCAAACCTTTATTACTATAGTAAGCTGGCATAGCCCCAATTCTTTTTTTTTAAGGTCCTAAATATTTTTAAAAAATTTTTAATGAATCACCGTGAGGTACAGTTACAGACTTACAAACTTTCGTGCTTAAGTGTCAGTCATACAATGATCGAGTACCCATCCCTCCACCAGTGCCTGTTCTCCATCATCGATGTTCCCAGTATCCCTCTCACTCCTCCTTTTCCCCCACACCCCCCAGCCTCTGTAGCAGGGCATTCCCTTTTACTCTCTCTCTCCTTTAGGGTGTTGTGGTCTGCAATGCAAGTATGAATGGCCATCATGTTCGGTCTATAGTTTACTTTTAACTGCCTTTAGCACGCATCTCCCATCCCAAGCGGGCCTTCCACCACCCTTAACTTGGTGGTTGCTTCTCTATCTAAGCTGCATTTTCCCCCAGCATGTGAGGCCGGCTTCCAAGCCGTGAAGCAAACCTCCTGGTACTTACGTCTACTATTCTTGGGTGTTAATCTCCCATTCTGTTACTTTATATTCCACAGATGAGTGCAATCTTTCTATGTCTGTCCCTCTCTTTCTGGCTCATTTCACTTAACGTGATACTTTCCATGTTGATCCACTCATATGCAAATTTCATGTCTTCATCTTTTCTAACTGCTGCATAGTATTCCATTGTGTAGATGACCAAAGTTTCTTCAACCAGTCATCTGTTCTCGGGCACTCGGTTTTTTCCCCAGATTTTGGCTCTTATAAACAGTGCAGCAATGAACACACAAGTGCAGATGTCATTTCTACTATACTTTTTTGCATCTCCGGGACATATTCCAAGAAGTAGTATTAGTGGGTCAAATGGGAGCTTGATTTCTAATTTCTGAGAAATGTCCATACTGTTTTCCGAAAGTGTAGCCCCAACTCTTTCTGTGTTTTCTGCCTTACTTATTTTGAAATTCTGAGAAAAAATAGTAAAGCTTTCACCATCTTATTTCAATAGCTCCAAACATCCCAATTCTAAGAATTTTTTTTATGTAGTTATGTTCTCGCAGCTTCACTTAATTCAAGTTTTTTTACATACTGTACTTGAATTTCTGAAAGTTGCACTAACCAGTACTGTTTCATTTGAGTGTCACGGAAAATAAAGCTCTCACTACAGTGGGAAAATCATGATAAATATTTCAGATAACATTAACACCCTGTTTACTATCTGTAGGAAGACAGAGGATACAAATAGGATGACAGTCTAATGGAAAACAGCAAATTCAAGACCATACAACAATTTGTTAGGGTGACAAATAGACAATGTATGTTGAGAGGTAAACCCCTGTGGGCTCATCTGAGTGTAGTAACCAGAACCTCTTGAAGATGCCTGTGACATCTTGGTGGCTTCAGATGACCCCTCTCTGGGAAAGGGTCATCCACAAGCCCCGGGAATAAAGGAAGGACAGACTTTCCTGGAATCTGGTAGTCACAACAGATCATTTTAGAACACGATCAATGAGCATTATTCATCATTCGCTACTTATTATTTGATGTCCATTATTCATCATAATGAAAACTTGTCTTGGTTTTGAACCCAGGAATCCCATGCTTTTAGAGATTACAAGAGGGTCAAAAAACCTGACCCTAAAGAATTATTCTGAGTTACTTTGACATTTGTAACTGAGAAGGAAACCTAGACGAGAATAAATACTAATGATGGTTTTTTCATATATTGTATTTATAAAAAGGGGACAAGGGATAAGTAAAATCATAAATCTAAAAATATTAATTAAAAATATAATTCATAGAGTAAGAGCAGTGAAGTTAGTAGGAATCCCTTCCTTCCTTCCTTCCTTCCTTCCTTCCTTCCTTCCTTCCTTCCTTCTTTCTTCCTTCCTTCCTTTCAGAGGAGGACATGAACATGACTTACTTTTGGTAGTGTACATGACTTACTTCTGGGCTCGGCTCTCAGGGATCACTCCTGGCAAGGCTTTGGACCATACGGAGTGCCAAGAATGCAACCTGGGTCAGCCATGTACAAGGCAAGTGTCCCACCTGTGGTATATCTCTCTGGCCCCATAAGCAGGATTTTTCTAGGGTATAGGAGAACGGACTCTGGAGCTAGAAATCCTAGTTCTCCCACTTCTTTGCTGCTATTTCTTCGTTGTGAGGTATCTAATCTTCTCTATAGAATGAGGAAAATGGCACCATTATTAAGGTTTGGAAATGAACACTAAATACTGTATGAATGATGTCAGGTTCTATAAAAAGGTAAAGGCCCTCCCGTTGATCGTCGATTTGCTCGAGCGGGCCCAGTAACGTCTCCATTGGAGACTTTGTTGTTACTGTGTCTGGCATATCGAATACTCTCGGTAGCTTGCCGGGCTCTCCGAGAGGGGCGGAGGAATCGAACTCGGGTCGGCCATGTTGGCCGCTTGTAAGGCGAACGCCCTACCCGCTGTGCTATCGCTCCAGCCCCAGGTTCTATAATATATATATATATATATTCATATATATATGAAGCACTTGCTTCACACCTTAAGATTTCAACAGTCTCTGTAGTAAGATGGGTTTTTAAAAATAGAAATACCACCTGAGTTTTCCCATTCAATACCTTTCTATTTATATATATATAGAGATATATATATAATATATATATTACACACACACACATATATATACATATATATGTACGTATACACACATACACATAAATCCTCCAGAATATGTGAAAATTAATGCACAGGAAAGGGTAAGCACCAATGATTGGGAAAGGCAACCGCGGCTCTTAGAAGACACTGTGATCAGAGGAAAGAGTGGTTTCATTCATGAGCCTTGATCAAGAGCCTTCAGACACCTGCCCTGAGCTTTATTTATTTACTTTTGGGGATCACACCAAGTAGTGCTCAGGGGCTACACCTGGCTCTGTACTCAGGAATTATTCCTGGCAGTGCTTGGGGGACTATGTGGGACACCAGGGATTGAACTGGGTCTGCTGCATGCAAGGCAAGAGCTCTACCCCCTGGATTACGGCTCTGGCCGACTGCTCTGGACTTTAGACGGGGGCTTGCTCCTCACAAGGGCAGTCTTTTGTGGGCTGTTCCACTGTGAGAAGCCACAGATGTTTACTTATTTACATTAGTGGTTCTCTTTAGCAACACTAGGTAAAGGTAAAGGTAAAGGCCCTCCCGTTGATCGTCGATTTGCTCGAGCGGGCCCAGTAACGTCTCCATTGGCAACACTAGGTAGTTGATATATACTATCACATTTGAAAATACGCATTCACAGACTTACCGAAGAGTTGCGGTGCTACTGAAACCCCATCAGCGTAGGCTATATACTTCCACTGGCGAGTCCGGAGCATGTAGGAGGAGGCGTTCACATCGCATCCATGGAATTCACTCAGAATCCAGGGTGGGTGCAGGCCTCTGAAGCCAAGTTTATTCTGAGATGATTCTGCCGCTAACGGCAATAGAGAGTATCCACTTAGATTCTGAGGCAGGGGAATTCCAGCAATATCTGGAGAACAGCAAAGATAACACAATGTTTTAAAATAAGTCATCCTGTCATCGCTGTACATTCAGAATCAACCTCATTAAGGAGCACAGAGGCAGAGACTGTATTCGACCTTTATAGATAAACTGCTTAAATCCAAAAGCTGATTACAGTGTGGTCGTGGGCACGCTATTAAACATTCTGAACCTCAGTTTCCTCATCTGTAAAAGGGGGATAACATTGCCACTTATTTCTATAGCACTTGCTTCACAACTTAAGATTTTAATAGCCTCTGTAGTAAGATGGGTTTTTAAAAATAGAAATACCACCTGAGTTTTCCCATTCAATACCTTTCTATTTGAAGTCTTTTTTTTTTTTTTAAGTTTTTGAATCCACACTCAGCAATGCACAGGGATTACTCCTGGTTCTTCACTTAGGAATCACTCCTGGTGGTGTTTGGGGGACCATATGGGACATTGGGGATCAAACCTGGATCAGCCACATGCCTGGTGTGCGTCCTACCCACTGGACTAACTCTCCAGTCCCTCTATTTACAGTTTGTGGAATTGCTATCTTTTATGTGATATTTTTAAGCTTCAAAAATAGAAGGGAAGGGGCTGGAGTGATAGCATAGCGGGTTGGGCATTTGCCTTGCACGCAGCCAACATGACCGACACAGGTTCGATTCCCAGAACCCTATATGGTCCCCTGAGCACCGCCAGGAGCAATTCCTGAGTGCATGAGCCAGGAGTAACCCCTGAGCATCGCCGGGTGTGACCCAAAAAGCAAAAAAAAAAAGAAAAAATAGAAGGGAAGAGAAAGTCCAGCTTGGGGATCTGATCTGAGAAACTAAATCTTGTGCTGTTTGTGTATAAATCTGATTCATATAAAATTATGTAGTTACAACTGGTATAATAAAAAATTTTCAGAATTCTATTCATAGCTGATGCATTATATCTATTTAAGCTTTTAATTAGCTAGAAGAATCACAAAATTGTAGATATCTGATCAAAATTTATTTATTATTATTCACAGGTGAAATAGAACATAAACTTTCACAGGTCTAATTTTGGAGTTAGTCACGGCCATACCACCCTGAACGCGCCCGATCTCGTCTGATCTCGGAAGCTAAGCAGGGTCGGGCCTGGTTAGTACTTGGATGGGAGTCACGACTAAAGTAATTTTAAATTCTCCCAGATTTAAGCAATTTTATCTTAAAAGGGTAGATTAACATGTGCCACCAGAATTATCTATGCCTTCCTTGTAGACAGATAAAATGGTTCAAGAAGGGAGAAGATTCAGTTCATCCCTAAAATCTTCAAGTCAACGTTAGTACACCTTTATTCTAAAAAAATGTGCTGGTTTGGAAAATAAATAGACATATTATTTCAATAAACAGAAGAACAAAATAAAAATCTGTTTATAGTTTTATAATCTACATTTTCTCCCTCCCTCCCTTCCTCCCTTCTTCTTTCCCTTCCTTTTGCTTTTGGGCCACACCTGGAGGTACTCAGACCTTATTCCTGGTTCTGTGTTCAGGGATCACTCCTGGTGGGGCTTGGGGACTTTAGAGGGTGCCAGGGATAGAACTGAGGTCGGCCTTGTGTGGGGCAAGCACCCTACCCATTGTGCTATCCTATCACTTCAGCCCATCCCTCTGTGTACTAGAGATAAATAAAATCATTCATGGTACTTGTGTTCCTTTAACTGACTTATTTCACTAAATATAATCCCCTGTAGGCCCTTTTATGTTGCTGCAAGTGAAATGATTTCACCTTTTAAAAAAACAAAGGTTTCACCAAACAATGGAGCCAGTGGGTAAGCTACTTGCCTTGCACATGGCCAACCCAAGTTCAATCCCCACCGTCCCATATGGTCCCCTGCGAACTGCCAGGAGTGATTCCTGAGAATAGAGAATAAGGAGTAAGTTGAGTACGTCCAGGTGTGGCCCCAAACAGACAAAACAGCTGAGCAATATTCTAATGTAAACCATTTATGTACATCATTCTCGCCCAATCATCTATAAATAGGCACTTACGTGCTCATGATGGCCAGCTGGGATAACTGTCCTCATAACACTTGGCCAACTGCATAGGGTGATTCAGTGTTCAAGTCCAGCAAAGTGCACTGCTGAGGCCCTTCGGTGCTAGGTGCAAGCAGAAGTGCCCAGGGCCACTAAAGCCTAGAGGTACTTGGGAGTCTCCAGGGTTATATGCGGAGGTTCTTGGGGCCATGTTTATGCAAGGCATGCACCACTGGCCCCTGAGATTTCTTCTTGACCCCCAGATTTTGGGGGCCTATCTGGATTCTGGTCCTATGTGGTAAGGGGAACTGGAAACAGAGCCTCATTCACGTAAGGCAGGTGGAAATTTGCTTTTCCAGGTTGCACACACCTATTTTTAATCTTTTGAGGGCTCTCCACACTGTTTTCCACAATGGCTACATCAATTTACATTCCTGGCACCATACCAGGGTTCCATTCTCACCTCATACCAAGTCAAATCTTTCAACAAATATTGCTCCAGTTTCAGTTCCTGGCTCATACAAAAGGCTCATACCTGTAACCCTTTCCATCTTTTTCTTTCTACCTTTTATGGGGCTGGAGAAACAGTACAGTGGGCAGGGAATCTGCCTTACATGCAGTGACCTGGGTATGATTCCTGCTGCGGGTGTCCCCAAACAGAAACCAAACAGAAACCTTGTTTTTGACTAACAGTTTGTAAATTAAGATGCTTCAGTGTTTTATATGAGGGCCCAAGGGATACTTTCTGTCATTGGTCCCCCTCCCAAATTATACAAATGGACTACCTGCCTTTGATAATAAAAAAATAATCATTGTAAAATACATTAGAGACTATGCTAAACCTTGAAGATGTTAATTTCTGGGTTAGAAGTAAAAGAGAATTGATAATTTTGACCTTACTTCCTTTTCTCTAGTTACACATGTCTAGTCAACACATTTAAATGCTGTTAATAGAATATATTTGCCAGGAAAATGTGACTTAGAAAGAATTTATTACCAAGAATCAATGAAAGACGAAAGACAAGAAAAACCTATATAGAAGTGTGACTTTCATGAAATAATAACTAATCGAGAGGAAAAATAACTGATTGCAGGGGGTGGGTGGTGGTGTGTGTGTGGGGGGGAATTCTACAACATTCGTAAATCCCAGAAGAGTGGGAAAATCGTTCAGAGGAATTTCTATGAATGTTTGATCTTTGCTAAAAAAATGTTTATGGTCAGACCCTTGGATTGTGATAAAAGGACTGGGGTTACTAAGTAGGTGAGAGGGGAACAGGAAGTGGGAGACAAGAGAGGTGAGGAAGAAGCAGACCCATTAACATTACTGTAAAAATCAAAATTTAAAAAGCTTATTGTTGGGGATTTGTTCTTGAACATCATATGACTAATGCTCAACTATCAATAGCTATGTAAATTATGGCTCTTAAATAAAATAATTTTTTTAAAAAAGTTTATTGTTGGGCTGGAGCAATAGCACAGCGGGTAGGGCGTTTCCCCTGCACACTCTGACCGACCCGGTCAGCCCAGGTTCGATTCCTCCCCTCTTCTTGGAGAGCCCGGCAAGCTATGGAGAGTATCTTGCCCACACAGCAAAGCCTGGCAAGCTACTCGTGACATATTGGATATGCCAAACACAGTAACAACAAGTCTCACAATGGAGACGTTACTGGGCCCGCTCGAGCAAATCAATGAACAACGGGAGGACAGTGCTACAGTGCTATTGTTGGGCTGGTGCAATGGTACAGTGGGTGGGGTGCTTGCCTTGAATGTGGCTGACTTAGATTCAATTCCTGGCATCGCATATAGTTCTGGGAGCCTGCCAGGAGTGATCCCTAAGCACAGAGTCAGGAGTAAACACTGAGCACTATAGGGTGTGGCCCCCCCAAAACAAAACAAAAAAGTTTATTAAGTGACATAAAAGAGGCAGGGATAGTCAGGGGGCCTTCCTAGGAAGATTTAAAAACAACAATAACAACGACAAAAAATTAAAAAAAAAAAGTATCCCGCTCTTATTTGAGCTTCTTATGTAATCTGCTAGATCAATACATTATAAAATCTTCCAATTTACAGAGCGTTTTTAACTTTGATGGTATAGGAATCTCAAGCAGTAATAAGAATATCTCAAGATTTTAATTGCAGGCAAATATGAAGCAGGGTTTAAAGGAAAAAAGATTTAAACAATGCATATCCATCAACTAACACATATGAAGACAGAATGACTAGGAGTAGACCTGTAGTCCTACAGATACTGAACTGTTAGAGTCCAGTATCTGCGAATAAAGGTCTAGGATTGCCGGAGTGAAGAAGATGAACCGTCAAACATCACTGTGCGCTACACTGAGAGAAGACCGAGGGGCTGGAGTGATAACACAGCGGGTAGGGTGGTGCCTTGCACGCGGCCAACCTAGGTTCAATTCCCAGCATCCCACATGGCCCCCTGAGCACCGCCATGAGTAATTCCTGAGTGCAGAGCCAGGAGTAACCTCTGTGCATTGCTGGGTGTGACCCGAAAAGAAAAAAAAAAGAGAGAGAGAGAAGACCGAGACTCCCCCCAACCTTTCCTAGTCCTGTTCTGGTTGTTGTACCTCAAGAAAACAGTAACGCAGGACGGGAAGCAGCTATGATGATCAAAGAGACTGTGTTGGAGGAGGAAGGTGCTACATGAAAAGAAACAAGGGCGGAAATGGAAGGAAAGGCACCAGAAAGAAATGTACATTTTTTTTAAAACTAGAAAGGTGATAATATGAGGTACGTACATAAATAACCACACATAAAAATCATAAAAATAGAAAAATTACAGGGATTAGCTGGAAATTGCAGGAGCCGGAGAACGGCAGGAATATGTCTTGAGTGATAATTGCTTTGGGACAAAGGAGGAACGATGACTAAGAAACTGAGAGACTAAGAATGTACACAGGGAAGTAAATAACTAAATGTGTTCTAAAACAAACAAAAGTTATAGGAATTAAATTTAGAAAAGGGAAGGAGTTGATATAAATTAACAGCAAAATAAATTTAAGACCCTGGAATTATTATTTAAATGAAAAATACTGTACAGCAGAAAGATTAAAAAGAACTCTTACTTTTTATTTTAAGAGTTTCCTACATGGAGTCTGAGAGATAGATAGTACAGTGGGCAGGGCATTTGCCTTGCACGTGGCTGGGTTCGATCCATGGTATCCCATGTGGTCCCTGAGTCTTCGAGAAGTGATCCCTGAGCACAGAGCCAGGACCAAGCCCTGAATACCACTGGGTGTGCCCCCATCAAAACGTTTCTTTCATGTATATGCATAAATGACATAAAAACATTCTCTTTTTCTTTTACCGCACGCTATCTATAAATCCATGGTACTTCATTATTGTAATTTTAAGTTATTATTATTAGTATAATTTTTGCCACCCCAGGCTGTGCATAAGGCAAGCGACTTACCTGCTGTACTATTGAGTCCCATGATACTTTTGCAGTTGATAGTAGCTCAGAAGAGAGAAATTATAGCACTTAAATACTGATTTTAAAGTTATTTGCCAAATTAGAAATTGAAAGCTCTACTTAATTTCCTCTGAATTTGAGGACGACATTATTCTAATATTCTGCTAACTATACTTATTCAGCTATTTCATCTTAGACCTATGGTTACATTCATAGTCATTAGGAAGCCTGTCAAGCAAATGGTAAAGACTTCCGAGGAGACATTTATTGATCGCATTCAGATTAAAGGACTTTTCTGACCCTGGATAAAATTAGTAGTATCAGTGTGGATAGAATAATCCAGAAGAAAAATGCTTACATAAGTGATAGCAGAGAATCAAATTATATACAAATCATATGAATAAACCAACGAATTTGTCATATGAATAAAGCCATGGGTATTGATATAAATTAAGTGTAAGGTTTTTTATTTATTTTTAAAAAACAACTTAACTCTAATCCTATCCTGATTTTATATATATGTATATACATATATATGTTATATTTCATATATAACATATATGTGTGTGTATATACATATATATTATACACACAAAGATTATGCTAGCCATGTATACTCGTTTTCGGGGCTGTACCAACTATGCTTAGGGGCTTATTCCTAGCTCTGTACTCAGGGATCACTCCTGGCAGGGCATGGGTGACCATATGCAGTACCAGGAATTGAACCAAGGTAGGCCACAGGCAAGGTCTTTCCTACTGTAGTATCTGGCCCCTGATTGTAAATATTTCAAAGGAAAAATAACAATAATAAGTGAAGTTCTGAAGAATATTATCCTTATTCTCAGATACAGATTTAACTCGAGAAAACAAGTTCTCCAGGTTACCAACAAGGCAGAGAGCCTCTCATTTGTTTATTCATTCTCTTGCATTCTTACAAATAAATATTTTCAGAACTACATTACTCACCAAGCATAGTTGGATAAAGATCCACAAGGGAAACCGGGTTTGATACTTGTAGGTTGGTCTTGACTCCTGGACCCATCATGAGGAATGGAACATGGGCGCTGGCTTCATACATACTCATTTTGTAAAACTGACGGTGCTCCATGGCCAGTTCTCCATGGTCTGAGGTATATATCACGACAGTTTTCTGAAGAAGTTCTAACTGACGAAGAGCCAAAATAATCTCACCTACAATATAAATCAAGATAGATCTTGATCAAATCCAGGGCTCCTCCCTGCTCACCACCCTGAGTTGTCTCCCTGGCCCTTAATTTTATTACAGTAATTTTTGAAGGACATGACAAAAGTTTTGTAGGATGCTTACTCATTTTTGATTAGTGCCTGCTATTATTTGGTTGGTGGGGGGAAGTTTGGGACTCATGCCTCACTCTGTTTAGGGATCACTCCAGGTAGTGCTCAGAGAACCATGTGGTATCAGGGATTGAACCAGGGGCAGCTACATGCAAGGCCAGGTCAGCCCTGTACTATCTCTCTGGCCCAACCTATTGTTTGTGTAAGTTATGGCAAATTTCAGTGTACCTGATGATCAGCTGAGGGACTAACTAGAGAGGAAGGAGAAAACACTATAATACCAGAGGACAAATTTCCTTATTTGGAGATCATGCTAGCTTTCTTCCTAAATTCTTTCTTCTTTCTAAATTCTATCAGGAAAGAGGGTATTTTTTGTTTTCTCCTTTGTGATTAGAATGAGGAAAGAAAAGACAAGCTGGACGTTTCAGCTGATCATGGGGTTGGGAGAGTCACTGACCCACACTTCCTGTACACTAGGTGATGCTAAGGAACACTTTCCTATTACCCTTCTCTTGCAAATGTCTACTAGTCAGATCATCCCCATGATGGTGACTAAGGGTAATGGAAATTCCGTCTCTGAAGAAGTGCTGGAAGCAGGAGAGACAGTAAATGAATGGGACAAGGAATAACTGGGCAACAGTTATCTGGCCAGTCTCTGTCTTAGTGTTTTGAAACTTCTTCCTCACTGTTAGTAAGGATCACCATAAGGCACGGAACAGAGTGAGGATTCCATCCTGTTTGGAAAGGTCCTAAGCAGGCCCTAGAGGTCTGTCCTATTAAACAAAACCCCACAGGTTCTTTTGATCTGCCGTGGAGGCAGGGGGAGGGTGGAAAAGGGGGGGTATACTGAGGATATTGGTGGTGGGGAATGTGCACTGGTGGAAGTACGGGTGTTTGATCATTGTGTGATTGCAACCCAAACATGAAAGCTTGTAACTATCTCACGGTGATTCAATAAAATAAAAAAAAAAAACCCACAGGTGATCTGGAGTTTCAGTTAGAGTCGAGAGCAACTGCTTTAGGGAATTATTGGCAGAGTTTCGGGATTAGGATCTTATTTATTTATTTATTTTTTATTATTTTTTTCCCTCACTTCCTGCAGCAATGTTGTATACCATTTTTACTTCCATAGTTGTGAATACTATGAACTTTTTTTTTTTTTTTTTTTGCAGGGGTGGGCTCACACCCAGGGATGCTCAGGACTCACTCCAGGAGCATTCTGAAATTACTCCTGGTGGGGCTCTGGGGACCATGTGGGAAGCCAAGAATTGAGTCTGGGTCGGCAGCATGCAATGCAAGCGCCCTACCCGCTATACAGTGAGGATTATCACCAACAACATAAATTTTGAACTACAATTTAGCATTTGTGTGGACTTGAGTAACTTCAAATCTTCTTTGCATTTCAGATCAAGTACTTGGAAATTATCCCTTAGATTTACCATATATTGGCTATAATGTAAATTAATTATCCAGATGGCATTTTTACTCAATGAATATATTTAAAGAATACTCATTCATGGGTTTACTCCCAAGATTTACTTTCGACAAAAGAAATACTACTCACAGTTCACTGCAATTATGTTCCACTTCAAAATGCAGCAAAAATCAATACAAGATCTTTGCCACTCAAAGCCTCTTTCGCAGACCACAACACCCAAAAGGAGAGAGAGAACACAGGGGATTGCCCTGCCACAGAGGCAGGGTGGGAGGGGGGGGATGGGAGTGGGAGGGATATTATCCATGGTGGTGGGAAATGGGCACTGGTGGAGGGATGGGTATTTGATCGTTGTATAATCGAAACCCAAGCACAAAAAATTGTAAATCTACAACTGTACCTCATGGTGTTTCACTAAAAATAAAAAAAACATTAAAAAAAATCAATACATGATCTTATGAAACAACTTGTAAATAAATAAATATATATATTTAAATAGTTTTTTTTCTACATTTGAATTGAAAATCACCATACATTCTCTAAATAAAGAGATAAGAATACTTTCAGAACAGTCATCTCAGGGGAGCAGATTTGATTTGAAAGCTGAATAGGGAAAGAAACTCTGTATGATTCTGGACCAGAATGCACACAGGGGAAACTAAACTAACAAATTTAGTTAAGCTTAAGCAGACACCAAGAATACATGATCCAGCTAGATTATCATTTGTCTTTTAAGGAAAGATAAAGGCTTCGTGGAAAAGCAACAGCTTATGACATTCACAGCCTTGAAACCAATTTTTCAAGAAGTGTTAGGGACACTGATGGAGAGAAGGAGACAGTGGTGGACTGGTATTGAAACACTGTATGCCTGAGACAACTCTAATGAACAACTTTGTAAATCACAGTGCCTTAGTGAAAAATCAAAAAGAGAAAAGAAATACAAGGGCGAGGAAAGAAAAAAAAATTATGTTTTTGCTTTATGGTTATTACAAGTCTGGCAGAAGTAATGAGATTCTATAACTAAATTGTCTCCTCTCCCAGAAACTAAGCTGCCTTATAGTGATGTGACATGTGTGCTTGTGTTTAGCTGAATATCAATTCTGGGTGGAAACTGGTAAAAATTTTTGTTTCTATGAATCTTTATAGACTAACAAATTTCAGGGCTGGGAAGATTAGTATATATGCCTTGTATATTAGTATATATGCATTAGTATATATGCATATATATTAGTATATATATAGTAGTATATATATATAATATATATATATTAGTATATATGCCTTGCATTCAACTGACATTTGTTCTACCTCTGGCACCATAGACTCCCCACTGCAACCCCAGCACTTCCAGATGTGCTGGGGTTGATGTCTCTGATGCCCTTCAGGCCTTGATGTCCCTCAGCTCTGCTGTGTGGCCCAGGTGGTCCCCAGCATCATGGGGCTGAAAAGCACTACATTCTTCAGCTCTACGTTAAAAATTCCTGGTTGTCCATGAATCACTAGGATCAGCCCCTAAGATCCTTGAGCACCGCTTGGGAGATCCCGCAAATAAACAAATAAAAAGAACATTTACTCATTTATGAATAATTACTATAGAAAATGCTTCGATTTTACTATTAATGATTCAAAACTGTCAAGCATCTTATCATTTTAAACCCGAAGGAGCTAAGCAAGAAGGTAAAAAGTTATTCAAGGATGTTAGAGAGGTCACCAACCAGCACGATCATAAATTGTTGGAAAAACATTAGACTTTTCTTCATGGAATTGCTTGCTAATTATACCACCTACCAAGCATGGCGTCTGTTTCAGCACACATAGCATAATAAAATGCTCTAATATTTTTAATTTCTTCTTTTGTAAATTTCCCGGTGCAGTTTTTTGTGTAAGAAGAATAATAATCTACAGGATGCATTTCTGACAGTGGTGGCCACTTTGGAATTTTGATGTCATCAAAAGATACCTAAAAAAAGAATAAAAAACAAAGGAGCAGTATCCAATAAGTTCACATGGCAAATCAGCAATGTCTAATTACTTAAGACAGAAAATAATAAAGAAAAAGGCAAATGTGTAATAAAAACCGAATTGTTAAAATGTCTATAACAACAAAGTAAGTAAGTAAAGTAAGTAAAGGCCCTCCCGTTGATCATCGATTTGCTCGAGCAGGCCCAGTAACGTCTCCATTGGAGACTTTGTTGTTACTGTGTCTGGCATATCGAATACGTCACGGGGAGCTTGCCAGGCTCTGCTGTGTGGGCGAGATACTCTCGGTAGCTTGCCGGGCTCAAAGATGTCTAAATTTGTATAGTAACAGTTATGAAATTGTTTTAAAATTTAGTCATGTCAATAAAAAGCATGAACTATATTTTATATTCCTGCCAGAAAGCCTAAATACTTTAAACGATTTTGTGAGCAATTAAAAACTTCAGAATCAACAACCTAAAATCTTAGACTTTTTTTTCCACAGTAGTTCTACAAACAAATACAGTATAACCCATTAAGTTGGTCAAGTGTTTGTTTTATAAAACTGTTTAATACATATAAATGCTTACGGTTTTTGTGACTATAATTAAGAGTAAAGTCACACACATATCTTTTAGGTATGTAATTTTCAAAACTTCAAGTATCTACATGTTGTTTGTTTAGTTTCAACTTACTTGAATCATATCATTATATTGATACTAATGCCAGGCAATTTTTATTTATTTATTTATTTATTGCTTTTTTTGGGTCACACCTGGCTATGCACAGGGGTTACTCCTGGCTCTGCACTCAGGAGTTACTCCTGGCGGTGCTCAGGGGACCATATGGGATGCTGGGAATTGAACCCGGGTCAGCCGTGTGCAAGGCAAACACCCTATCCGCTGTGCTAACTCTTCAGAGCCCCAGACAATTTTTAAAAGATGGAGTCAAATTAGAATTTTAAGAAGACATAAATAATCTAAAATGTTGACATATTTCCCTTATAATACTGTATACTCACGATCACGATCAAGATCATCCTGTTGTTCGTTGATTGCCTCGAGCAGGCCTCAGTAACGTCTCCTTCGTCCTAGCTCTGAGATTTTAAAAAGTGCCATATTCAAGGCTCTTTCAGGGTTAGGAGAATGAGACCCATCATTGTTACTGCTTTTTGGCATAATGGGTACGCCACGGGGAGTTTGCCAGACTCTGCCATGTGGGCAGGTTACATTCGGTAGCCTGCCAGGTAGTCCAGAGTAAGAATGAGATAATAAGATGCTTCCAGGAGCTGGGTTTTATAGTCTCTGGGTCTTGGCCTTTGATGGGATTACACGGCGCCAGGGGGTCAGTTGGTGGGTGTGGCCCCTGCCTACAGGAAGATGGAGGATCTGAATAGAGGATGCTCAGTCCCGATCCGAGCAGGCTTGGAGATCTCAGCCCTAGGACCTGCATGCCTACAGTATACTAAATACCATTTATAAAGTAAAAATTTGATTTATGGTGACAGATTTTATTATTGTTTCTGGTGGCATGGCACACACAAAAGTGATGTCTTACTCCTGGCTCTCTGTTTAGTGATCACTTCTGACAGGGTTTGAGGGACCATAAAGGGTTGAACCCAGGTCAGGCCTGTGCAAGATAAGAGCCTGTATCCACTGCACTATTGCTCTGATCTTTTAAAACACAGGCAGTTGGGGCCAGGGTGCATTTAGGCCTGAGAACTCATATCTTTCATGTCAGGTCTAGGGTTTGACCTATGGTACCCTCAAATGAAGAAAAAAACTCACAAGCAAACCACAGGCAGTCCCTGCTTTGCATGGCTCAGATATCTGTGGGACACAGTGACCAGTTTGGCTCAGTCACAGCAACCCTCAATAGTGGAGTGCACATTTCACTGACCAGGGTGTACTGACTGAATCACTGCAAACACAGTCTTTCACATCCAGAGGCTGCAAACTCCTATACAGGTTATGGATGGATAATGCAGAGACCACTCATGCAATCTCTACATCTCCTGTTTTGCACACACACTGATGGCAGTGGATAGCTGTGCTGTTCCCTTGTCTCCCAGTGATAAACCCGTGTGACATTTTACAAAATGGACCACCAAAGAAGATCACCGAAGACCAGAGAGACACAGAGACCGAGAGAGAGAGAGAGAGAGAGAGAAAGAGAGAGAGAACAATGGGTAAAGCGCTTTCCTTGTACGTGGTTTCCCAGGTTCAATTCCTGGCACTGTGCATGGTTCCCTGAGCACTGTCAAGAGTGATCCCTGCGTACAGAGCTAGGGGTAAGCCCTGAGCATCACAGTGTGTGGCTCAAAATAACTGAGAGAGAAGAGAGACAGAGACAGAGACAGGCAGGCAGACAGAACTGGTCAACAATGATGAAAGTACAGTAAACAAATGAGAAGTGGAGTGAATCAAATCTTATCTGGTAATAGGTGACTTGGGCATGTCAACACTGCGACACCCCGAGGGATATACAACCAGGGGAATTTAGTGGGGACACATCTATTTTTTAGTTTCTGACCCAGACAGAACTTAGGGCTCACTCCTTGCTTATGGATTACCACAGGCAGGGACTGGGGGGACCATATGTGGTGTTGGGGATCAAAACCAGATCGGTCACATGTAAGGCAAATGCCATAACCACTGTACTATCTCTCCAGCCCCAAACACACTCATGATTAAATAAAGGTCGCAGAGAAGAAAAAGATGAACGTGTCCCAGAGGAAGTGATATTGACAAAAAGTTTCACATTAACGGAAGTCTTAGGTATGTATGACTTCTCCCTGCAGTGGATGAGAGGTTAGGCCTCAGTGTGGGCTACTGGATTGTGGTTCGCTATGCAGTGCTGCTCTGGCCTCGAGGGATAACAGGGCTCCAGCCAACAGTGCCAGGGGCTGTACTCAGGGCCTTGTGCATGTGAGGCCTGTGCTCTGTCATGTGTGCTATCTCCTTGACCCTCTTTCTGACTGACCTATTATGTCCAAATGTACAATTCAGAAGTCGTTCTCTGAATTTTAGCATATTTTATTTCTGTAAAATCAAACCTTTAGTTTCTATCAATTTGGCTCAATTTAATGAGAATATCTGATTTTTCTAATTGTTCTTCCAAAGTTAGAATAAAAGAAGCAGTAAACATTATTAGATCAATACCATACAGATAAAATGTTCATTTTTTTACTTTGGGACATGCATAGAGCTCTTACCTTTTTCTGTGGGGGGCGGCACACCTGTTGGTACTCAGGGCTTTACTCCTGGCTCTCTGCTCAGGGATCACTCCTGTTGGGGCCCAGGGAATAATACGTGGTTCCAGTGATCAAAGCTGAGTTGGCCTCATGCAAGGAAAATGCCCTACCCACTGTACAGTGTCAGGGGTCCTGTACTTACCTTTTTAAGCCAGTAAGAAGATGTGTGAAATGTTGACGATCCAAAATTTTCTCCTGAAGATGGTGAAGGATAAGGGTGTGGTAAATTTAACCCCAAGTACAGAACAAATGGTTGAGCACAATTTATTGCTTCCTTTCTTAGCCAGTTTACTGCTCTATCTGTGTTCTTCCAGTCCTCTTCCATGACTCTTACTTTTGTCTTTCGGGGGATAAGGTTAATCACAGGTCTCCCTTCTTGTCTTAGTAAGAATGGAACATCTCTTGTCCATGCTTCTACACGATTGCTGAGGAGAAAAAAACACAGGTGCATTGTGAAGTATGAAAAATGTTTAAAAAGTGACTAAGATAAATATACACATGGAGTATGGAAGATAATTTTTAGACTCAGCCATGTAAACACCCAGACTATATTAAGTCTTATTAAAAGTTCAGTGTTCTCAGATGTGCCACAAGGGAATGATGTAGGAGTGATGACAGATAGTCATCTGAAGACAGTTCAGGGGGCTACTCCACATCAGAAATTTACTCGTCATGAGAACTGAAACAAAACAAAAAACAACAGGAGCCTCCCCTACAGCCACGAAGAAACAGGCTGAGAATGTGTCCAGCATTGGCAAGTTGTTCAAGATACCAAATATTAGTAATATAATGAGAGGAAAACTTGTGAAATGATTAAAGCAATAGATGTCTGTCTCTGTTGCAAGGAAAAGAATAAAATGAACTCACTGTGGAGAACACTAACTTATGGGGGTGTGTGTGTGTGTGTGTGTTTGTGTGTGTGATTTTAGATTATTAATTAACAGTAGTCACTAGGCTGCAGAATTGAAAAAGGCAGAGGGAGAGTTCTGTGTGATTGGTAGTTACGTGGTTATCCTTCCTTATGGTGCTCTGGTTGTATTGAGAAAGCTTCTGTTACTAGTCTAGAAGCCTAATAGGAGTACAAATTTTGATGTTAGCAGCTTGTGTTTCCTTTTTCTCTTTGTCAAGTTAAGATATTTTCTATAGCAATTCTCGCATTTGGAAGTAAACCCTTACATTGCATTTGTTGAGATGATTAAACACTTTTAATTATTACTTGGCTTTGAAAAAATATTAGGATACATGAAATGTATATATATTGTATATATATATATATATATATATATATATATATATATATGCACAATTACCATGGTAATTCGGAGAGCCTGGCAAGCTACCGAGAGTATTCGATATGCCAAACACAGTAACAACAAAGTCTCCAATGGAGACGTTACTGGGCCCGCTCGAGCAAATCGACGATCAACGGGAGGGCCTTTACCTTTACCTTTACCATGGTAATAAGATAAAATGACAGAGAATTTTACTTATTTTAAAAGTTTAGCTACACAAAATAAGACAGACTTTCAATTGTTTTCTGAGGACATTAGACTATATTCCATTAGGTTAGAGATTTTTGTGATCGCTACTGTAGCATCATTATCTAAAACAGTGTTTAGTGTATTACAGGTAGCTTGATAAATACGTGCTGAATGGATACTGCAAACATCTGGGGGTTTTCTTTAATAACTTAATGAAGAATCATCGTTTGGTCAGTATTTAAGAATTATTACATAATACTCAATTATTGTATTACAGTGTCCTATCTTAGAAATATAGTTTAAAAAGATTGTTACAGACTAAATTGCATCCTAGTTCTATACACTTCCAAATTAACATCTAGTTTTGCCAATTATAAAAAAGTGAAAATTGATGTACTAGTGTCAAATGAATCTAATCCTTTTGAAAACAATCAACGTTCAAGGTTAAAAAAAGAGCAGTTGCTCTAAACTGTGTCATTCCTAAGGCCATAATGATGAGTATAAAATATTTAGTTTCAGATTACAGTTATTATGGTTTCAAAGTAGACAGTCATGTATAATGCCCCTTGGCAACAAATTTCAAGAAGCCTTAAAACCAAGACGTGATCTGAAAAGGAGTTCGTACTTCCAGCTGCCAGCTCCAGTCTGAGGATTCCAGGGATCTTTCTTAGGAGAGGATTTGGCAGGAACAAAGGCCCTGGAAGACCATGATTGGAGACCACCAGAATTTTCTAAGTCTTTATTCTTTAAGAATGCCCTCGCAACTTATTCTTATTGGAACAGAAGGTCAAAGTGTTTTGGAAAAGGCCTATATTTTCAGTCTTTCTAAAGCAAGCCCCGGGCACTCCATTCTGGAGTCTCATGCAGTTCCTAACACAGGAGATATAATGTCTTCCCTTTCTTTTATGGGGCTCTCTACTTTCCCAGAAAAAACAAGTGCTTGTGTATGTGGATAAAAAGAGAATTCCATTCTCTATGGGTGGACTTACAAACTGGTTCAGCCTCTATGGAAAACGTTATGGATATTTCTCAAAAATTAAAAATATAACTACCAGATGATCTGATAATTTTACTCATAGACCCAAAGAACACAAAAACATTCATCTGAAGACTTATGCATACCTATGTCCATTACAGCACTACTTACAATAGCCACGATCTGGAAACAACCCAAGTATCCAATAAGTAATGATCACACGATAAAGAAATTGTTATAAAAACACGAGAACATTAATTTGAGAGGATATATGCATATCTATGTTCATTGTAGTGCTTAGTACAATAGCTGAGATATATAAAGACAAAAGGATCAAGAAGCTGTGGCATGTATACACATGGAAAATGGAATATTATGAATTAAATACTGCTCTACAACACTAATATATACTTGTGCTGGGACTACAAAGAGGAAGAAGATCATACAAATTTTTTTTTTTTATGTAGGAGTACTGCTATTTATTCAGCCACTGATTAGCTGATTGAATTGTGCATGAACTCCACCTTACTTTTTTTTTCATTTTTTATAATTTTTTTAATTGAATCACCGTGAGAACAGATACAAAGCTTTCGGGTCCAAGTCTTGGTCATACAATGAAACATCCATACCTTCACCAGTGCCCATTCTCCACCACCAAAAACCCCAGTATACCCCCATCCCCCACCCTCCCCCTACCTGTGGGGCAGATGATTTCCACATTACTCTCTCTCTACTTTGATCACATTCAATATTTCAACACCAGACCCACCATTATTATTTGAGATTTTACCCCAACACTCAGATCTGCTGAAAAGGCAACAGTAGACAATTTGTGTTCTATTGCTGGTTATGAATAACATATGGTGTCGCGTGGCTGCAGTTGGGCCATGTGATTTTGAAATTCCGAAATTTTAACACTTAAATCTGGAGGGATTTCTGCCAAAAGCTACTGGGTTTCGAGATTTGCTCCTGAGTCTCTGGGATCATGGCCATTAAGCAGCTTGATCAGGAGCCAGAGAGGCCATTTGTGGGCGATGACTTGGGTTCTCTTTGGGGTGGGGAGGACAGGCCCGGCTCCACCCCCATCCCGTGAGGCCCAAAATGTCTCATCACTGCGGGCCCAGACCTGAATGTCCAATGGCCTCTGGAGGATGATGGACACCAAGCCGCCAAGGGGGAGCAGGCGGAGGGACAACACCCTTTCCTCCCTGGGGTAGTCTGGCGACAGTAACCTACTACAGGGTCCGGACACATTTCTGCCAAAAGCCACTGGGTTTCGAGATTTGTTTCTGAGTCTCTGAGATCATGACCATTAAGCAGCTTGATCAGGAGCCAGAGAGGCCGTTCGTGGGCGGCGATGACTTGGAGTCTCGTTGGGTGGGGAGGACAGGCCCGGCTCCATCCCATCCCATGAGGCCCAACAAGTTTCGTCACTGAGGACCCAAGCCTGACTGTCCAATGGCCTCTGGAGGATGATGGTCACCGAGCCGCCAAGGGGGAGCAGGAGGAGGGACAGCACCCTTTCCCGCCTGGGGTGGCCCAGCAACATAACCTACTGCGGGGTCTGGATGCATTTCTGCCAAAAGCCACTGGGTTTCGAGATTTGTTTCTGAGTCTCTGGGATTAAGACCGTTAAGCAGCTTGGTTAGGAGCCACAGAGGCCATTCGTGGGCGATGACTTGGGGTCTCGTTGGGGTGGGGAGGACAGGCCTGGCTCCCCCCTCCCATCCCATGAGCACACCAAAATTTGCTGAAGAACTCACAGTAGTACTCAGCATATGGTTGTAGTCATGGCCACGGTTTATTTCAGTGAAAAGGGCACACGGCAAAGTCAAAGACAAAAGCAGCTCAGGTTAGGTCTAGTGGAAGCCTGGGAATGAGTTCCCACTGAGAGTTCCAATGTATGCCCAATTCCTTCGGCATCAAACTGATAACTCATGTGAAAAGTTGTCTATCAGGAAAGTCTATTACAAACTCAAAGTAAGAATAAACTGAAAATATCTGTTATTGTTCACGTTTCTGGAGCACTCCTGAAATTCAAGCTCCCAAATGTCAAAGGTCAACTTGAGGGGGCCGGAGTGATAGCAGAGCGGGTAGGGCATTGGCCTTGCACGCGGCCAACCGGGTTCGATCCCTGGCATCCCATAAGGTCCCCTGAGCACCACCAGGAGTAATTTCTGAGTGCAGAGCCAGTAGTAACACCTGAGCATCGCAACAAAGTTCACTTAGCTTTGGCATCATGTTCAAGATTATACTACTAAAGGCTTGCAGTAAATAAGACGCAATCTGCCTCTCTATTTCTATTTCTACCTGGTTGCCTATTTTTTGAGAACGTAGCAAAATGAAAGAAAAAAAAAACTCATTTGGAGAGATGTGGCGAAAACAAATCAGAAGAAGGCTTTAAGGGACTGGAGCAATAGTACAGTGGGTAGGGTGTTTGCCTTGCACATGGCCGACCCAGGTTCGATTCCCAGCATCCCCGAGCACCTCCAGTATTAGTTCTATGCTACAGCAGTGAGCAATCTGTTAGAATTGTTTTACTTATTTTTTTTAACCTGAGAGAGTGGTGTCCAGTAGTATAGTCCAGTTTTCCAAATCTTTGTGTCCGATAGCCATACTTCTCCATGACATCCATCCATGTTGTATAATTTGGATCCAGACCCTTAAAATTATTCCAAGATTCGGTGATGTGTGTGAAGAGACCACTCCAGAGTGCTGGGGGAAGAAATGAAGGAAACAAGGACAAGCGTAAAGCTTAACAGTTTGTTTTAACTGATAATTATACCAAGAGAAAAAAAAAAAACCCTACCGGTTTAGGCTCATGTGCTGGAATAAACATATCTGCATTACTATTGTTTCACTTAACACTTCATTTTTATTTCATTTTATCAAGGAAAAAACTGAAAGGAGTGATTATTTGCATTTTACAGGTGAATCTCTGAGGCTTACAGGTTAACTTGCTTAAGACAAATGCAGTTGCTATTAAATTAAGCCTTAATTAAATTAAGGCGTTTGCCTTTCATGCAGCCGACCTGGGTTTGATTCCTCTGCCCCTCTTGGAGAGCCCAGCAAGCTACCGAGAGTATTCTGCCCGCATGGCAAAGCCTGGCAAGCTACCTGTGATGTATTGTATGTGCCAAAAACAGTAACAGCAAGTCTCACAATGGAGACGCTACTGGTGCCCGCTAGAGCAAATCAATGAACAATGGGAGGACAGTGCTACAGTGCTAGAGTGCTGATTTTAGAATCATTTTTAATCACTGAAATAATCATTGAGTATTTATTGGTTAATATTCTAAATCAGTCAGTTGAAGTACAGCTCTTATTTTCCCAGTAGCAACAAGAATTTTTTGCTCTTTCTTGTCTTTGTGTTGACTTTCCAAACAATAACTGTACTATGTATTTTTCATTTTTTTATAATTCTCACTGTTTACAAAATTAATCTTTCTTTAAAGATTAAGAGACCTGAAAAGAGAAACAGACAGCAAAACAATAATACTTGGGCTCTTCATATTCTACTTTCTACAGGAGGTGGATAATCCAATCAGAAAAATCAACAAACACTCGACTTAACTTACATGTTAGACCAGATGGACCTCACAGACATTTACAGAACATTCTATCCAAAGGCAAAAGGAAAAACACATTCTTCCTAAGCTCCCATGGAACATTCTCCAGGAAAGATCATACGTTAGGCAACAAAATAATGAACTTGAGAAATTAATATCACAATCAGGCATTCTTTCAGACCACAAAGATATAAAATGAAAATTCAAGAGGCTGGAGAGACTTTACAATACTAAGGCACCTGCCTTGCACATGGCCAACTCTAATTTGATCCCGGCACCACATATGATCTCTCAAGCATTGCCAGGACAGAACCTTGGGCACAGAGCCATAAATAAGCCCTGAGTATCACAAGGCATGGTCTCCTTTCCTCCCTCAAAAACCCTAAACTAAAATTTATTAGAAACCTAGTGAGTTCAGAGAGAGAGAGAGCACAGCAGGTAGGGGGCTTGCCTTGCACGTGGTTAACCCCTATTGGATCCCTGGCCCCCTATATGGTCTCCCAATCCCCTAAGAATGATCCCTGAGTGCAGAGCCTAGAATTAGCCCTGAGCACAGGTGGGTGTATATCAGAAACAAAACTAAAGAAGAAAGCTAGAAAATTTACCAATATGTGGCTATGTAAACAACATGCTTCGAACAACCAATGGGTCAATAAAGAAATCAAAAGAAAATACAAAAGTACCTGAGACAAATGAGAATACAACTCTCACCATTTATATTTAAGTTATAATTAAAGGTCTTAGCCAGTAGAATTAGGTAACAGAAAATAAAATGAATCCAGACTGGAAAGGAAGTGAAATTACCATACTGTCAGACAATACGAAAATATACTATAAAAAGTTATGGAAACAATGAGAACAGAAAAATGGCTGTAAAGTGAGTTTATATAAGTGTGTTGCATTCATATATGAATTTATAATTTATAAATTTAAAATAAGAAGAAATAAAATACCCCAATTTATAATTGTGTCCCAATAAAAGTTTGGGAAGAAATTTAACAATGAAGGTGAACAATCAAAACAGTGAAGATAATAATATACTGTTCACAGACATAAGACAAAATATTAAGAGATAAAAATATTCTATGCGTATCTATAGAATTAATATAATCAAAATTTCTACTCCAAGCCAGGGAGGTAAAGATTGGAGCACATGCCTGGGATGCACAGGATCCTGAGTTTGATTCGCAGAATTTTCACTGTCCCTGAGCACCGCTGGGTATGCATCTTGAGGCCCCTGATGTGACCCTGATGCTCTTAGTACCACTAGGGTTGGGTTGAGAAGTCCTGCATTTCCGGGCACAAGCACTGACCCATCTGGAGAGCACTGCTGGACTAAGTATTGCTAGCAGTGACTACTGGACTCTTTGAGAACTGCTTCAGGGGTCCTCTCTATAAAAATTGTCCATTTTATAAAAAGCAGTATACAGACAACATATTACAATCAAAATTATGATTTATGGACTGGAGTGATAGCACAGCGGGTAGGACGTTTGCCTTGCACACAGTGGACGTGGGTTCTATTCCTCCGTCCCTCTCGGAGACCCAGCAAGCTACTGAGAGTATCCTGCCTGCACAGCAGAGTCTGGCAACCTCCCTGTGGCATATTTGATGTGCCGAAAACAGTAACAACAAGTCTCACAATGGAGACATTACTGGTGCCGCTTGAGCAAAATCAATGAACAATGGGATGACAGTGACAGTGACTTATTTAGTCATTTATTTTTAGCAAACAAACAACAAAAAAAATATTCAGGTTTATATGGAATTCTCACGGCAGAGCCTGGCAAGCTCCCCGTGACGTGTTCGATATGCCAAACACAGTAACAACAAAGTCTCCAATGGAGACGTTACTGGGCCTGCTCGAGCAAATCGATGATCAACGGGAGGGCCTTTACTTTACTTTACTTATATGGAATTCTAAAACGGTTCAAATCACCTAAGCAATTCTGGGTGGGTAAGAAAAATGGAGTTGATTTCATGTCACCTACTTTCAAGTTTTCTTACAAAGTGACAGTATTTAAACTATATGGTAACAAAAAAAAAAAACAAAAAATGGGGGCTGAGCCTACTGGATGTGGCCCCCCTATAAAAGAAAAAAAATCTATATGGTAATGGAACATACATAGACACAGGAATCAACAGAATGGAATCAAAGTCCAGAAATAAACCCACACATTTATTAAGATTTAATATAATTAAATTTTATAATTTAATTTAATTAAAATATTAATTAAGATTTAATAAGATCTATTATAAAGAATCCAAGACCATTAAATGCAGAAAAGAAACTCTTTGAAGAGTGAGGATGAAAAACCTGCAAAGTTATGTAAAGGAATGAAACTAGGCGGTCGGGAGATTTAGTTTAGTTTAGGACCTCCTTGGGCTGGAGCGATAGCACAGCAGGTAGGGCGTTCGCCTTACAAGCGGCCAACATGGCCAACCCGAGTTCGATTCCTCCGCCCCTCTCGGAGAGCCCGGCAAGCTACCGAGAGTATTCGATATGCCAGACACAGTAACAACAAAGTCTCCAATGGAGACGTTACTGGGCCAGCTCGAGCAAATCGACGATCAACGGGAGGGCCTTTACCTTTACCTTTACCTTTAGGACCTCCTTGGGTGTGAGAGGCTGCGAGTTTGATCCCTGTCAGCTCTTCAGCTCTCTCTGTGCCTGGTCACTCTTTTTTTCTTTCCTTCTTTCTTTTTTTTTTTTTTGCTTTTTGGGTCATAGCCGGCGATGCACAGGGGTTACTCCTGGCTCATGCACTCAGGAATTACTCCTGGTGGTGCTCAGGGAACCAAATTGGATGCTGGGAATCAAACGTGGATCAAACACCCTACCAGCTGTGCTATTAACAGCCCCTGGCAACTCTTAGTATGCAGCAATCTGTAGCCATGCAGCAAGGATGTGGGTGCTGAGACAGAGACCCCAGAGAGCATGCGTGTGTTCCGGCAAGCTTCTCAGACAACTGTAGGAGCCCCACAATCTGATTGTGAACATATTTTAGGGTGTGGCTACTTTTTACATGCTGTACTTTTTATATTAATCTCAGTGTGTTCATACCTGCACGTGATGGGCAACAGATCGGAGAGTTGGTATAGGCATTCAGAAATGAAGTACCATGTGCTTTCATGAAGTTGATAAAAGGAAGTTTCACAACTTGATTTCCTGGGTAAAATGTTAGTCTTCCATCCTGGGAAAAAGAGATTTCAGATTGATTGCATTACTGAAGCAGAAAATTATTTTCCTTAATGTTAACTCTGAAAGTCACAAGTAGCAAAAGGCTTCAGTGTAAGAATTAGGACTCTCAGTATATAAGTATATATACTGAGGAAAATGTATGCAAGCCCTTCCATGACACTGAAGCTAAAAACATCTTTAAGGATGAAACACCGCTGCCCAAGCAAGTGGAAACAACATAAACAAATAGGACTACATAAAACTAAGAAGCTTCTGCACCTCAAAGGAAACAGTGACCAAAATACAGAGAGTCCACAGAATGGGAAAGAATATTTACCTAATACTCATCTGATAAGGGGTTAATATCCAGGATATATAAGATACTAGTAGAATTGTACAAGAAAAAACCCTCCAACCCCATCAAGAAATGGGGAGAAGAAATGAACAGAAGTTGCCTCAAAAAAGAAATACAAATGGCCAAAAGGCACATGAAAAAATGCTTTACTTCGCTAATCATCAGGGAGAAGCAGATCAAAACAACAATGAGGTGTCATCTCACACCAAAGAGACTGGCACACATCAAAGAGAGCAAGAATAACCAGTACTGGCGTGGATGTGGGAAGAAAGGGACTCTCTCTTTCATTGTTGGTGGGAATGCTGCCAAGTCCAGTCTTTTTGGAAAACAATATGGGCATTTCTCAAAAAACTAGAAATTGAGCTTCTAAATGGCCCTGCAATACCACTTATGGGAATATATCCAGGGTGCAAAAGATCACAACAGAAATGACATCAGCACCTGCATGTTCATTGCAGCACTGTTCAAAATAGCCAGAATCTGAAAACAACCCGAGTGCCCGAGAACAGACGACTGGTTAAAGAAACTCTGATACATCTACACAATGGAATACTATGCACCTGTTAGGAGAGATGAAGTCATGAAATTTGCTTCTAAGTGGATGGTCCTCGAGAGGATTATGCTAGGTGAAATGAGTCAGAACGAGAGGGACATAGGATGGCTGCACTCAATGTATGGAATATAAAATCACATGAGATTAACAAATCCAAGGAAAGTAGAGACAGGGCCAGGGATATTGCTCCATGATTGATAGCCTGCCTCCTGAGCTGGGGGAGAAGGCAGCTGGAATAGAGAAGGAATCACCACTAAGTCAATGATGATTGGCGATATCGTTCAAGATGGGAGATGTCTGCTGAAAGTAGATAAAGGACCAAATGTGCTAGATAGCCTCTCAGTTTCTGCATTGAAAACCATAATGCCCCAAAGTAGAGAGTTTGGGGGAAATTGTCTGCCATAAAGGCAGGGAGAGGGGGTAATGGGGACAATGATGACAGAAAATGTGCACTGGTGGAGGGATGGGTTATTCGATCATAAATGCAAACATGAAAGCTTTGTAACTGTATCTCATGGTGATTCAAAAAAAGTGTAAAAAAGTGGGAGAGGAGGAGAATGAGGACTCAAGAGATAGTACAGCGAAGAGGATGCCCGCCTCACACCCCACTGACCCAGGTTTGAGCCCATCACCTGAGCACTATCAGCCAAGATCCCTGAGTGCAGAGTCAGGAGTAAGCCCTGACCACTTCCAAAAAGGAAACGAACAGAATGGGAATCAGAAAGAATGGCCAGTGAGGAACCATCACAAGATTATACCAAGGAAGCCCAAAGACAGCACATGAGCTGTGTTGAGAGGATACCTGCACTGAAGCCAGAAAACGCCAACGCACACCGGAACAGGTAATCTGAAGACAGTTGCTGATCATTCAAGCACAGTTCCAACGAAGTGGCAGGGATAGGCAGCGAAGTTTATTTATTTAGTTCTTGGTTTTGAGTCACACCCAGCAATGCTCAGGGCTTCCTCCTGGTTCTGCACTCAGGGATCAATCCTGGCGGTGCTCAGGGAACCGTATGGGATGCCAGGGATCAAATCCGGGTCAGCCACACGCAAGGCAAGGGCCCGACTCTCTGTACTATTTCCCCAGCCCTAGACAGCAAAATTTAAACACAGAAGAGAGGATAGGTGAAGAAACAGCAGGTGAAAGAACTCTTGAGAGAAACTTTTTACAATGCGAAACAGGAAGATGGGATTTATGTCACAGGTAAAGAGTTACCCAGAAGTTTGGAAGATCAGGCTGTCTGTTGGGGTTGGGGCACACCTGACAGTTCTTAGTGGGTAAGGTGACATGTGCCCTATCTATGAGTCTCTAACAAAATCTGTGAAAAGCGTTCTATGTGGACCATTGCCTAAGACAAAAGGCTCTTAAAAATCGTTCTGGAGCCACACCTGGCTATGCTCAGGGTCACTCCTAGCTCTGAGGTCAGGAATCGTTCCTGGAGTGGCTTAGAGGCTCATATGTGGTGGTTGCCAGGATCAAACCTGTGTCGATCACGGGTAAGGCAAGCGTCTTATCCGCCCTGTTGTTGCTCCGGCCCCAAGACTTTCTTGAATTATGGGGAATGGAACAAATCAAATCAACTAACACGATTAAAGCAGCACTAACAAATTATCTATGGGTCACGGGTCACGGTCCTCCCGTTGTTCATCGATCTTGCTCGAGCGGGCCCAGTAACGTCTCCATTGGAGACTTTGTTGTTACTGTGTCTGGCATATCGAATACGTCACGGGGAGCTTGCCAGGCTCTGCCGTGCGGGCGAGATACTCTCGGTAGCTTGCCGGGCTCTCCGAGACGGGCGGAGGAATCGAACTCGGGTCGGTCATGTTGGCTGTGTGCAAGGCAAACGCCCTACCCGCTGTGCTATCGCTCCAACCCCAAATTATCTATATTCATCAGTTAAAAAAATAACCTTAATATCATTCACTTTCCGGGGGGGCTGGAGTAATAGCACAGCGGGTAGGGCGTTTGCCTTGCACGCGGCCAACCCAGGTTCGGTTCCCAGCATCCCATATGGTCCCTCGAGCACTGCCAGGAGTAATTCCTGAGTGCATGAGCCAGGAGTAACCTCTGTGCATCACCGGGTGTGACCCCCCAAAACAAACAAACAAACAAACATCGTGGCTTAAGATACCGAGAGTATTCGATATGCCAAACACAGTAACAACAAAAGTCTCCAATGGAGACGTTACTGGGCCCGCTCGAGCAAGTCCAAACTTTTATTCTTTCCAAAGTGAGTGAAGTGGGAAGTGGCCACCGTCAAGCTAAATAACTGCTCTGACGAAGATGCAGAATGTTATTTGCCCTACAATGACATGCAACAGAGGGCAGAGTCCTTAAAGGTCATTACTGGCGGGACACGGATTCAAGGGTCCGGATCAGCAAAACAAGAAGAAAGAGCAGACCAGAGACAAACCCACAAAGACCCTCTTAGACCGCGCTTCATCCTTCCTATTGTTTGATACGGACGGACAGACGTCCTACACGTTCGGATGAAGCGAGGGAACCGACGGGGCCTCGGGACAAAACGCGCATCTCACTTTGCAGCGAGGGAAATTGCACCAAGTTCTGGTCCCAGGACCCGCACGGGGCAGCGGCGAGCCCGGAGCCCAGGCCGGGGTCCTTCGCTGCTGCTGCTGCTGCTCGGTACTTACGAAAGAGTCGCTCACTACCAGCACCACGTTGGGTGCCGCCAGCCCGGGCCCTGCGGCTCCTCCTGGGCTCGGCCCCTCGGCGCCCAGGGCGGGTGCAGCGCCCACCCAGAGCCACAGCCACAGCGGTCGCAGCAGCATCGCCGGCCCCGCCGCGGGTGCTCGCGGGTCGCGGGGTGGGGACGGGGGGAGCGGAGGGGTGGGGGTGTCCCGGCCTCGTCTGTCTGGCACCGACTCCGGCTCCCAGGACGCCGCCCGGGCGCCGCAGCGGGAGGAGCGCGAGGGAGGAGCGCGCGGGGAGAGCGTCTGGGAGGAGCGCCGGGAGGGGCACGCGGGAGGAGCGTCTGGGAGGAGCACAAGGGAGGAGCGCGCGGGAGGAGCGTCCAGGAGGAGAGTCTGGGAGGAGCACAAGGGAGGAGCGCGCAGGAGGAGCGTCCAGGAGGAGTGTCCGGGAGGAGCGTCTAGGAGGAGCACAAGGGAGGAGCGTCCAGGAGGAGCGTCCAGGAGGAGCGTCTGGGAAGAGCACAAGGGAGGAGCGTCCAGGAGGAGCGTCTGGGAAGAGCACAAGGGAGGAGCGTCCAGGAGGAGCGTCTGGGAGGAGCGTCCGGGAGGAGCGTCCAGGAGGAGCGTCTGGGAAGAGCACAAGGGAGGAGCGTCCAGGAGGAGCGTCTGGGAGGAGCACAAGGGAGGAGCGTCCGGGAGGAGCGTCCAGGAGGAGCGTCTGGGAAGAGCACAAGGGAGGAGCGTCCAGGAGGAGTGTCCCAAAGGAGCGCGCTGGGGGAGGGGGTGGTGAAGAGAGAGCGTCTAGGAGGAGCGCGCGGGAGCAGCGTTCTGGAGGACCGCTCGGGGAAGAGGAGCGTCTGGGAGAAGCGCGCTGAGGGGTCGGGGGTGGGGAAGGAGCGTCTAGGAGGAGCGCGGTGGGGGGCAGAAGAGTCCGGGAGGAGCGCGCGGGGGGTAGGAGCGCCCGGGAGGAGCCCGCGGGAGGAGCGCACAGCCCGGGAGGAGCCCGCCTCCCAGGCCGTCTAATCAATCGCCGAGCGGCGAAGACCCGCCCACTTGCGTCACGTGAGCGCGCCCGGGAAGTGCGCATGCGCGGTGCCTCCGGCTTCGGCGTTTGGAGCAGCAGCATCTGCCCCAGGTGGGTTCTGGTCGTTGTCGTTTTTTTGCAGAAGGTGGAGCCGGTGCGCGGTGGAAAAGGCACCTGGGGACGCGGAGGCTCCGGGCTCGGGGCGTCTGTCTGGGCCGAGCAGGCGTGATCGAGCCGCCGGCGTGACCGGGACCTGGGAGCTGATGATGTGGCGGGCGCCTGTCACTTAGGTCGGACGGGGCAGGTCTTGGCGGGGTCGCTGGCCGGACCGATCGGGATGCCACGGGACCCCGTGAATTCTTTCTTCCAAGGCAGTTTGCAGGATTATGTGTCTCCGTCCCCCTTCTCGCCGCCTGCAGTCAGGATGGGCCGTGCTTCCGTGGTGTGGGGCGCAGGGCCTAGCAAGAGAAGTTTCAGCATCCCGACGGGCCACAGCTCAGGTGCACCCCAGGGTGCAAACGAGAGGAGCCCGGCAGCCTCTCCAGAGGAGGAATTGCCGGCTGGTGTGACCTGTTGTGAGCTTAATTTAATTGATGCAACGGCAGAGTACTGTTGTTTTACTGCGGGAAAATCACTAGTCCCTCTTGAATGTCCATGCCATTGCAGAAGTGTAGAAGCAGCAGATTTTTTTTTTTATTAGTGAAACACCATGAGGTACAGTTGTAGATTTACCATTTTTTGTGCTTGGGTTTCGATGAAACAATGATCAAATACTCATCCCTCCACCAGTGCCCATTTTCCACCACCATGGATAATATCCCTCCCACACCCATTTCCCCCATCCCACCCTGCCTCTGTGGCAGGGCATTCCCTTGTGTTCTCTCTCTCCTTTTGGGTGTTGTGGTCTGCAAAAGAGGCATTGAGTGGCAAACATGTTCAGTCCATAGTCTACTTTCTACATGCATCTCCCCTCCTGGGAGGATCCTCCAAACACCCTTTATTTGGTGCTCCCTTCTCTCTCTGAACTGCCCTTTCCTCTAGGATACCCGGCTGGCCTCTAAGTTATGGAGTAATCCTCCTGGTGCTGATCTCAGCTATTCTTGGGTATTAATCTCATACTTTGTTACTTTATATCCCCCAGATGAATGCAATCTTTCTATGTCTATCCCTCTCTTTCTGACTCATTTCGCTTAACATGATACTTTCCATGTTGTACCACTTGTATGTAAATTTCATGACTTCATCTTTTCTAACAGCTACATAGTACTCCATTGTGTAGATGTACCAGAGTTTCTTTAACTAGTCATCTGTTCTCAGGCACTAGGGTTTTTTCCAGTTTCTGGCTATTGTAAAGAGTGGAAGCAGCAGATTTTTACCCAGGAGCCAAATTCCCGATTTCCTTAGCATAGCTTCCAGTGTCTAGTTTGCTTATCAGTTTAGTCATTGATTAAATTTATTGGTTTTGGGGGCTATACCCAGCAGTGCTCCGGGGTCATCCTTGGCGGTGCTCTGGAATCCTATGCACCCTGGGGACCTCGCTGGCCCCAGCAAATGCCTTAATCTCAGTAAATAATCTCTCCCTTCTACCATTAGTTTAATAATTTGATGGGAAAAGCAATGGTAGCAACATAAACTCAACCCCTCATGCCTTTTTGCGTAAGATAAATTTAATATCGAAAGATCTTCTTTAATAGTCACGGAGCACTAACATTAGGAGCGGAACATTATCTTAAACATTCATTGAGCATCTGCTATCTGCCAGAGACTTTCACTTGGAATAATTTCCATTCGTTTTCCTTTCATTTTTTTGTAGATAGGAAAACTGAGGCTTGAACCTGTTAAATAGCTTCCAGGAATGTACAGGGAGTCAGTCTGGGCAGGACTTGAGTAGCTCTTTACTCTTTACTTTAGTTCCTTCCCTCCCACTGACTCTAGTCAATTACAAAATTCTACAGCATTTTACTGAGATTGATTTTTTTTTTCTTTTTGGGTCACACCTGGCATTACACAGGGGTTACTCCTGGCGCATGCACTCAGGTATTACTCTTGGCAGTGCTCCGGGGACCATATGGAATGCTGGGAATCGAACCCGGGTTGGCCGCATGCAAAGCAAATTCCGTACCTGCTGTGCTATCACTCCAGCCCCCCGAGATTGATTTTCGGTAGAGTTTGATTGCTGATTAAGTGGTATATTAAGCATGCAAACACACTAATGATAATCTGTACCCGTAAGAAATGTACACTTCAGGGAACTATGGGTACTTGCATTAGGTAATGGAAGGCTATACAGGTAGGCTGCTGCTTGAGTCTCTTAGGCTTAAAAAATTTGAAATGTAGAAGACATATTACCAAGGAAACATTGCTGACATGTTTAAAAAAGAACCTTTACTTTTTTCTGTGGAGTATTGATTTTGTGAGCTCTGCTCTCTCTGTGGCTTTATTTATTTATTTATTTATTTCATTTTGAACTGTGTGTGTGTCAGGATAACAGGAACATGTTTTTTCTTCCTCCCTCTTCCTTGATAGTGTTAGTGAGAAAAGCTGTTGGAACTGGAGGGATGCTCTAAGACCCCAGGGACTTATTACCAGAGGGTTTTGAATGATTTTTAATCCCACTTCTCATCTGACATTCAGTTTGATCTGAGTGTTTCTGTTCAGTGGATTGAGCAGTCTGTGTAAAAATCTTTCATGATGGCAAACACAATTCCTTTGAGCAATTTTCCATTACATGTTGGTACAGTTGTTTTTATCTATTTTTTTTTTTTTTTGGAGAAGGATGTTTCTGACCTTGGCACTTAACCAGGGCACTGGTTGCCCCTGCCAGTGAATCAAGACCAGCAGATTCTCTTGAGAACTGTAGCACTCTGGGACAAGCAATGTGTCCGCATGTGACTACGGTATTAATTAAAAGTTTTTTTTTTTTTTAATTTGAACTTGTCATTCTCCCTCTCCTTTTAACCATTCACTTGACCGTTTGGTATCACTTTCACATGTATTCATCTCTCCTTTTGTGAAGGGGAGACTGAAAGGGAGGGACAAGAAGTTTAGTCTTTAAAAGTTTATTTTTTAGCTGATTTAAACTATGTCATTCCATAAGTACACTGAACTTCGCACAAGGCCCTACAGCCTGTTATGGATTGTAAACCAGAACAGTGGGCTGGGGTCCTAAAGGTGAAAGGGGGCTGATTGTTTGCTTCATGTCCTCCTGCTGTTACCGCTTTCTCTGGCTCCTGTAACAATGCTTGCTTGGCTGTGCTTGCAAGAACTTTCTGAGCACTAGGATGTGAGTTTGGGGCGTGGGGGCGGGGAGCTCAAACAAATTATGAAAATGCTCATGAAAGTTTGGGCAAGGGATGTGGTTTTTCCTAATAAAAGGCCAGAGCTTCTGCTGTGAGGTGGTGGCTCTTGCCCAGCAGGCCAGCCCGCTCGCTGGGGTCAATAAAGACTCTTCCAAATTATAATTGTTTTGGTCTGTGGTGGGCTTTGGATTGGAACCCCACCACATTTTCCACAACCTCACCTCTCTTACCAACCAATTTTACTTCTTTTCCACTCTTCCTAGCTTCTTCAGTTTTATAGTTTCAGGTTTTTCCATGATCTTGATCACTCTTTTTTGGACATTGAGCAAATTTGGTCATAAGTAACTTATCCAATCAGAAAGGGATTTAGAGTATGTGCGTGTTGATCTCTGAGTATGTACAAGTTCGTCTATGTGTTGCATCGATGGTAGTGACTTCATTACACGGACAAAATTGCCAGTTAAAGATTTGTAAAGGTTTGCTTGCTTTATAAAATACTTAGCTCCTGGATGTAGATCTCAAATGCCTATTTCCCCACACCAACCAAAACGATGAATTTTGGGGCTGGAGAAATAGCACAGTGGATAAGGTGCTTGGCTTGCATGCCACTGACCTGGGTTTGGTCTCCAACACTACATATGGTCCCCCAAGCCTCACCAGAAATCTCTGAGCACAGAACAAGGAGTAAGCCCTAAGCACCACTGGTGTGGAAACAAAACAAAACTGATACCAAAAAGTCTCCAACCGGAAGTACTGGTTCAGGTTTTTACTCTTCGTAGTTTCTCTGATGTTCAGAGTGTAAGTTCTGCTCTAAGGAAAGGGGACTGGGGCTGGGGGGGTCCTTCAGATGTCAGGTGCATGGACAAGGATCCATGTTTGATCTCCGGCACACCCTACACCCTTTATCCCAGCACTGCCCTGGAGGCCTCTAAGCACTGCTGGGAGTGGCCCTCGTTGTGACCAGAACCCAGTAGCCTGAGCAAGGATAAATTGCCAGATCCTAGCATTGTACCCTTAAACCCTGTTGGCTGAGTATTGCCAGGAATGTGACTCCCCGCGACCCCCCAAGAGAATTGCTTGGAAGCTCCCTTCAAAAAAAAAAAAAAAGGAACAGGAGGCTAAATGTGTGATTTAGTGGCTGTGTGGAGTAAAATCAGTGTTGTCTTCACCAGGTGGGATCCTGTGAGTATTTGTTGAACATCTTCCATGTACTGGACATTCTTGGAAATAAAAGGAAGTGATTAAAATAGTCTTTGCTCCCAAAGAATTTCCCGTCTTGTTGTGAGAAACAAATACACACTTTCTGGTAAGTATATTTAATAATTATAAAATGTTGCCAAAAAATAAAGTTAATTGCCAAACAAACCGAAACTCAAATTGTAATCAATCAAAATTGAACTTCAGAATGGTTACCAAGAGAACAGAGTCTGTACCTCAAACAAGGTGAAACGCGCTGACACTGGTAGTGTACACACTAAGCTATACAATGCACATGACAAAACAAATAGAAAAGTAGGACTCTGTCCTGTGGAATGCAGTCCAAAAATCTAGAGAAGGGTGTAAAACTTAAGTGTCATCAGAAAACCAAATGTTAAACTAAAGGTAATGAGTGTAAGAGTTTTAGAAGTTCAGAGAAGAGAAGAAATATGGTATATTGGGGTGGAGAGAGAGTACAGCAGTTAAGACCCTTGTCTTGCATGCGGCCAACCCTGGTTCGATCCCTGGCACCCCATATGGTCCCAGGAGTACCAGCCACCAGGAGTGAACCCTGAGCACAGCCAGGTATGGCCTGAAACAAAAGGAGGAAAAACAAAAAAACCAAAAACCAAAAGTAGACTACTAGATGGAGAAGATTTAAGAATGACCGGAGGCAGGAAAATTACTCAGAGTCAATTGCATTAGCTAAGTTAGAATATCTGATTTTGGTCCTGAAAAAGTTGCATTCTTGTTTGTTTTGGATTGGTCTTCTGTTGAAATGGCTTTTGTTCTTTTTTCATCATCTTGTTTGTATTTCCAGTGGATTTTGTTTTCTGTGCCTTTCTGTAGGTCCAGATCAATGATGATTATTTATTCTTTCCTTTCTTTCTTTTTTCCCTTTTGCAGGTTTATGTGCCAAATAGACCTTTGGCATGAGAAAATTTAATGTGACTTTTGTTAACTACTCTCATCAAGCTTTGTAGACTACCAAAAAATCTGGACTCGCACCTATAAATCCATACATGATAATTTCAAGTAAGAGCAGTTTTTCAAGTAAGAGCATATGAAATAAGTTGCTTCCATCAGTTGTTTTCGACCTATTTATCCTTGTGTACTGGGAGACTACAACATTTGAAAGCCACCCCCCTAAATGTAGTAAGGTGGAACCTTGGTTTAAAACCATGGACTTAAATTATAAAATTTTGTAACTTGGCAGTCTGTTTTTGTGTCATCTTTCAGCCTGTTGAGGGAATTGGGTCTGGCTGTCAGAATATTATTTGGATTTCAGGACTTTATTTTCTAGCTTCTTCTTTTTATTATTATTATTATTTTTTTATTAGTGAAACACCATGAGGTTCAGTTGTAGACTTACAGATTTTTGTGCTTGGTTTCAGTTATACAATGATTGAGTACCCATCCCTCCACCAGTGCCCATTCCCCGCCTCCAGTGCTCCCGGCTGGCCTCCAAGCCATGGAGTAAACCTCCTGGTATTTATCTCAGCTATTCTTGGGTGTTATTCTCCTATTTTGTTACTTTATGTTCCCCAGATGAGTGCAATCTTTTTATGTCTGTCCCTCTCTTTCTGACTCATTTCACTTAGCATGATACTTTCCATGTAGTACCACTTGTATGTAAATTTCATGACTTCATCTTTTCTAACAGCTGCATAGTACTCCATTGTATAGATGTATACCAAAGTTTCTTTAACCATTCATCTGTTCTTGGGCACTTGGGTGTTTTCCAGATTTTGGCTATTATGAATAGTACAGTAATGAACATAGAAGTGCAGATGTCATTTCGACTGTACTTTTTTTGCCTTTGCGGGATATATTCCCAGGAGTGGTATTGCTGGGTCAAATGAGAGCTCAGTTTCTAATTTTTTGAGACGTGTCCCTACTGTTTTCCAAAAGGGCTGAACCAGTCGGAGTCCCTTTCTCGCCACATCCATGCCAACACCAGTTGTTTTTGTTCTTTTGGACGTGGGCCAGTCTCTGTGGTGTGAGATGATATTTCATTGTTGTTTTGATCTGCATCTCCCTGATAATTAGTGATGTAGAGAATTTTCTCATGTGCCTATTAGCCATTTGGATTTCTTCTTTGGGAAAGTTTCTGTTCATTTCATTACCCCATTTTTTGATGGGGTTAGATGTTTTCTTCTTGTAGAGTTCAACCAGTGCTTTGTATATCCTTGATATCAACCCTTTATCAGATGGGTATTGGGTAAATATCCTTTCCCATTCTGTAGATTGTCTTTGTATTCTGGTTATTGTATCTTTTGAGGTGCAGAAGCTTCTTAATTTAAGATAGTCCCATTTGTTTATCTCTGTTTCCACTTCATTGATTAGTGGAGTGTTGTCTTTGAAGATACCATTAGCCTCAGTATCGTGGAGGGTTTTGCCAACCTTGTCTTCAATGTATCTTATGGATTTTGGCCTGATGTTGAGATCTTTAATCCATTTTGATCTGACTTTTGTACATGGTGTTAGGTCAAGGGCTAAGCCCATTTTTTTTTTTCATGTGGTTGTCCAGTTATGCCAGCATCATTTGTTGAAGAGACTTTCCTTGTTCCACTTCACATTTCTTGCTCCCTTATCAAAGATTAGATGTTCGTACATTTGGGGTTGTGTGTAGGGATATTCCACCCTGTTCCATTGGTCTGCGGCCCTGGCTTTGTTCCAGTACCATGCTGTTTTAATTATTATGGCTTTGTAGTAGAGTTTGAGGTGGGGAGGGTAGTGCCTCCCCACGTCTTTTCCCCAAGAATTGCTTTAGCGATTTGTGGGCGTTTGTTATTCCATATGAATTTCAGGAGTGCTTGATCAATTTCTTTGAAGAATTTCCTGGGTATCCTTATAGGGATCGTGTTGAATCTGTATAATGCCTTCGGGATTATTGCCATTTTGACGATGTTGATTCTTCCTATCCATGAGCAGGGGATATGTTTCCATTTCCTCGTGTTATCTTTTATTTCATCTAGCTTCTTAATTGTCGTTGGCTTGTTCTTCTGCCTTCACCTCTTCATGCTGTCAGTGTGGCATGTCAGTGGACCATCTTGGTTCATTTTTCTGCCATAATAGCACAGCGGTAGGGTGTTTGCCTTGTGCGCAGACAGCCTGGCCAAGCTGGGTTCGATTCCTCTGCCCCTCTTGGAGAGCCCGGCAAGCTACCGAGAGTATCTCGCCCACACGGCAAAACCTGGCAAGCTACCCATGACATATTCCATATGCCAAACACAGTAACAAGAAGTCTCAAAATGGAGACGTTACTGGGTCCGCTTGAGCAAATCGATGAACAATGGGAGGGCAGTGTTTGCTTTTTGTAAACTTATGTTGTTTATAACAACTTAGTTTGTAGTTACGTTGCAATGCCAGAGAGGTACAAGGGGTAGAGCAATAGCCTGGCACACAGCTGACCTGGGTTCGATCCTCAGACCCCATATGTTTCCCTGAACCCTGTCAGAGCCAGGGGTAAGCCCTGAGCACTGCCAGGCCAGGTGTGACCCCAAAACCAAACAAATAAAAATTAGTTAATGATAGATAGTTTTGTTTTACCTTGCTGACAGATGAGAGTTCAATGAAATTGTGAAAAATACAGAGCTGCTTTTTTTCAACAGAGATGTGAATTTGACTCGTTTACTGTTTACAGAATATGTTGTGGAGTTTTAAGATTTCTTAGCTCATTTAAAAGTTAGTGTTTTACGATTAAATGAATGGATACTGTTCCTAATGCTTGAACCATCTTTTTTTGTTTGTTTGTTTGTTTGTTTTGGGGTCACACTGGGTAAAGCTCAGAGCTTCCTGCTGGCTCTGCACTCAGGAATTACTCCTGGCTGTCCTGGGGGATCATATGGGATGCAGGAGATCAAACTTCCATTGGCTGTATGCAAAGCAAGTGCCTTACCCATTCTACTATTCTGGCTTCTGAGCCATCTTTTTATCGCTGAAATTAATGGACACTCCCCTTGTGCTCGCTTTGGCAGCACATAGAGTAAAATGGAGCCATTTGGGGCAATTAGCATGGCTTCTGCACAACGATGACCCAGAAATGCATAAATGCATGATGCACGCTCTCTCTCTCTATATATAATATTTATAATATATATTTGCTCGAGCGGGTCCAGTAACGTCTCCATTGGAGACTTTGTTGTTACTGTGTCTGGCATATCGAATACTCTCGGTAGCTTGCCAGGCTCTCCGAGGGCTGGAGCGATAGCACAGCGGTAGGGCATTTGCCTCATAAGCAGCCAACATGGCTGACCCGAGTTCGATTCCTCCGCCCCTCTCGGAGAGCCCGGCAAGCTACCGAGAGTATTCGATATGCCAGACACAGTAACAACAAAGTCTCCGATGGAGACGTTACTGGGCCCGCTCGAGCAAATCGACGATCAACGGGAGGGCCTTTACCTTTTACCTTATAATATATATTATATATATACAATGTACACTCCCCTTGAATATTTGTTACTGGCATTTACTGCTCTTGAAAGAATACAGTATTACCCCCCAAATTTTATATTACTATAATCCTAGAAGATCCTTGCATGTTTATTTGTATTGTAGAGGAACTCTATTAAAACTGATGCATTTTTTTTTCATTTTTGTTTTGTTTCTGGGCCATGCCTGGCACTGCTCAGGGCTAACTCTTGGCTCTGCACTCAGGGATCACTCCTCATAGGCTCGGGAGACCATATGGGATGCTGGGGATCAAGCTCAGGTCAGCATGTGTAAGGCAACCGCCCTACCTGCTGTAGTATCGCTCCAGTCACAGCAATGCTTTTCCTGAATTTTTTTTTTTTTTGCATAGCATTGGATTGAATTGGTATATATTTTTGATCCTCCACAGAATTGTCTGTACTTTAGCTTAGTAATGAAAGTGAGTTTAATTCAAGTATAGCTTAAGCAGACAACTATTAATACATAGTTTGTCAGATAGTGGGCACTCACAAGAGATAAGAAGCAAAATAGCATCAAAACCTTGACTGAAATCCCTGCTTGCATGAAACTTAAATTCTGGTTTGGTAAATTGCTGGTAATTACTTGGATAAAACAGTAAGATTTATAACATATCAGATGGTGGCAAACGCTTGAACGGAAATGAAACAAGAGAAGAAGTTTCAATGAAAATTGGGCGATTAGAGTTTCTAACCACCAGTATTGGGCCGAAAGAAGTGTTGGAATTTTCAATAGTATGGCCAGGGAAGGTTACACAGTGGAGTGACATTTGAGTTAACATCTGAAGAGTGTGGAATTAGCTGTATGTTTCTGTTAGGGGGTAAGTGTTCCAGGTGAAATGAAACACACTTGCATTTTTCAGAGGCCTGAGTTGTTGGAACTATTGGTTAAATGTGTATTACTGTAGGATGCTCCATTTTTTTTTTTTTTTTAAATTTTGACAGAATGTCTAGCAAGGAAGTGAAGACTGCTCTCAAAAGTGCTAGAGATGCCATCAGAAATAAAGAATACAAAGAAGCACTGAAACATTGCAAGGTAACTTATTATTTCTTCTTTCTGTGGTAAAACTGTTACTCATTATTTTAAATGGCTTTGGGGACATGCCTGGTGGGGTTTAGGGCATACTCCTGGCTCTGTGCTCAGGGATCCTTTCTCGTGGGGCTTGGGGCCATGGGGAGTGTAGATGATAGAACCTGGGTTAGCACCGGGTACAGGGCACACAACCTATCTGCTGTGCTATGGCTCAGGCCTCTAGTGTGTTGCCCATTTTGGAGTATTACAGTTTTGCTATTTGTACATTACTGCCTAAATATAAAAATGGTAAAACCTTTTGTAGTGCTATTAGAGTGTCCATGCAGTATAAACTGCTGCTGCTGCTGCATTTAGTTTAGTCTTCCTGTGTGTGTTGGGGATTACTCAAACCCAGTTCTCTTGAGCTTGAGAGTTGGACCTAGGTAATTCCTCTCTACTACCTTAAGTAGCAGGGCGGGAAGGTGCAGCCCCATATGCTGTCAAGTTTATACTTCGGGAGTGGGAAGGGAAGAGTGTTCTGTTTTCTTGGTAAAAGACGAGCTGAGATCTAGTCCATCAGGCAGATAGTAGGTATCTACTCACTGCTATTCGATTGCAGTTGGCTTTTCCGTGCTGCTGTGTGCCTGTCTTTGTTCTTGGTGTTAGCCTTGAAAGCACCTAGAAGGCCCCGGGTTTTAGTAGTTGCCTCACGCATGTTGTTTTCTGGGGAGATGGTACCAGATAGAATGGAATGTGCTGTAGATTGGTGACATGATCCTGGAAGTGTTACTTGAGTGCGTAGAAGCCTAATAACTGGACGGTTCAACTCATGGAAACATTCTTATTTCTTTAGCATTTGTCAAACCTTAAACACATTTCATATTAGCTACCAGTTTTGTTATCTTTCGCTTGAAGATTCTCTGCTTCCTGATTCAACCAATTTTACCTTAGCCAGTAGTGGTTTGTTCGGAAAGCTGCCATGTAGCTTATGTATTTTTGGTTTCTTTACTGTAGTTGTTTAATTATCACCTCTTTTCATTTTAAGTACATTTGGTAGGGGCCAGAGCAATAGTACAGTGGGTAGGGTGTTTGCCTTGCACATGGCTGACCTGGGTTCGATCCCCAGCTTCCCGTATGGTCCCCTGAGTACCACCAGGAGTGATTCCTGAGTGCCGAGTTAGAAGTAACCCCTGAGCATCATGGAGTGTGTACAAAAAGCCAATAAATAAAAAAACAAACACATTTGGTATATGTTGCATTGGTTCAATCTTCTTTCCAAGACTGTAATCACAGTGTAAAACATATCCTTTTAATATGGGAAAATGTTTTCATAGGAAAGAAAATAGGGATGTTGTATGAGGCGAAACAATACGGGAAAATAGTTTTGTATTTGACAAGCAAGTAGCAGTGTTGAGTGAAGGCAGCCAGGATGGCTGCGTGGTAAGAATTCTCTTACTGTTCTTTTTATACCAAGTATACTTAAGGGGCAAGGGAGGTATGTACTGGATACATTAGGGTTGTTTGGGTGGCTTTTTATAAAATGTCCTGTGCATTTCTCACCGCTTACCTGTTCAGCTTTCTCATCTAGGAAACTAAAGACCAGAGAGATTCAGTAGCATTCTTTTTTTATTTGTTTGTTTGGGAGCCATAACCGGTGATGCTCAGGCATTATGCCTGGCTCTGCACTCAGGAATTCCTCTTGGTGGTGCTCAGAGGACCATACGGGGTGCCAGGGAGGCTGCATGCAAGGCAGACATCCTCCCTGCTGTACTATCGCTCCAGGGCCCTCAGTAGCATTCTTAAGATTGCTTAGTGTGTGGCTGATAGGGACTTACTGATTTTATTTTATTTTTTTCTGGGCCACACCCGGCAGTGCTCAGGCATCACTCCTGGTGATGCTCAGGAGACCAGATGGGATGGTGAGGATCGAACCTGGGTTGTTAGCATGCAAGGCAAGCGCCCTACCCGCTGTTCTATCACAAATTTTCCAGCAGTCTCTTTTGGTTGTTGTTTGCTACTCATTGTTCAAAATTTAACGACCTGCTCTTTTAATTTTCTTAATCAGACAGTGTTAAAGCAAGAGAAAAATAACTACAATGCCTGGGTTTTTATCGGTGTTGCTGCAGCTGAGCTAGAACAACCTGATCAGGCCCAGGGTGCCTATAAGAAAGCCGCTGAGCTAGAACCAGACCAACTACTGGCGTGGCAGGTATGTAGAAAAGAATTGTCTTCTATGTTATAGCGAATAGCTTTTCTCCATTTTTCAAAATGCAAGTAACAGCCTAGATACAGCACGATCTTTTTGATATGTGGGTGATTGTGAGAAACTGAATAACGGGATAACAGTAATAAGGGAATACGTAATAAGGGAATAGCATAACAAGGGAATAAAAAATGGCCAAAGGCAGCAGAGCCTGAGAACTGATCTGTAGAGCTGAGTATCCACTGGTGGGCATCAGGTGGCACAGGAGTGAGTTGAAGGCCGGGGTATGAGGCAGTGGTGGAGGCAGGGACCCTTGTGCATGGGGTGGTGTCGGAATGTTGTATTCATGAAACCCTGTCAGTATGGTAAATCACAGCGCTTAAAATGGAAATGCATTTTTAAAAATAAGAATTTAAGCGTCCATTTCCTCGTCTAAGAAAAACAGTTTTGATTTGCTGAATTTCCAAAACTGAAAGTTAAGTCTCTAAAAATAAACATCATGTCCAGTATTGTATTTACCACTTTTTAACATTTGCTTCAGTGAACTCTTTCTAACTGCGGAACTGAAATTAAAATAGGACGAAATACGTCTCTACTATTCTTTAAGCTTGACTGAGGGAAAGGAAAAATATTGTGCTTCTTTATCTTTAGTATAAATTAAATTCTTTATGCATTTTTATGATCTTTGTGTTTTTTTTTCAGTTGGTTTCTCTGCCTTTTTAATATCTCATAACTTTCATGTCTTAATCACATCTTAGGAACTGATTAGTAGAAATTAGAATCTTCGCAGCTGAGGGAGTAGGCACTGGAGAACGTGAACCCGTTTGTCTCAGGTTTACATGAGTATGTGTGGGTGTCTTGCTTTTATGGTGTACTCACTGGCTGAAGGCATCTGATCTTTATTTTCCAGGAAAATGACTCTTTCCAGAAACAACTGAGATTTTTTTGATTGATTATATTTGTGCTATAGTTTTATGACTTTTAAGTATCGCATCTTAATATCTTAGGAGGTTGATATTATATAATAACTTTAAAGTGAAGCCCTTGAAGTTTATTTTTAAAAGTAAAGAAAATGATACATTGAACCGCTCACTAATTGCTACCTACCTTCAGTAAAAATCCACCCACTGTCAATATGTTCTAAAAATCTAGTATTTGCAACTCCTGTTCATCCTCGGTTATTTGGAGACACATCTCAGATACGTAATTTTACTTGTTTATATATTTTGGGGATTTGGGGTCTCACCTGGTGGTGCTCAGGGCTTACTCCTGGCCCTGCACTCTGGGATCACTCTTGACAGTTCCAATGATAAACTTGACTCGGCTGCATGGAAGGCAAAACAATTGCCTTCCCTGCTAGACTGTCTCTCTGTTCTCTGATTTTACTTGCATTTTAATAATTTTTAGGATAAATTATCAGAGTAGGCTGTTTAGCAGAATTAATGCAGGATAATAGATGTTCTTGAAAGAATAATCTCAGTCCTTCTTCTAGGGGTTAGCAAGTTTGTATGAGAAATGTAATCACATTAATGCCAAGGACGACTTACCTGGTGTTTACCAAAAGCTCTTGGATCTTTATGAAAGGTAATCACTATGTGGGGAAAGATTAGTTTCTTATATCTTGGATTAGAATAAATTGATTTCATATTATATAGAAATACTCACTGTGTTACCTGGGGTTGGGAAACATTTTTCTTTCAGACTGTTGTTACAAACTCTCTTGGTTGTGATTGAAACAGAATTAAAACAAAAACAAAATCAAAATGCTAACAGTAAAGTGACTAGTATCTTTAAAATTGGTAGTTTCCTGCCAATATCATGGAAAATAATATTTCTTAACCTTTTTCCTTTGCATGAGAGGTTCACTGTAAAAAGTTTTACTATGGTATGAAAGAGATTATGTTTTGATTTAAAACGGTGCCTGGAAATATTGTTGGAATATTTTAATGCTAGTGTTGAAAGTTCTTAACTGTTTTCGTTTCAAATTGTTTTCTTCCCTAAGTGTTGACAAGCAGAAATGGTGTGATGTCTGTAAAAAACTTGTGGATCTGTATTCCCAAGAAAGGAAGCACGTAGAGGTGGGTTTATGAGTCACTGGGGCAGCAAACTTCTTTCATTGTTGTTGTTTCTATTAAGATAGTTTGTATTGAAAGAAATTTACTTAGAAAGATGTGAGAGAAGAGAAAGAGAGGAAAATGTTCAAGGGAGAATATGGGTTTGAAAAAGCAAGTTACAAGCCAGATGTCAGTTAAGGGAATTATTAGAAGGAAAATTTCATTTAGTCTAAGGGAAAAATTAGATCATTGTATTAAGAGACTATAGAGTAATAAAAATTACAGAACTTTGAAAAAGTAAATTAGAATTAAAATTTTAAATATCATAAGTTTTAAAACTTTTTTTTTTCTTTTTGGGTCACACCCAGAATTGCACAGGGGTTACTCCTGGGCTCATGCACTCAGGAATTACTCCTGGCAGTGCTTGGGGGACCATATGGGATGCTGAGAATTGAACCCGTGTCAGCCACATGCAAGGCAAACGCCCTACCCGCTGTGCTATCGCTCTAACCCCAAAACTTACTGAAACTTTACAGGAAGAAAAGCTATTTTGGATTTTGCACCATTTGTGGAATTTCATGATATATTTAAAGCATTTTTATTACATTAAGTTACTTTAAGTCTTGAAGGTTTGGGCATATGGTCATGAGTTCTCTATTTCCTCTGGTATTTCAGTCATGGTTCTGATATCAGGTCTATGTAGATTTGCACAATCAACATACATATTTTTTTAAAAATTTTTTTTATCTAATTTTTTTTATTATTATTAGTGAAACACCATGAGGTACAGTTGTAGATTTACAATTTTTTGTGCTTGGATTTCGGTCATACCGTGATCAAATACCCATCCCTCCACCAGTGCCCATTTTCCACCTCCATGGATAATATCCCTCCCACCCCCATCCCTCCCATCCCACCCTGCCTCTGTGGCAGGGCGATCCCTTGTGCTCTCTCTCTCCTTTTGGGTGTTGTGGTCTGCAAAAGAGGCTTTGAGTGGCAAACATCAACATACATTTTATACAGTTCATAGTAGATGGAATTCTGTGCTTTTTTGCTGTCTTTATGTAATAGATAAAATTCTTTGCAGATTTTATATTTTATTATCAGTTTTGGCATTTAAGGTAAAATACTTGTCTTCAATCTCTTTCTTGATAGGTGGGCCGCACATGGCACAAATTGATAAAGACCCGACAGGAAGAAGGTGCAGACAACCAAGAGCTTCATCAGCTATGGAGGAAACTGACTCAGTTGCTGGCAGACAGCCCCGAGGACCAGAATAACGAGACCCAGCAACTGGTATTGACTTGTTTAAGCGCCACTGTCGTCAGCACTGATCATTTGAATTTACAAAATGGAAATGATACAAAAATTTCAGATACACATAATATGATAATGAGATGGATGTCAGAGTAGATACATTATAAAATGTTCAGTATCTAATCCATCAGGACCTTACCCGACAAAGTCAGAATTATGGCCTGTAATCTGGATATCCAAGTTTGAACAGAATTGAGTTGCTTTTCATGGTATCAGACTCTTCTTCCCTTATATTCATAACACATTAAATCTGCTATTTTGGGCACTGTAAAACAAAGAAGTGTGAGATTGACTTTCACAAAACTGCTAACATCTAAGAAGGGTGTGCCTAGTAAATAAATTTCTTTACGTGTATGAACGCAGTGTTAAATTTTTATACATATATTTATATTTTATCGAATCATCCTGAGATACAGTTACAAAGCTTTTATGATTGAGTTTCGGTCATATAATGATTGAGCACCCATCCCTACACCAGTGTGCATGTTAAATTATATTTGAGATTCAACAAATCAATGAATTTTTCTCGGCTGTTTTTATTATTCTGAGAATTTATATATTGAAATCTTCACTTTTTGGTGTGCACTTTTGAGGTCATTGGAAAGAACTTTTTAAAAGTCATAATTAAAAGCCCACTGGTTTTGAGCTATAATTGGAAAATAGTGCCATTTTGCTTTATTGTAAAAGTTTAAGATAAGCTTAATTTCTTATTAAACTGAATAGTAACTCATTACACGTTTGTTACATTGAATGGTATTTCTATTTTTTAATTTTAAAGTTAAAATATTCGATATGCCAGACACAGTAACAACAAAGTCTCCAATGGAGACGTTACTGGGCCCGCTCGAGCAAATCGACGATCAACGGGAGGGCCTTTACCTTTACCTTTACCTAAAGTTAAAATTGGTGGTGGTGGCGGGATGGTTGCTCACACCTGGCGGTGCTTGGGGGCCACTTTAGCTCTGTGCTTGTGACCTTGCATTGTGAAGGATCAAATCTGCCACATGCAAGGCTGGTGCCTTAAGTCTTTCACTACCTCGCCAGATGCTGAATGTGATTTTAATTTAATTAATTTATTTTTCTTTTGGGGTCACACCCTACGATGCTCAGGACTTACTCTGCACTCAGAAATTACTCCTGGTGGTGCTTGGGAGACCATATGGGATGCCAGGGATTGAACCCAAGTTGGCCGCGTGCAAGGCCCTACCCACTGTTCTGTTGCTCCGTCCCCTGATTGTGATTTTTATTTTATTTTTTTTAATTTTTAAATTTTATTTTCATAAGGTTGTTTACATTAATTGATTACATTCAGTATTTCCACATCAGTTTCACCACCATTACACCTTCCAACCATCATTACACTGTTCCACCATTATTTTGAATTTTCCCACCACAGTTCAAGCCTGCCTGACTGCCACAGGCAGATTCTAGATAATTCATTTTCTATTACTTATTATGAATATAGTGAGAGGTCCTGCGGCCACTTTTGCGGCTGCGTGCTTCTGAATGAATGTGATTTTTAAATATAAGCAATTTTAGTCTCTGCAAAGCTCGGGAAACTGATTTCTTTGTTTGTTTACTTTGTTTACTCATAATTTATTCCACTATTCAAAACATTCTGAGAATTTACTATATGTCAGGTAGAATTATAGGTGCTAGGGAGTACAAATGGGAGAATGAGATTTGCACTTGTTTTCTTGTGGTTTATTTGTATATAGATTCAAATGTGATAGAAGTAGAATATTGCAAAGTTAAGGTGATTACCAGTTTAAATCATATTATTATCATATTATGACTTCTGGGGTTTTTTTTTTAACTATTATTCCCAGAAGGTCAGACATATACCAAAATATATACAGCTGCTCTTGTTCAATAACCTTTAGAAGATTTCTTTAGAACTTTCCTTTAAAGTTAGGTATATTACATATATATTTATATATATTTACATGTGTATATATATTTATTTATAATATTGTGTAAAAGAAATGGTTTCATCATAATTCAGTCTTGTCTTTTTCACTAGAAGTATAACTTAGCTGCATAAGATTTTTAGCTTGGAATATTTGCTATCCTAAGAAGTATTGCTAATTTATGGCTATTTCCCATTAATTTAATGCTATCAAAATTAGAATGTGTTCCAGAACTTAAACATACTTTTCCTCATTGAAATTACTACTGGGGCCAGGCAATAAAATACATGTGCAGTTGATTGGCGCAGTTTGTATGAGTCCTTAAGTTCAACTCTTTATTGTATTTTTTTATGTAAGTATGTTACAAGTTGTACCTTTTCTGTTTCAGCTTTTATCTGCTTTTGAGAATGCACTGGTCTTATCAGATAAGATTCCTAGTGAAGATCACCAAGTACTGTATACACATTTCATTCAGTGTTTATCCAAAGTATGTTGATTTCCCTTTTTGTGGGGGTGGATTTCCAAATAGTACTCAGGGTACCCAGGCTACATCCCACCATACTTGACTTGATGCTTGGACCCAGAGTTCTGGGAGACACCAGGGCCACACTGGACAGTGTTCAGGCTGGGGTCATGTGGTACTTGGGATTCAGTTTGCAAGTGTATGGCATGTGCGCTATGTTACTGATCCCAATGTGTGTCAGTTTTTCAAATTAAATTTTTATATTCTAATTAGGAAAGTTTTCAATAGTATATTTTGCTGCTACTTGATTTATTTTACTTTTGTATTTTCAAGTTTCCAAATGAGACTGCTCGGTTGACGAAGGCTTGTGAAGAAATGATAAGCATCTATCCTACTGTTCAATATCCATTAGAAGTGCTTTGTCTGCATTTAATAGATTCAGGTAATTTTTTTCTTTACTGTGTGGCCTAAGATATATTGAGTATCTAGGACAGGACTCATGTTGCCATGAGTTAGGCATTTCTTTAATTCCTGCCTCATGTAGGGTACTATTTCAATATCTCTTGACTTAAAAGGAAGTGTGTGTGTGTGTATATATATATATATATATATATATATATATATATATACACACATATATACACACACATATATATGAATATGCACATATATATTATATATAATATTAGCATTCCTAGCTACAGAGATCTGGCAAAAAAAAAAAAAAACAAAGAAAAAAGAAGTCAAAGGAATAAAATTGGAAAAGAAGTCAAATTACCCCTTTGCAGATTTTATGGTAATATACATAGTAGACCCCTAAAGAGTCCACAAAAAAGTTCCTAGAAGCAGTAAATGTAGTAAAGTGATTTGGTACAAAGTCAGTATACAAAAATTGCTTGCATTCATATAAGCAAACAATGAACCAGAGGAGAAGGGTCCAACCTGTTCAAAGTAGTGTTCAAAAAGATCAGGTACTTAGTAATCAACTTAAGAAAAGACATGGCAGATTCATACCCTGAAAGCCTTAAATCATTTAAAAAGGTAGAAGAAAACTTGAGGAAATGGAAAAAATTTTGTGCTCTTGGATTGGAAGAGTCACTATCAATCAAAGTGACATCTGACTTAAATTATTATATAGATTCATACAATCCCAATCCAAATTCAGATGACATTCTTCAAGGTCTTAGAACAATCAGTAATAAAGTTTCTATGGAATCAGAAGAGACCCTGTGTGGCCAAAACCATACTGAAAAATAAGAAACTGGGAGGTATCTCATTAGCTAACTTAACACTATATGCTAATGCTATAATTATCAAAACAGCATGGCACTGGAATAAAGATTGACTCCGACCAGTGTGTCAGAATCGAATACTCAAGGGCAAATCCCCATATCTACGGACAGCTAATTTTCAACAAACTGCTGAGAACATGAAATGTAATAAATGCAGCCTCTTCAACAAATGGAGCTGGAAAACTAGAACGACCATGTGTAAAAATATTAAAAGTGGCTCCATGTCACACACTTTACATAAGAGTTGACTTAAAGTAGATGAGATCAGACTGGAATCTATACAGTTCATTGAAGATATGAAGGCAGAATAGTCCAAGATTGGACCTCATGAGAGTCTTTAATGATGTGATGCCATTGGTAAAGACAATAGGTAAAGGTAAAGGTAAAGGTAAAGGCCCTCCCGTTGATCGTCGGTTTGCTCGAGCGGGCCCAGTAACGTCTCCATTGGAGACTTTGTTGTTACTGTGTCTGGCATATCGAATACTCTCGGTAGCTTGCCGGGCTCTCCGAGAGGGGCGGAGGAATCGAACTCGCGTCGGCCATGTTGGCCGCTTGTAAGGCGAACGCCCTACCCGCTGTGCTATCGCTCCAGCCCACAAAGACAATAGAATCAAAAATAAATAAATGACCTTTTGCATGGCAAAAGAAATGTAGATTAGAAATAAAGAACAGCTAACTGATTGGGAGACAATATTGGCACTCAGCACATCAGATAAAGAGTTGATATCCAGGATATATAAAGTACTTACAAAGACCAACAACAACAACCAAAAAAAAAAAATCCCAAAATCCTCTCACAAAATGGGGAGAAGAAATGAACAGGCATTTTTTTGAGGAAGACCGAAACTGATGATTGTCACTTAATATTAGGGAAATCCAAATCAGGACGGCACTAAACTATCATTTCATACCAGTGGAAATAGTGCATATCAAAACACTGAGAACAGTTTGTTGGCGGGTTGTGGTACAAAGGGAGCTCTTGTTTACTGCTGGTGAGAATGCTGTTTGGTTCAACCCCTTTTAAAAATGGTATGGAGAATTCTTAGTAAACTAAGGATTGAGCTGCCATAGGTCTCAGCAATTCCACTTCTGGGTATCTACCATCAGGACACAAAAGCATTCTTCATAAGGATGGCCATTATTCATTGCAGCGCTTAGTACAGTAGCTAAGATACAGAATCCAACTAGGTGTCCAATGGCAGATGAAGGGATTATGAAGATGTTGTGTATATACACAGTGGAATACTATGCAGATATAAGTGCATAGATGAAATCTTGCCATTCACTGCAACTTGGAATAGAAGTGGAAGATAACATGCTAAGTGAAGTAAATCAGAAGGACAAACAGGATTGTCTCACTTACCTGTGATATAGAGAATAACTGGATGAGGAAAGGCAGTGTAGTAAAGGGGGGATACCCAGACCATTCTTGACCCCGGAGTATGGAGACCACAGAGAGGAAAAAAGTTGCTGGGGAGAGTAAGTGTGGGACTGGAGGTAGTGAACTTGGGTTACACAGGTGGTATAGAGGAGTGGTACAGCTCTCTCTCTAAACCGTAGCATCAATAATGATGAAAGCAGAAGATCCAGATCACGACAACCAAACTGAAAGATGTGCCTGTGAAAGGGGCAGCTTGGGGATGGGAGGGGGCTGGGGGGAACCTGGAGACCTTGGTGGAGGGAAGGTGAAACTGGTGGTGGGACTCATTTAGGCATAGTTTGCCTAAATCTCAACTATGAATAGCTTTGTAAATAATAGTAGCTTAATAAAGTTAAAAAGAACTTGTGGAATAGAACAGTTCAAGCTTTTGTGCGTTACTCTGGAATGAAAGTTGAGTAATCAATGCAGGACGGAGAGACCTATCCTGACCACTTTCTTTTACCCGACCCTCCCCTCCCCCGCCAACTTTTCATTGCTGCTCTAAACTGAAGTTAATAGCCTCTGAAAAGCCTGTGAGTTGTCTAAAGGTTGGCGTGTCCTCCCCCATAGTTCTTGAGTATCTGCCAAATTTGTTTCTTCATCACAATACATCACAAATTCGTATTTCATTCTTTGTCCTCCTTTGCAAATTGAAGCTTGAAGATTCATTTTTCAAGATGACTCAGTGTGTAAAACTTCACATAATAAGTGAAGAGATTTCACAGTTGTCATCGGATGAAATGTTTCTTGCTTAATGACCTTTTTGATTTAGTCTCTTGTGTTGTATTGCTGTAATGGAGGAGAAGGCGTAACTCTTTAAGTCCAAACAGAAAAGAACTTCTTCTTTTATGTGCTAGAAATATTTGAAAATAAAGAAGCAAGTACATTTTGTACTCATATCCCACCCCCCATGTTTATTTAAAGGAAAAATCAGGTTGTAGTGACAAGTTTGTATGGGATCTCTGAAACGAACTAGTTATTATTATTTTTTTTTTAAGAAAGCTTACTCTTGCTGTCCTCAAGGCCTACTCCTGGCTCTCTGTTCAGAGATTATTCCTGGTAGGTCTTGGACCACATGGGGTGCCAGGGTTCAAACCCAGTTAACCTGCATGCAAGACAACGCCATACCTGTCATACTGTCTCTCCAGCCCCAGACTTCTTTTTTTAATTTTTTGTGGTAACCTTTATGGAACAGAATTTTCATGGGCATTTCGGAAACAAATCTATCCTGAGTCTCTCCCAAAAACCTTTTATCATTGAAGATTTTGCCAGCATTATAAAGCCCAAGACTTTTTAATGACTAATTAAAATGATATTGTGGGGATGGAAAAATGATAGTACAGTGGATAAGACACTATTTCATCCTGGCACTGCATATGATCCCTTAAGCACTGTCAGGTGTGGCCCAGGCCTCCCCCCCCCACCAAATATGTTGTATATTTTATATACATATGGTCAAATTATAGTAAAGTTGTTAACCTGGAATCTTAGTATCTTTTAAATGTTGGATTAAGGGAGGTAAATTATTTAAGTACTTTTCTATTCCAATGCAGTGCAGCCTACTTCTTCTTTGTTGTACCCTTTGTATTTATTTTGCTGATATTCCTAATGAGAACAGGTATAGAGAAGTGCCAGGGTAGTCCTAGTCTCATTACACAGTACAAATGGTGTAATCATTACAGGTGATGGTTTTCAGGAATTCTGTATAGAATTCTTCTCCATGCTTTGTGTGTGTAGATGGAGCGTGTCTATGCTACATAGCACCAGACATGAGCACGGTCTTCTGAAATTTTTTGTAATTGTGCTCCTCGAAGTTAGCAAAGAGAGTATATTAGGGATGTTTACTTTGTCTTAAAAATTATTTGTATTTCATGTGTACGGACCCCGCAGTAGGTTACTGTCGCCGGGCCACACCAGGGGGGAAAGGGTGCTGTCCCTCCGCCTGCTCCCCCTTGGTGGCTCGCTGGCCGCCATCCTCCAGAGGCCATTGGACAGTCAGGCTTGGGCCCGCAGTGATGAAACTTGTTGGGCTTCATGGGATGGGGGTGGAGCCAGTCCTGTCCTCCCCACCCCAACAAGACCCCAAGTCATCGCTCACTGGCTCCTGATCAAGCGGCTTAACGTCCATGATCCCAGAGACTCAGGAGCAAATCTTGGAACCCAGTGGCTTTTGGCAGAAATCCCTCCAGATTTAAGTGTTAAAATTTCGGAATTTCAAAATCGCGCGGCCACTACTGCAGCCACGTGACATCATATGTTATTCATAACCAGCAATAGAAAACAGATTGTGTACTGTTGCCTTTTCGGCAGATCTGAGTGTTGGGGTAAAATCTCAAATAATAATGGTGGGTCTGGTGTCAAAGTGTTGAATGTGATCAAAGTAGAGAGAGAGTAATGTGGAAATCATCTGCCCCACAGGTAGGGGGAGGGTGTGGGTTGGGGGTATACTGGGATTTTTGGTGGTGGAGAATGGGCACTGGTGAAGGTGTTTCATTGTATGACCGAGACTGGGACCCAAAAGCTTTGTAACTGCTCTCACGGTGATTCAATAAATAAAATTATAAAAAAGGAAAAAAGTAAAGTAAGGTGGAGTTCATTCCCAATTTAATCATGAAAAATATTCATTCAATCATGCAGTATATTCCTACATAAAAAAATTATTTGTATTTCAGTCTTTTGGGAATTTGCATTCATGAACCCATCCACATTTTGCTTACCTGTGCACATTGTTAGATATCCCCAAGAAAGATCACTGGATAAATGCCAGAAATTTCCCCTCTTGTTGTCCCAAGTGTGTTTTCTATTATAAGGATAGTTTATGTAGCCAAGGTAGTCTGTCATAAATTATTTTTCAATGGAGTAAGAGAGTTTTTGACACAAATAGGTTGAAATTAAAGTAGTGTTTATTAGCCATTTAATTTTCAAAATGGTGAAATTTTAATTTGGGGAGTAGGGTGGATTTTGGACCATATCTGGCAACTGGACCTGGCAGTGCTCAGGGGGAAAACTGTGATGCCAGGGACAGAAATGTGGCTGCAAGACCTTAGCCCCTGTACCATCTCTCTGATCTAGGATGGTATAGTTTGAAATGTTTCTGTAGTCATTCTTAGCTCTTATTTATTAACAGACTAAACTTCATAGACCATCAGTCCATAATGCCATTTTAAAAGGATCATTACAAAATTTTAACACGCGTACAGAAACAAGGTTCTTGGCTGTTTCTTACCCTCGAGAAGTTTCTGTTTAGGTTTGATCCTTGGCACCCCCAGTACAGAGCTGAAGTAACCCTTGAGCTCTGCCAGAGATGCCCCTGAAACAAAGGAAAAGAAAGAAAATTCCGCTTAGCTAAAGATGCAACAAGGACAAAGGAAGGGACTATATACTATGATCAGCAGTACCTGGAAACTTGTTTAAAACGCAGATTTCCACATCTCACATAAGTTCTATCAAATCAGAAGCTAGCATTCTGTGGTTTTAGCAACTCACCCAAGTGGTTCCTGATGTTTAGTTTAGACAATACTATTGAGTAGGAAGGGGCAACAATCCTACAGGCAAGGGGGATTCTAGGCTGTATGATCTTTCTTACAAATTACATACATGTAGATGCTATAGTGAGATCATATTGACAGAAAGAAATATATATGTGGAAGCATAAGAGTGGATTTCTGTCTTGTTTTTCTACTTACTAATCGAGTAGTATTTCTTCCCATTTGTTTCATAGTTAACCAGGCAGTGTTAACCTTTTATTATGATTTGGGTCAGATCCAGTGGTGCTCAGGGGTCCACGTGCCGCCTGAGATAAAGTCCAGGGCTCATGTTTGAGCCAGAGTGTGTTCTCTGGTGCTTTGAGTCACTCACTTCCCAGGCCCCAATGTGGTCATTTAAATTTTTTCAGTACTGTGAATTCTTTCAATATTTGGTGGTAACTTGGATTTCAAGTTCCTTTTATTATATTATTATGCTTTGAGCATGGCTATGTATCTTGCTGTGAGTCTTAAAATAATGATAGACAATGTAAGTGGCACGGTGAAAAGAATGTACTTGTCACATTAGTGACAGTGGTTCCACTGACTTTTTATTCTCCAAATTTATTGTTCAAGTTGTAGTTTGTTTTTTCTAAGATTTCGCCTGTGTGATTGAAAATTGGCAGTTGTAATATGCCACATTAGTTTATTGAAAATACAAATCAGGGGCTGGAGAGATGGTGCAGGGTTTAAGGTGCTTGTCTTGCTTGTGGCTAGCCCCAACTCACTAGCCTGCCCCACATATGACCCCATCTCACCTCTAGAGTAGAAGTCTAGGAGTAAGCCCCGAGTGCTGCCACTTGTGGTCCCCAAACAACACTCTATCCCTAAACCTCAAACAAAATGAGAATCTTATTTTTCATCTTTTTTAAAAAAAAGTTTTGGGCTATACCCAGCCCAGCAGTGTTCAAGGGTTACTATTATTTTAGGCTTGTTTGGATGTGGATATTCTGAGAAATGGTGGGATGAGAAAATTGGACTGTATCAGAGTATACAGTAGTTTTTCTAAATTATTTTCCCAAAATAAATGTAGGCATTGGATGATCAGTACCAAAATGTAACTGTTAACTGATATAGGAAAAGGAATTTGTGAAAGAACATAGAAATATACTGCTGAACTGTAATAGTGAGACTCAGCCTTTGTGAGTTCAGTAGTAACCTTTTTTGGTCCTAGAGTACTGGATCTGACATCTTGGCTTCTCCATCCCGACTAGGACACGGTTTTCCAGGGGAAAGATCAGGGAATATGTTGTCCTTTGGCAGGAATTCTTTAATTTAACTACTCAAATGATTGCTACTGAGTAAATCATGGAGACCTGCCAGCAGTGGGCTGTGTGTCTTACTGAGTGGCCCTTGGTGGTAGGTTTCTTGTTTTAACCCTTGAGTATGACTTCAGGACCCTTTAACTCATACTTCTGTGGGACAGGTGGTTTGGACATGTGGTGTTTAAGTCAATGATAATCCTTAATTTTCCTGATGAATTGTTAACTATATATTTTTGACAAACTGGCAGGCTACCGAATGTAGCCTGCCCACATGGCAGAGTCTGGCAAACTCCCTGTGGCGTCCCCAATATGCCAAATACCAGTAACAGTGATGGGTCTCATTCTCCTAAAGAGCCTTGAATATAATCTCAGGGCTAGGATGAAGGAGACGTTACTGGGGCCTGCTCGAGGCAATCGACGAATAACAGGATGATTTGTGATTTGTGATATTTTTGACATTTGTTGGTCCACTTTTGGATTTATGTAAACAGGGTATAGGGGTAGAGAATGTGTCAGACAACTTTTCAGAGTTAAGCATATTGTTTTGCACACTTGAAATTTTTTGTGTATGGTAATGGCTTTTTCTTTTAATTCCAGGAAATCTTACAGATGAGGGACATCAGTATTGTTGCAGACTGGTGGAAATGGATTCAAAAAGTGGTCCAGGTCTGATTGGTCTAGGCATTAAAGCATTTCAAGATAAAAGGTATGAAGATGCTGTTAGGAACTTAGCAGAAGGTAAGTTTAGAACGTGTAGCATATAACAATGAAATATAGTTGCTCTCCAGTCAGTAGCATTTATCTTTGGTCTTTCTTTAAGAAATGTATATTTAAGATACAGACCAAAAAAAGAGAGAGGAAAAAAAGTACTTCCTGGAATTAGTCTTACGTTTGATTTCTAATTCTGCCACTCATTAATTTTAAGAACTTGGGAAAGTTTAATGAAGCAGTTTAATTTCTTCATTGCGAATAGGACTTGTAATCTCTCCATCCGTAGGAGGCATGAACTTAGTCTTGTCTTATGTATCTGGATGAACTTATATTCAGATTGAGGTCTGAATGACAAATACCAAGCCTGGTGGTAGGAAGAGCATTTTAGGTCATAAAATGAAACTGCCTGAAAATGAGAGGAAAGGTGGTAATCATGGTGCTGCTTGCCATTCTGCAAGATTTGAGCATGAAGTATGGGAGGAGAAAGAGGCAAGGACTTGAAAGTCGATAAAGGACCCAACGTGATAGCCTCTCAGTATCTGTATTGCAAACCATAATGCCCAAAAGTAGAGAGAGAGAGTATGGGGGAAATTGTCTGCCATAGAGGCAGGGGGAGGGTTGGAAGTGGGGGGATAGTGGTGGAGAATGCGCACTGGTGGAGGGATTGGTGTTTGATCATAGTATGACTGAAATTCAGACATAAGCTTTGTAACAGAATCTCACAGTGATTCAATTAAAAAAAAAAAGAGGCCAGGACTGATGCTGGAGAGGTAAGCACCGCATCAGACCTTGTTACAGAGTTCACAGTTTCTCAGGGAAGCAGTAGAAGGTTTTAAGCAGAGCACTTGCCCTATCAGAAATATTCTGACTCTGAACTGTGAAATACAGTTTCAGGGGCAGACACTTGTAATGATGCTGGATAGATAGGCCGAAACTTGAAAACCTATCAAAGATGATCAAATCTGGATTAAAAGTAGTGGTGTGAGAGAAATGGTTTGCGGGTTGAAATCTGACTTTTTGACCGATTTTATATGAGATACGGGGAATGGGAAAGATTCTGTTGGGATTAGGTGGGTGACTTCGTTCATCTCAATAGTCATTGGAAAGCTTGTGATTGCTTTTATCCGTGTAGGGTTAAAGGAATGTTCGCTCTGCACAACTGGATGGTATCACCAGGCAAAAGCCCTCGTCAAACTGCACAGACCTAAGGAAGCTGTTCTTTCATGCACTCAAGGTATTGGTGCCTCCGTTAAGGGTGACCCATCTGCTGCTTTTCACTTTTTTTTTTTGCTTTTTGGGTCACACCTGGCGATGCTCAGGGGTTACTCCTGGCTCTGCACTCAGAAATTATTCCTGGCAGTGCTCAGGGGACCATATGGGATGCTGAGAATCGAATCCGGGTTGGCCGCGTGCAAGGCAAACATCCTACCCGCTGCACTATCGTTCCAGCCCCTGCTTTTCATTTTAAAGGAGCATAGTGGTTTCAAAAATTCAGATACTCGGGGCTGGATAGTACATCAAGTAGGGCACTTGTCTGGTTTGCAACTGACCTGTGTTTGATCCACAGCACCATGTATGGCCCCTGAGCACTGAGCACAGAGCACTGTCAGGTATGATCCCTAACCTAGAAAAAAAAAATCCAGATGTGATTATTTTATATTTTACGATGCAGTTTATTTATGTAATTTGTTTGGGGCTACACCTGGCAGTGCTCAGTGCTCACTCCTGGCTCTGTACTCTCAGTGATCACTCCTGGCATGCAGGCCATATGGAGTGCCAGGTATCTAACTCAGGTTGGGTGTGTACCAGGCAAGCTCCCTACACTCTGTACTATCTCTCAGAATCAAAGTTTATTATAGCTTATACCAAAAAAGAAGAAAAATGATATGGTTTTCTTCGTTCCACTGTGCTTAATCTTGTCAGCTCTAAAGAACATTGATAGTCTCGGTGTGTCTGGTGATCAGAAGATCAGAGATCAGAAGAATCTTTGTCTGCATGTGAAAGCCGAGGCTTTGATTAAACTCTCCGACTTGGAATCTTCGGAGGAAGCAATCCGTACTCTTGATCAGGTAGACTTACCATCTTTCCCCCTCAGTTATATTTAATTTTCGGTCATCCAGATAGCCATTCTCTCTCTCACAAATAGTAACCTGCTTAAATTTGTGTTAGAGATGTGAACTCATCCCGTCTGCAGTTTCATAACTCATTCACAGAACCAGAAACTCCTAGAGTGTGTGTGCTTCTTGGTTGAGTGTTTGCAGTGCTTTTCATGTGGTACTCTCTGTTGCTTTCTAACTTATTTTATTTTTTCTCTTTATCCCCTTCTTTGGTTATTACTTCTTAATGATGATAATGATTAATTTGGGATTCTAAGTGTTGTTCTCTAGAAAATATTTTATGTATTTTTTTGGCAAGACTTACTTAAATTCACAGTAATTATAGCCACATAATTTTACTTACTTTATTAAATATAATAAAATACTCGAAGACTACTAAGAGTGGAAGTAGTTTCTTAATGTTCTGTGTTCAAGCAATTGAAGTTTCCTAGTCAAAAGTAACTAGTAAATTATGAATGATAACAATATGTGATTTTAAAGACTTTTATCAGGGATAGGGCATTTTTTGGTCTTAAATTTATGTTCCATTGCTTAATATATGTAAAATTGTTTTATATATTTCAAAGGACTTTGAATTTTATAACGTTTTAAAATGAGAACGGTTGCAGTGTCCTTCAGGAACTAAAGTTTTTACTTTTGTTTCCCAACCTAATGGGAGTCTCTAAAGATCTCTACGAATGCTTCATAGAGATCTTTGTTCTCTCTCTCTCTATATATAATTTTTTCCCCTTTTTCCCCTTTGTTACAAAAATACAAAATGAAATGTTCTTCAGAGACTGCTAGAGCTCATGTCTGAGAAAATGTGCAAGGTGAACCCATACATCTTAAAATGCTAGAGAACAGGGATACTGTGGATGCTGGAATCGGGTGAGAAGGGCTCAGAAACTAACATGACTTGGTCCTCACTGGTTAAGGTGGGGATGACTGAAACTTCAGTAACTGCAGTGGATGAAAGCATCAACTATATTTATCAGTTGAAGAGAGAGAAAGTGTTAGTAATGATCGCAGCCAGGATGTCTGTGTCATTGTCTTCTCCGGTTGTATTTTTAATGAAAACAAACATTGCTGCATTATGTTGAAGGAGTTTCAAAGCATTTTTTCATTTGATTAATTTTTAGGTGTCTGACGCAAATAATATTCCAGGACTTTTGGTTCTTAAGAGCTTGGCTTACTTGAACATAGGCTCATTAGATGAAGCTACAAAGGTGATTTTTTTTCTTCATTTAAATTTAGATTTTTTAAAAATATAAGCTTAGTTTTTCTTTGACTATGGAATTGACAGATATCTATTTTATAGATTATGGAAGATCTTCTCTCTTCTTACCCTGACCTAGCTGAAGTTTGTGCCCTAGAAGGTTTTTTTCATTTTACAAGTAAGGATTATCTACAAGCAGAAACATGGTAAGCATCTGTTTAGATTGCTCCTGGTTTTAGTCCTTAAAATTGCTTAAGACTGGATCCATCTTTTTTTTTTTTTCTTTTTGGGTCACACTCAGCGATGCTCAGGGGTTACTTCTGGCTCTGCACTCAGGAATTACTCCTGACGGTGCTCAGGGGACCATATGGGATGTTGGGAATCGAACCCAGGTCGGCTGTTTGCAAGGCAAATGCCCTACTTGCTGTGCTATCGCTCCAGCCCCAAGACTGGATCCATCTTAAGTTATTGTTTTTCCTCAAAACTTTAAAGTGAATGGGCTTGGTAAAGATCCAGCTTTGTATTAATTTAATCTTTGTAAGCTTTTAAGAAATGTATCTATCACGTCACACAGCAGCTATAAAAAATTCTGTAGGGTTGAAATCTAATGAGCTGATCATAATTTTCAGTGATCATGCATAATATTTGATGCGTCTTTTTTTTTTTTTTAATTTTTATTAGTGAAACACCAGGAGGTACAGTTGTAGACTTACAAATTTTGGTGCTTGGGTTTCAGTTATACAATAACCGAGTACCCGTCCCTCCACCAGTGCCCATTTCCCACCACTATGGATCCCAGTATCCCTCCCACCCCCCATCCCCCCACCCCACCCTGCCTCTGTGGCAGGGCATTCCCCTCTGTTCTCTCTCTCCTTGATGCGTCTTTTTTTTAATCAAAGTAACACTTTATTTTATTTTTATTAAGGGCCTTGTGAGATATTTTGGAGCCATGGTACAGCGGGTAGGGCGTTTGCCTAGCGCGCAGCCAGCCTGGCCGAGCCGGGTTCGATTCCTCCGCCCCTCTCGGAGAGCCCGGCAAGCTACCGAGAGTATCTCGCCGGCACGGCAGAGCCTGGCAAGCCACCCGTGATGTATTCGATATGCCAGACACAGTAACAACAAGTCTCAGAATGGAGACGTTACTGGGTCTGCTCGAGCAAAATTGATGAACAACGGGAGGACAGTGAGATATTTATTTATTTATTTATTTATTTATTTATTTTTATTGAATCATGGTGAGAACAGTTACAAAGCTTTCAGGTTTAAGTCTCGGTCATACAAGGATCAAACACCCATTTCTTCACCATTGCTTATGTTCCACCACCAAGAACCCCAGTGTACCCCCCCTCATCCCAACCCTCCCCCTGCCTGTGTGGCAGATGATTTTCACTTTGCTCTCTCTTCGATTACATTCAGTTTTTTGACAGAAGACCCACTATTATTGTTTGGAATTTGCCCCCAACTATCAGACGTGCCAGAAAGGCATCATTAGATTATTTGTTTTCCATTGCTGAAAATGAAGCATATATGATGTTGCGTGTCCTCGACAGCAGTCGCACAGTTTTGGATTTTTGGTATTTTAGTAATGAAGTCAAGAGGCATTTCTGCCAGAAGCCACTGGGTTCCCAGATTGGTTTGTGTGCCTCTGGGATCATGGATGTTTGGGAGCGAAGCTTGATGCATCTTCTGACCATTTAGCACTTTTTAACAAATTCGGTTTTGGGGTCATACCTGGTTGTGATCAGGGCTTCCACCTGGCTTCGCTCAGAGATCCCTCTTGGCAGTGCTTGGGGGACCATGTCTTGTGCTAGGGGTTGAAATGGGGTCAGCAGTATCAAGGCAAGCACTTTAATCCCTTCTAATCTCTCTTCAGTCCTAAATTAGACTTTCATAATGCTAAAAAGTCCTTGAGTCTTTTTAAACTGTTTTTTTTAAATGTAGGAGTATTGCTATTTATTCAGCCATTGATTAGGCTGATTGAATTGGGCATGAAGTCCACCTTACTTTTTTTTTTTTATAAATTTATTTATTGAATCACCATGAGAACAGTTGCAAAGCTTTTGTGTTTAAGTCTCGGTCATTTCAATGATGAAACACCTGTCCCTTCACCAGTGCCCATTCTCTACCACCAAAAACCCCAGTATTCCCCCATCCCAAACCCTCCCCCTACCTGTGGGGCAGATGATTTCCACATTACTCTGTCTCTACTTTGATTTCATTCAATACTTCGACACCAGACCCACCATCATTATTTGGAAGTTTACCCCAACACTCAGATCTGCTGAAAAAGCAATGGTAGACAATTTGTTTTCTATTGCTGGTTATGAATAACATGTTGTCGTGCGACCGCAGTAGTGGCCGCGATATTTTGGAATTCCAAAATTTTAATAGTTAAATCTGAAGGGATTTCTGCCCAAACCTGCTGTGTTCTGAGATCTGTTCCTGAGTCTCTTGAATCATGGCCCTTAAGCAGCTTGATCAGGAGCCAGAGAGGCCGTTCATGGGTGGCAACCCAGGGTCTTGTTGGGGCGGGGAGGAAAGGGCCAGCTCCATCCCCATCCCGTGAGGCCCCCATGTGCTTCATCACTGTGGGCCCAAACCTGACTGTCCAATGGCCTCTGGAGAATGGCGGCCACCAAGCTTCCAAAGGGAACAGGCCAAGGCACGAAACCTGTTTCCACCAGGGGTGGCCCAGCACCAGTAACCTACTGCAGGTTATGCATTTCTGCCAAAAGCTGCTGGGTTCAGAGATTTGTTTCTGGGTCTCTGGGATCATGGCCATTAAGCAGCTTGATCAGGAGTCAGAGAGGCCGTTCATGGGTGGTGACTTGGGGTCTCGTTGGGGCAGGGAGGAAAGGGCTGGCTCCACCCCCATCCTGTGAGGCCCTACTTGTCTTGTCACTGTGGGCTCAAACCTGACTGTCCAGTGGCCTCTGGAAGATGGCAGCTACTGAGCCACCAAGAGGGAGCAGGCGGAGGGACAGCAGCCTTTCCCCCCTGAAGTAGCCTGGCGCCGGTAACCTACTGCGGGGACTGGACGCATTTCTGCCCAAAGCTGCTGGGTTCTGAGATTTGTTTAAGTCTCTTGGCTCATGGCCATTAAGCAGCTTGATCAGGAGCCAGAGAGGCCTTTTGTGGGCGGCGACTTGGGGTCTCCTTGAGGTGGGGAGGAAAGGGCTGGCTCCACCCTCATCCCGTGAGGCCCCGTGTGTGTGTCTCGTCATTTAACTGTTCTAATGTAAATTATGGTTTTCTTTTCTCATTATGATCTAAATCTGAAATTAAGTTACTTGTTTCTGGTTTAACATCCTTCAACTAGGACTCTCCCAGATATATCTATATTTATACACACACACACACACACACACACACACACACACACACACACACACCCCTTCTATTCCTTACTTCCTTTTAATGACTTAGTTTTCAGAGAGCCCTTGAGAAAAATGCTGAAGTTGCAGAATATCATTACCAACTTGGATTAACATATTGGTCCATGGGTGAAGAAACAAGAAAGGATAAAACAAAGGCTCTTACCCACTTTCTTAAGGTAAAACAGGTCAATCTTAGATTCATAAGATCATTAAAAACTTGTGTAAGAGAAGTACTTAAAAGTATTCTGTGTTGAGCTTTTTGTGTGTTCAACTTTATATATAATATTTTGTGAGAATTTTATATATTGGTTTTGAGGTAGAAAATGTAACCAAGAAATTATGTCATTTAAGAAACTCAAGAAAAAAAATAAGTGTAAAAAAAAAAAGAAACTCATTGAAAGTAGACATAATTATCCTTGGAAGACATAGTTTTTACTGTAGTTTTACAGGCATATACATGTTACATACTTTTAGGTACTGAATTTACTGTTTTTATTTGTTTAACATTGAGAGATCTTAATTGTCATCTTGACTCATGAAAGCAGATTAATGCAGTAATGACTATGTACATTTCTTTTAAAAAGAAATAATCTTCTAGTTGTTCTGTACGGAGTGATGGTCATTTTTTTGGTCTGTTTTCAATTTTATTTTAAAATTTAAGTGTTTGGGCATATCTCTCTAATAAAATAATTCCTTCACCCAGTTAATCTGTGTTTTTTATTTTATTTGCATTTCGAAAGAGACCCATCCTATTACGCTTTAATGTTCTTTTACTTTTCTTTTCACTTTGAAGGCTGCCAAGCTAGACCCGTACATGGGCAAAGTTTTCTGCTATTTAGGTCGTTACTACAGAGATGTAGTAGGTGATAGGAACAGAGCCCGCGGGTGCTACAGGAAAGCTTTTGAACTGGATGACTCTGATACTGAAGCTGGAGCTGCGGCGGTTGACTTAAGTGTAGAACTGGAAGAGATGGTATGTTTGATTGCAAACGCCATGGAAACAGCAATATATTGATGTATGTGTATTTGAAAGTTATTTTTTAAAATTTTCTTTGTAGCTAAAACAGGAAAACTTTCTTTTCTCTCTTTTTTTTAACGACTAACTGGCTTAAACATGCTTTAAAATTTAAAATAGAAATTGAATATTTTATTAAACATATTCGTTTAATAAAGTTCATTTATTAAAATTAACTTATACATGAATATATAAATTGCTATCATTGACTTATATTAATATAAATATTTCAGTATATTAACGTATTAATAGAAAAGCTTTTGCCTCTGATGACAAATGTGCTAATCTTTCTTTTCCTTGGCAGATATTTTCATGTTTCCACTGGTGCATACCAGTGGTGGCTGACACTTTGATATCGCTTAATTAACGCAAATTACAGTGCCAGCGTCAGCGTGCTCATTGACTCTCATTGACTCTTTAACTCACTCCAGCTGAGTGAGTTACGGAGTGATGGTCATTTTTTTGGTCTGTTCTCAGGATCTCTGAGTGTAATTACTTCAGACGTAATAACTGGAGGCATATCTTTGTATTTCACGTAGGTTTTCTGTAGTTTTACAGTATTTCATGTCTTTAGTAATCATCTCTTTCTTCCTATTAGGAGACTGCCTTGGCCCTCCTGACAGCTGTGACCCAGAAGGCCAGCGCGGGAACCGCCAAGTGGGCCTGGCTCCGGCGCGGGCTATACTATTTGAAGGCTGGGCAGCATGGTCAAGCAGTGGCTGAGTACGGCGCCCTGTTATGTTCAAATTCTGCCAGAATCCCTAGTGGTTTTTTCAGTTAAACACCGATTCAATTCAAAACAAAAACAAAAAAGAGCTTTATAAGAGGCCTTGATAAATCCTATCTACAAGGAAAAGAATAGTGAAATTTACCCAAGTCGTTGAGGGGTTTTTCTTATCTGCAAGGCACTGGAGTTGTAGAAATGGAATAAATGATCTCTGTTGTTACGGAGATAGCCTAGTGGAGAATTAAAAGGAATAGTTTTCAAAAAACTCACCTAAGTTAACACTGATATTATTTTCCTGCTGATGTGCAGTGTTTGGGCTTGGGGTACGTGTTTGACTATTTCCAGGTATGTGGAGCAGTTAACGGTTAGTCAGTCTGTTTGAACTGTACTTAAGGATAAATAAAATATGTCCCAATAAAGATAAAGGGGGATTATCTTTTTTTTTGGGGGGGGATCACACCTGGTGATACTCAGGGGTTACTCCTGGCTCTGCACTCAGGAATTACTATCCTGGTTGTGCTTGGGGGACCATATGGAATGCTGGGAGTTGGACCTGGGCTGGCCATCACTTAATCACTTAAGTAACTACAACTACAACTGGGCTGGCCATAGGCAAGGCAAATGCTCCACCCGCTGTACTATCTCTCTGGCCCCCAAGATAAAGTTATTTTTAACTTTAACGTGTAGAATATAAACATTTTGAGTTTTCCCGTGGAAATAGTAGTTGATGATGTATATTTAAGTGGTTAGTCATAGTTTTAATTTCGGTATTTCTGGTTTGGTAGAATAGGTGGGGATTTATAGGCTATCAAGAAGCACACTGAGATTTATCCTTATTCCGGTAGTGGGGGAAACTGAAGATCTTTCCTTTATTTATTTTTTTGAAATATAACATTTTACTTGGAAGTTCTGAGGAAGTGGGGAGGAGACAGAGGTAGAGAGGGAGGGAGAGAGACAGAGAGACAATGTGGGCTTCTCCAGAGTGGAGAGGGAGCCTCAGTTCACATCCCAGCCTTATAGATGAAAGTGCTCATCTGAAGATGGGACATGCAGGCAGCATGTTCTTGGGCACCACTTGTGCTCAGCAGCAACACATGGGCACAGGCAGCAGATGAGCTTGGGCAACATATGCCCCTGGTCACGATTTCTTTACAAACTGAACTGAGAATTCCAGGTTAGGGGGAGCTGGAGGGAGAAATGGCGAGGTGGACTGGCAGTAACAAAAGGGCAGTGGTGGAGGGTAATGGGTGCATTAGTGGTGGCAAGGTGAGAGACCTCTACACTAAAATCATAAATGTCAACACTGTTGTAAACTGGGTGGAGGAGGATCTGGGTGGAGGATGCTCGACTCCTCCACCCAGATCCTCCAAATTCCAGTAGGCGGGGGTCACACCCACCAACTGGCCCCCTGGCGCTGTGTAATCCCATCAGCGGCCAAGACTCTGAGACTATAAAAACCAGATCCCGCGGCCGTGCAACATCTTACTATGACATTTCATTCCTAATTTGACAAACTGGCAGGCTACCGAATGTAGCCTGCCCACATGGCAGAGTCTGGCAAACTCCCCGTGGCGTCCCCAATATGCCAAATACCAGTAACAATGATGGGTCTCATTCTCCTAAAGAGCCTTGAAGATAATCTCAGGGCTAGGATGAAGGAGACGTTACTGGGGCCTGCTCGAGGCAATCGATGAATAACAGGATGATCTGTGATCTGTGTTGTAAACATGGAACCTAAGAGTAATAAAGAAAAACAGTGGTCGAAGGAAGTGGGCATTTTGGTGGTGATGATATACTTTTGTACATCAGAACTAAAAATGTTAGTTAATAGTATTATAACTAAGTTACCTAAACCATAATTAAAATATTAGCCATATATATACGTTTTATTCTTATTTTTTCTGAAATTGTAGTAAGATTTCTTCATGTTAAAAAATTTCAAGTCTTGGGAGTTGGAGCAATAGCACAGCGGATAGGGCATTGGCCTTGCACGAAGCCGACCCGGGTTCGATTCCCAGCATCCCATATGATCCCCTGAGCACTGCCAGGAGTAATTCCTGAGTGCAGAGCCAGGAGTAACTCCTGTGCATCGCCAAGTGTGATCCAAAAAAAAGCAATAAATAAATAAAATTTAAAAAAATTCAAGTCTTGAACAGGCTTACCTGCCTTTAATAGGTAAAGGTAAAGGCCCTCCCGTTGATCGTCGATTTGCTCGAGCGGGCCCAGTAACGTCTCCATTGGAGACTTTGTTGTTACTGTGTCTGGCATATCGAATACTCTCGGTAGCTTGCCGGGCTCTCCGAGAGGGGCGGAGGAATCGAACTCGGGTCGGCCATGTTGGCCGCTTGTAAGGCGAACGCCCTACTGCTGTGCTGTCGCTCCAGCCTTTAATAGAACCTTTGTAAATCCAAAGAACCTTGGATATATGTGGTACAGATGAGTTATTTTACAGCTTCCTTTCAGATGTGAAAGTAGTACCATTACTTTTCATCATCTTACTGTTTTGTTGTTCTTACTGTCAATTTTTAAAATTTTAGTTTGCAGGCAGCATTAAGAGCAGACCCGAAGGACTTCAATTGTTGGGAGTCACTGGGAGAAGCTTACCTCAGCAGAGGTGGTTACACAACAGCCCTGAAATCCTTCACAAAAGCCAGCGAGCTGAACCCGGAATCCACGTACAGTGTGTTTAAGGTTGCAGCAATACAGCAAATCCTTGGCAAGTACAAGGAGGCGGTCGCTCAGTACCAGCTGATCATTAAAAAGAAAGAGGATTATGTGCCTGCTTTGAAAGGTAATTTCTGTCCCGTTACCTCCTTTAACTTGTGATACTTAAGTGTAAGATCTTGGAGTAAATTTCCTAAGCACATTGAGTAACTAGAAAAAGATTTCTTTAGTCAAGAGCCAGTGTCCTGCCTGAGCCTCTTTTGAATAGAGGAAGAGCAAACTAACTTCATTACAGCTCAGTAGTCATAAGGTAGAGACTCATTCAGTCTTTAGACAGGTGGCATGGCAACTTGTCAACTTTGAAACAAGCGTTCCCCTGCTTCAGTATTCGACACTTAATTCACTGTGTCCTCAAGATACCAGTATCTTTAGTTTTCTTTTTTACTTCACTTATTTATTTATTTATTTATTGGATTTTTGGGTCATACCCAGCAGTGTTCAGGGTTCTTCCTAGCTCTGCACTCAGGAATTACTGCTGGCGGTACTCGAGGGACTGTGTGGGATCCTGGGGATTGAACCTGGGTGGCCTCGTGCAGGGCAAACACCCTCCCTGCTGTACTATCGCTCCAGCCTCTTTATTTTATTTAACCATTATAATTTATTTGGCATAGTAGCGATCGTGTTGGTATTTATGGCGTGATGCACAGAGTCACTGCACTCCAGTACTGTCCCCCATGCCACGTGCAGTCCCGTGTTCACTTTCTTCACCTTCTCCCCCTCCCATGTTTATCAGTTTTTAAATCCATAGCTGAGGGTTTGTCATTGTTTGATTCTGTGTGTTCCCTGTTTTGTCATTTTAAGAATATCATTGCCTTTTAAATTGCTTTTTAAATTCTAGAAGCTCACAGTTCTCAGCTTTCAAACTTGAGAGGTTAACTTTTGCAGTTATCAAAATTAAGTTCAGTTCCTACTCCTTTTGACGAACTGTTTTTGGCTCTTATAAAGTAAATTGGCACCATCAATATATAATCTCTTAGGACTCTGCCTAAATACTTGAAAAGAATATGTTTTCCTCTGTTGCCTTTCCCTTTCTAAGAGACAATTGAGACTTAAGTCAGACATAGTATGTGTTTTAGTGGTATGTAACCTGGCCTTCAAAACCTTTTGAATCTTTTTTCTTTTACTTCCTGGGTAATATTTGGCGGTGCCAGGATTCAGACCCCTGTTATAGCCAGACCTGCATGCCGGGCATTTGCGTTGACTTTTGTGCTGTCAGGCTCTTGAATAACTCTTACCTCAAGACAAGAACTCACATTTTTTAAATGTTTGGAAAATTACAATTCTATTCAGTTTTATGGTAGCACTGTAGTACTGTCCTCCCGTTGTTCATCGCTTTGCTCGAGCGGGCCCAGTAATGTCTCCGTTGTGAGACTTTTTGTTTCTGTGTTTGGCATATTGCATATGTCACGGGTAACTTGCCAGGCTTTGCTATGACGGTGAGATACTCTTGGTAGCTTGCCGGCCTCTCTGAGAGGGGTGGAGGAATGGAACCCGGCTCGGCTGAGCCAGCCACGCGCAAGGCAAACACCCTACCACTGTGCTATCACTCCAGCCTTTATGGTACAATTTGCAATACAGTTTTGAATGCAAAAAGTTCAAATTTTATTTTTAATGGGCCAGCGCGACAGTTCAGTAGGCTAGAGCTCTTGCCTTGCATGTAGGAGTTTTGGGATCAGTCTCAGTACCACTGGAGCAAACTCCTGAGCCAGGAGTCACCCCTGAGCACCACTAGGTGTGGCTTTTCCTAACCTGCCTGCCCCATCCCACCCCCCAAAAAATCCTAGTTTCACAACACCTATAAATAGCACGTGATAGACTTACACTGAGGTGACACCCCTGTTTTCAGAGCCAAGATTTTAACAGTAGTTGTTAGTCCAAAGTCAGTTCCATAGTTTCTGTTTGTTTGTAAATCATTTTTAGCGTATATTTACTATAATAGAACTTGCCATTTGATTCTTTACTAAATATACCCAGGACCATGCTTAAAATTAATATTTATAAAATAATAGTTTGTTTTCTGTAATGTGACGCCAGTAAACTCAGAATTTCATGTCAAACCTTTTTAACCTATTTTCACAACTGCAAATTTCCCTCTTTTTAGGCTTGGGCGAGTGCCATCTCATGATGGCAAAAGCAGCTCTCGTGGATTATCTGGATGGGAAAGCTGTGGACTATGTAGAGAGAGCCCTGGAGTATTTTACTTGGTTGGTATCACTCTTAGTTTTCCTTGCTTTTGTTTTCTTAGTATCTTTCTGTGTCAGAGATAACGGTATTAAAAATACCAGATATAGGGACTAGAGTGATAGCACAGCATGTAGGGCATTTGCCTTGCACGCAGCTGACCCAGGTTCGATTCCCAGCATCCCATATGTTCCCCTGAGCTCCACCGGGGTAATTCCTGAGTGCAGAGCCAGAAGTAACCCCTGAGCATTGCCGGGTGTAAATCTCCTCCCCCCCCCCCCCCCCAAAAAAAAACACAGACATAAAGAGCAAGAGACCAATTAACAGAATTTTTAACCAACCAGTTAATTCTGTAATATGTGTGGTATTAGTTTTGTGCTGGGCACCAGCAGCTTCTTGTTCTTGGTCACAGCAGATATTCTGGGCATGGGACTAGGCTGGCGTTGGCTTAGGGTGTCGGTTAGGGTTCACGTTAGGATCAGCATTAGGTTTTTTTGTTAGGGTTAGGGTTTAATTATTGCTATGCTTGAGATTGAAAATGGCAACTACTGGGCAAATGTTAAAATTAGAGAGCCAGAGTTGCCACTGAGCATAAATTTAGGTAAATCTTAATATAAGGGTTCAGTGTAGGGTCAGGATTAGGATTAGGATTAGGTTCCTTGTTTTGGTTAAAGTTTAAATTTGGCTATTTTCAAAGCTACAAAATGGAAGATATAGAGGGATTGTTAAATTTTGGTTGTTGGTAAATTCAGTTCTAGGCTAAAGTGAAGCTAGTAGAGGGTTAAGGTTATGATTAGAGTTAGATTAGGTTTAGCATTCATATTATGGTTTAAGCTTATTTTTGGCTGTGTTTAAAGTGGAAAGTGAGTGTTAACTATAGGGTGATTATTAAATTTATGCTAATTTATAGGTTGAGGCATTGGCAAGGGTAAGGTTACTCTAGGGTTAATTTTCGGATTAGGGTTTAAGGTTTGGGTTAGGTTTGGGGTGAGAATTAGGGTGTAGGTTTGGCTCTGTGTGAAGTTGCCTTTCAAAGTTAGATATGAGGCGGTTTTCAGTTATAGGCTAATTGGTAGACTTGGGCACAGGCTAGGTACATTTAGGGTTAGGGTTAGGTTTTTCATTGCTCTGTCCCCTAAAGGAAAATCTTTACCTTTTTCCTCCCCTTGAGTTTTATTTGCTGCATTCCAAGACTCAGATCATCGCTCTTTCCAAAAAGGAAGGTGTCATGAAGGGATGTTCATGTTTTAATATTTGTAAATGTAAATGTAATTACACCTTTAGGTGATAACACTTGAGCCCCAACACTGTTTTCTGAGTTTGAGAAATTTTGTTCTGGAAAGCACATAGCATTAGAAACCAAATATAATGTATTCGGCGTGCTTGCTTCTAAGTATGTATGTAATCCCCAAAGTTATATTTACTTCGAGATTTGAAAGGTTTGACTTACTGCAGTTCTTTTGTAAGAATAACAGAAGTCACTTCATTTGATAACTTTTATTTCCATTGAATTTTCAAGGAGTTAAATGGTCAGAATGGCCCATTTCTCTTTCTGTTCTGTTTTCTCTTTTTTATGCTGTCAAATTTGGAAACCATGTTTAGATATTTTAGGTGAAGCAACTACAAATACTCTTGTCCTTCCTCCTGATCTTCCCTGTGCTCTTTCTGTGATGGCTGCAATCATTAATCTTATTTCTCAGGGATACACTGGAAAATGATATTTTGGCTGGGCCCCACGAATAGAAAAGGCTATGAAAAATGTTCCATCTGCTTGTCCATCTGCTGGTTACATCACTGTTTGTGATTGCTTATTATCAAGACTTGGCTTAAATAGAATTTCTCTATTTTAATTATAAGATCTCAAGAAGAGAAAAATGAAACATGTCTCTGATATTTTTCTCAGTTTAAAAAGGAGTGTCCTATATCTCCACAATTAATTACTATGTTTCTTTTGAGTGGACATCCTATCTTATTTGCTTTAATAGGTGGGTTTACACATTTTTATATTTAGAATTTTAGTATTGTTGAAATACATAATCTCAAAGAGTAAAATTTCTTTGGAGCACCATGTATATTTGAGATGCAATGTATTTTTTAGTGTTCAATTTTTGACATGAGGCAAGATCTAGAAGCAAAAACATGAGTTTACAATAGTCAGCTAAAAGAGAATTATTCATGTTATTGGCTCAGTTATTATTTAATCAAACATGAACATAGTTTTAAAAAGTCAGTATTAAAACTTAACTGATCCTGAAACATTTATCAGTTTTATGTGATTTCTGCTTCTTTAAGCAAAAATAATGAGGAACACTAAAATAATTTTTGCAGAATTTCTTGCCTACAAACTTCTAGAGCAATTCTTCTTTCCTCTTCTTTTTTTTTTTCTTTTTCTTTTTGGGTCATACCCGGCGATGCACAGGGATTACTCTTGGCTCATGCACTCAGGAATTACTCCTGATGGTGCTTGGGGGACCATATGGGATGCTGGGAATCGAACCTGGGTCGGCCATGTGCAAGGCAAACACCTACCTACTGTGCTATCGCTCCAGCCCCTTTTCTTCTTTTTTCAAGGAGGGAATAAGATGCAATTGGGTTTGAATGTATTTTGTAATGTATTCTTCACAATTAATTAAGGAAGTAAGTTTCTTATCATGATTGCATGTATAAGTTTTCTGTTTTAATTATCAGCAGTAATGGAGGAGAGTAAGCTGTATACTTACTGAAAATAATTTATAAGAAGCACATTTACTTTTCTTTCTTTTTCTTTTCTTAGGGCTCTGCAGCATCGAGCTGATGTGTCTTGCCTGTGGAAGCTAGTTGGGGATGCTTGTACCAGCCTGCATGCTGTCTCACCAGCTAAAGTGAATGTCAGTGTTTTAGGAGTTCTATTAGGTCAGAAAGAAGGAAAACAAGTATTAAACAAAAATGAACTCCTCCATCTTGGAGGAAGGTAATTACAAAAATTGTCAGTTTGCAACATTCAGATTGAATTAGAATATTATAACAAGACATGACATTCACTTTTATGTTTCCCTAGGTGTTATGGTCGTGCATTAAAATTAATGTCAACATCTAACACATGGTGTGATCTTGGAATTAATTATTATCGCCGAGTACAGCATCTTGCAGAATCAGGCAGCAGCGGGAATGAGCTCAATGAGTTGTTGGAGAAATCTCTACATGTATGGTTTTTCTAAATTTTCCATAAACTTTAAGCAAAAACTAATGCTTTTCTGAATGTTTGATGATATAAATACTGTGTACACTTGGATCATATAAGTACTGGTTCACATAAACCACATCTTTATTGATGAATACTGATATTCTTCACATAGCACAGTGGTAGGGCGTTTGCCTTGCATGCAGCCAACATGCCGACCCGAGTTCGATTCCTCCGCCCCTCACGGAGAGCCCGGCAAGCTACCGAGAGTATCTCGCCCGCACGGCAGAGCCTGGCAAGCTCCCCGTGACGTATTCAATATGCCAAACACAGTAACAACAAAGTCTCCAATGGAGACGTTACTGGGCCCGCTCGAGCAAATCGATGATCAACGGGAGGGCCTTTACTTACTTACTTACTTACTTACTGATATTCTAAGAAATAAGAATCCATCTTATTTTACTTTTCAGTGTCTCAAAAAGGCAGTGAGGCTCGACAGTAGTAACCATTTATACTGGAATGCTCTTGGTGTGGTTTCATGTTATAGTGGTAAGAACTGAGTACTACTTTGTTTTAGAAGATTGTGGGCTCAGATAATAAAGTTCAGTTCCGTTAACTTTTTAATTTTTTTCAGGAATTAAAAATTATGCCCTTGCTCAGCACTGTTTCATCAAATCAATCCAGTCAGAACAAATTGTGAGTATTCTATATATATTTTTAAATTTTTAAAAATTTTATAAGTTAGTTCACAATATTTGATCACATTTAATATTCAAACACCCATCCCACCACCATTATACTTTCCCACCACCAAATTTGGGATGTTTCCATCCCAAGCCCCAAGCCCTGTCCCAAAACACAACCGAAATAATATATTTCGTATTGTCCGTTATGAAGAACTGCTGAACATGCTTACAAAAAAGTGTTCACATAGGAAACAGTGGGAAGATTGTTCTAATTTGGTAGGGGCCATTAAGACATTATATAGGATATCACTAACATGTTGTTAAGGTTTGGGTGATGTGAGCTTTGGTATAATATATATCTGAAAATATGTATATATGCATACATATATATGGAGGGAATAAGATGTAACTGGGTTTGAATGTATTTAGTAATGTATCCTTTGCAATTAAGGAAGTAGTTTCTTATGGTTGCATGTATCAGTTTTCTGTTTTAATTAAATATTTCCCTTTATGAATTTGTTGCTTACTATCTAAACCCCATCAAATGTGGTATGATAATTATGGACAAGGGGTAGGCAGTGTCTTATGATGTGTCATGCAGCTACAAAAGCGGCCGTGTGGTCCAGGAATATGTTTATTCATATGTGAGGCTCAGCCCAAGCACATGGGTAGCATGTGTGGCAGTGAGTTGCGTTGTGGAGGTTTTTGGCTTCCGGGACTGAATCCCTTGTGGTGGAGAGGGCTCTCACCCACCCCCCTCTGGGGCACCCCGTGTGAAACAACCTGGAACGGAGTCCAGGCATGGTTATGGGGCCTCATTTTATGCTCCCTTTCAGAAGCAGCAGCCATAGGATCTGGTGGTGGCCAATGATGACATTATCTGGCGCCAGACGGAGGTGGTTTATGGGTGTGACCCTTGGGTTTCCAGAGACTGGGGGAAGGAACAGAGGATCTCCGCTCCTGGTCCCATTGAGCCTAGAGTCCACAGTCACAAAGCTCCGCATTACCTGGGTTCTGTAGGACTTCACTTATGTGTGTGGCTCAGCTCAAGTATGTGGGAAATGGCTTTGAGCATGATGGCGGTTATTTGTGTGTGTGTGTTTTTTTTTTAATTTAGAATGCTGTCGCATGGACCAACTTGGGAGTTTTATATCTTGCAAATGAAAACATTGAGGTAAGTTGGGGGTCATATTAAGAATACACATTATATAACATTGTATGACTTCTTCGTAGCAGCTCAAGGTTTCGTAGAGAAAGATTTTGAACATTGCTATCAGTTGGTGCATATTAAGCATTGGTTTTCATTTATTTTCCTTTCCACCCCATTCAAAAAACTTGTTTTTAGAATTATATTGACTTTTATTTAGAGATTAGAATCATTCTGTGCTGAGTCCTTTGGGTGTTTTTATTTGGGTGCATGTAAGAAGAGTTCTCTGGAGGCTCTTTTGGGAAATGAGGCGAGTGAAGTCTGTGGAGATAATTCAAACTCTAGTGAGTTTGAATTACGTAATTCAGACTGTAACTTTCTCTTGAGTAAGTTTGATTATATAAAAGGCAGAATCCCTTTATATGTACAAGTGATTTGTTATACAGAAACTATTGTACTTTGGGGGGGGGTGCTGGGGGCCACACCTGACATCGTTCAGGTGTTACTCCTGGTTCAGCATTCAGGAATTACTCCTGGTGGTGCCTGGGGAACCATATGTGGTACCATGGATTGAACCCGGTTCATTCCCATGCAAGGCAGAGTCCCTCTCTGCTGTGCTATTACTCAGCCCCTAAATAGTTATACGTTAGAGAATTGGAATTTCAGTAACCGGGAGCACGTTTCTAGGTGATATTCATGAGTTTCCTCAGATCTATAGATAATAGTACATCTCAAATTTTGGTATATGTATGAATTCTTTTTTTTTTTTTCTTCTCAGTTTTGGGGTCACACCCAGCAATGCTCAGGGCTTACTCCTGGCTCTGTGCTTAGGGATCACTCCTGGCAGGGCTCAGGGGACAATATGGGGTGTCAGGGATTAAACCAGGGTTGGCTGGCATGCAACCCTTCCCACTGTACTTGCTCTGCAGTCCCATCCAAAGGATGATGTTGACTGTCATCCTTTTGAAATAGCTTCTGTCATAGTCTCAGAGTCACAATAAGTCTCTGCCACAGGATTCAGAAAGTTGTACATAGAAAGAAGGACAGTGGGAATTTGGATCTTACTATATTTGGAAACATCTATTTTTAATTTCAACAAAAAAAACCTTAGCTAGTCAACTGTGAATGTGCATGACACAGTTGTTGCCCCTGACATTCCTCCTATGCGTGTATTACTAAGAAAACCAGGTAAAGCAGCATGTAATAATGTTATTTTTTGGAGCAGAGGGAAAAGAAGCTTAATGTTTCCAAGTGATGGTTTTTAAAAATTTCCTGAGTATTTAGTGCAAGTTCAGTGGTGACCCTGGTTTGCCTCCCAGATTCCGACACATGTCTAATAGTTCATTAGTTATTAGTTCTTTGGACCCACACCTGGCAGTGCTCAGGGCTTACTCCTAACTCTGTGCACAAGGGTCCCTCCTGGTGGGGCTCGGAGGACTATGTGGAAGTGTTGAGGATCCAACCTGAGTGGGCCTGGCAGTGCTCGACTGACCATATGGGATGCCAGGGATTGAATCCCGGTGGCCATGTGCAAGGCAAGTGCCCTGCCCATTGTACTATTTATTGCGCCAGTACAATCCTTGTAATGTTCTAAAACTATGTAGTGAAAAAACTTTTTAAGCATGACTAATTATTTTTAAACATTGAGGTTTTCAGTGCATATGCGTATTCAGTGCATATATATGTATTACTGTGTATTCATATGAATAGGGTTGACTTTTTAAATTCTTCCACTTTATGCTTTTTAAATATAAGGAATATAATATGTTAAGTTTATAAGGTGACTTGTTGTGATATTTGCCTTTTTTCCTAGCAAGCTCATGAAGCTTTCAAAATGGCTCAGTCCCTTGACCCATCTTATTTGATGTGCTGGATTGGACAGGTAAGATATACAGCACAGAGTTCTTTACAAACTTGACTGCTATAGAAAACGTAGTCATATAAATTATTTAAATAACCTGTTACCATAAGTAACAATGATTATAATAATTGAGGGCTTAATTTGAGCTGGGCCCTTTGTGTTTTTTTAGTGAACATCTTATCAGATGGTGCTGGTAGTTACACGCTATAGATGTGGGAATTAAAGTTAAGATTACTAAATATCAAGGTCTCACACCATATAAAGATTGAGCTTTCCTTTGAGAACTTTGAACCTTATCATTCTGGCATTGCAATGCTTTTAAAAATCTGTTATCTAAAGTATAATATTTATATTCTTATATAAAGGAGAAAAAAGAGGTACATTTAGAGATATCGTTTTGATTAATATGTTTTCTAATTTTCTGTAAAATTCTCCAATTTGCTTTCACACTTGTTTGCTGTTGTGTTTTTCAATTCATTGGTTCTTTACCTATAGAATTTAAACACTTGGGCCTCACATCTCTGCATGCATGAAACTTGTCCACTCCATTGCCAGCGGGCGGAGCCTGGTTCCCCACCTCCCTTCTCCTCTGGGAGGGGACCGCTCTAGTTTCTACAGAGTCTCAGAATGAGTTTTGTTTTTTCTTGCTGCCCTTTCCTTTGTCAGTCCTATCCCACATGAGTTAAACCAACTAAGTAAAGTAAAGTAAAGGCCCTCCCGTTGATCGTCGATTTGCTCGAGCGGGCCCAGTAACGTCTCCATTGGAGACTTTGTTGTTACTGTGTTTGGCATATCGAATACTCTCGGTAGCTTGCCGGGCTCTCCAAGAGGGACGGAGGAATCTTTTTTTTTTTTACATAATTTCTGTAATGTCAAATGAATCCAAACAATATTGAGGCAGGTTTTCTGTTTGGTTTTTTTCTTTAATTGAATTACCGAGAGTTGCAGTGTTTTCATGATCGGGTTTTAGTCATACAATGTTCCGTCACCTGTCCCTTCACCAGTGTGAGTTCAAAATGTGGGCCGTGCATACGTGTGGTGGCTAAGAGCCGCCTCCCCGGCCTCCCCAGCAGAGAAGGAGATGGAGGACCACACACTGATGGTCAGAATGGCCCATTTAGTGCAGGGCTGCTCGCATACTTTTAGAACATCTGAAGGGGGCTGAGGTATAGGACTGCACATAGAAGTGATTGACCATTTACGGAGGGAAAGCATTTTGGTGGCGGCAGTTCTCTTGAGTGGATTAACTCAAGGAGATGCAAGGAACATCTGTATTGCTTTTCTCTTTTTCTTTATTGTACATTAAACAATTAAGTTTACTTCTTATTAATACTTGCAGTTATTTAGATAAACACAGTAAGAGATACAGGTTCCAAAACTTAGTTCTCTGGGCTCTGAGGGCAGGCAGGGCTTTTGCCATAAATCCCAGACTAAGTCCTTCCCCATGGGGGGTCCTATCTCTTAAGTCATAAAAACTTGCATCCAGACCATGCATTTTTGCTTCCTAGATTGTCCCATTTTGATGCCAGGTAGCTTTGATGCTTGCCTGGGGTCCATCCCAGTCCCACGGCAGGACCTTCCTTTATAGGTGTTAGAAACTATGGCAACTGAAGCCTGAGTGAAGTAATTATAACAGATGCCCAGGACTAGGTATATTTTGCAGTCAATCAACTCCTAAATATTAGGAGCATAGTATTGATGGTCTTTCTGTGTTTAAGCAAAGAACATTGCTCTATGATAAAATATGAAAAGGATACAGGGGAAATAGAAAAGCAAGTAATTCGCTTCAAATGCAAAATTCAGAGATACAAGCAAGTTTTTGACTTGGGGAATTGTGACGATGAGAGATAAAATACAAAGGAAAGGTTAAAGATAAACTTGGGGGTCTAGGAGTGCTCTCAAGAGCACTGTAAATTTCTTTGGGGGGGAGGAAAAAGGGCAATTCATTGATGACGCCTAAGACACTTTGGGTGACTCTCCAACAACAGGTATACATTTCCTATCACCAGTGTTTCCAGTTTCATGTGTATCCCTTTACCTCCTTTCAGCATTCAGTTTTTGTCCAAAGTGGTCATTTCCAACTATCACCGTCATCACTGTCCTTTCTTTGTCCTAATTGTACCCCGCTCACGCCCCCTGTGGCAAACTTCCATCTGTGGACTAGTGCTTCTGGCACTTGTTTATTGAGGCAGGTTTCGCAAATAAACATGCTGACACTGCCGCAGGTCTATAGAAATGGGATATCTAGGGGAACAGGCCTCCTTTTGGGGTGGGAGGGCCTCCCAGGCAATGTTCGGCTTGCCCAGGGCTAGTTGAGGGGCCAGTGGGAAATTGAGTTGAGGGTCTGAGGGTGTGGAGACGTTTGGGCCACTGGGGCCAGCCTGCTCTGTACTCAGCCGTGCTCAGGGTATCGTGGGGTCACCCTCCCACATACCGGCCTCACATGTGACTCTTTATGAAAGTGCCACCCAGGTGGTACTCAGGGGATCCTGAGGCCAAGAATAGTATCGCAGACAACTGTTATGACAGAGGGTGAGAGGGAAAAGAAAGGTAATAGAGCTTCATCAATGTCTTGGGCAATTTAGGAGGACGTTTCTGCTCCTGACTGATTGCGGATGGGTTCTGAAACCAGTTGCAAAGTATTCATTGGCTCAAGGGCCAATTTTCTTAGTTTTGTTTTTTTGGGGATATACCCAGCATGGCTCAAGGGTTACTCCTGGCTTTACACTCAGGGATAGTTCCTGGAGGTGCTCAGGGGACCATGTGGGATGCTGAGGACGAACCCTGTTTGGCATTGTACAAGTCCTTTACCTGCTGTACTGTTGTTTGAGCCCTTCAAGGGCCAATTTTATATCTGTCTGGTGCTTTAAGTCAGGGAACTGTGCTAGCAACTAAATGAAGTTAGTTTTGCTTTTAAGTTGAGCATACGAAGCTTTGATTTTTAGGTTTTACTTAATGTGTTTTCATATTATACATACTAAGTAGAATCTTTTTCCTCTTTTTTTTTTTTTTAAGGCTCTTATTGCAGAAACGGTTGGAAGTTATGACACTATGGACCTCTTCAGGCATACTACAGAACTTAGTATGCATGTAAGAATTTCAGCATTATTGGACATTCCTTAATGAGTAAAGAATTAATGTGTGTGTGTGTGTGTGTGTGTGTGTGTGTGTGTGTGTGTGTGTGTGTGTGTTTGGACCACACTTAGCAGTGTTCAGGGTTTACTCCTGGCTCTATGCTCAGAGATCATAGGCGAATGCCCTACCCTCTGAGCTATTGCTCCAACCCCAAAGTGTTAGTTTCGTTGAGAAAATAATTATTATAAGATATTAATGACAGTGATTGTTGCTACTCTTTACTCTTTCTTAGAACAGAAAACTATTTTTAGTTAAGGAAGTCCTCATTTTCATCTTCTTTCAAGAAAGGTTGAAAAAATAACACTGGGATTTAATTAGATGTGCGTTAGTCATATAGAAAGGAACTAGGCTGTAGAAGAAATGAGCATAAGGTAAGGAGTAGACTTAGGTAATCTGGATACTGGTGAAAGTATTTTATAATTCTTTTATTTGGTAAAAATTAGTTTAATCTGTGGAAATGGTCCTGAAAAGAGAAAAACCAACCCATCAGTTCAGAGCTGTTTTCTGTGTCTTATTTTCTCCCACTTGTTTCTTCTGTTTGAGATTAGAGCAAGTGATTTAAATATATTCTTAGCTGTGTATTATCAGAGAGACCCTTCATCTAAAGGTGCTTAATCGTTGGCGTATTTGCCGTGTTAAAAAGTGCATCGCTTCATTCCTTAATGTTTATTGTCGGATTGATTAATCTGTGTATACTTGTTGTCTCTGGCTTGTTTTTAAAGACCGAGGGAGCAATAGGTTATGCCTATTGGGTCTGTACGACACTGCAGGATAAAAGCAACAGAGAGACAGAGCTGTACCGTTACAACATCCTCCAGATGAATGCTGTTCCAGCAGCGCAAGTTGTTATGAGCAAATATGTTGGTAAGCTACTTGTGTAATGGGTTAACTGTCAAAATGATTTAAAGAATTAACTGCTATATGGTTAAAGAATTAACTGCACCATCTTATTATCTCATTCCTACTTTGGACATACTGGCAGGCTACCAAATGTAGCCTGCCCACACAGCAGAGCCTGGCAAACTCCCCGTGGCGTACCCAATATGCCAAATACCAGTAACAATGATGGGTCTCATTCTCCTAAAGAGCCTTGAATATAATCTCAGGGCTAGGACGAAGGAGACGTTACTGGGGCCTGTTTGAGGCAGTCAACTGTTGAAATGATTAAAAAATTGTTTTGTTAATTTCTAATGAAAAATGAGTGCTTCTTAAGATAGGAATTTGCCTTCCCTTCCCCCAGTGACTAAGCAACCTATTTCTTAAACTTGGTAAGGTTGAGTGATGAGGGGCTGGAGTGATAGCACAGCAGGTAGGACATTTGCCTTGCACGTGACCAACTTGGGTTCAATTCCCAGCATCCCATGTGGTCCCCTGAGCACTGCCAGTAGTAATTTCTGTCTCTCTGGCTCAGATTTGAGTCTTCATATGTAAAGGGTTTATATGAAGACTCAAATCTGAGCCAGAGAGATAGTAACATTAGGTAGTATGTTTGTCTTACACATGGCTGAACAGGGTTTGGTCCCTGGCATGCCATGTCATCCCCCAGAAACACCAGGAATAATTCCTGAGTGCAGAGCCAGGAGTAAGCCTTGAACAAACCAATTCTACCAACCCTCTCCCTCAGCAAAAAAAAAAAAAAAAAAAAAAAAATCCTTAGCTTTCTACAAATTTAAGACATCCAGAGTAATGAGCATTATATCCTTGCAGTTACGCAGAATAAGTTTTTTAACCATATAATGGAGCCATATCATATACCCATTTGACAAATCCAGGTATACATGCCTAGCCAAAAAAGGGCTTGCAAATTAGGAGAAGGGCAAGAGAGAATGTGGCAGCCTCTCATCCTGCCAACTGCAAAAGGCGCACATCACCTTTGATTCAGTTCAACTGTTTTGGTGATCCTCTCCTTGTCCATGGCTAGGATTTTTCAAGAACAATTGACTGAGTTTCATCTAATGCTTTGAATGTTAAACCTAATTAAACATTGCATAGCATATGGTTACACTACTCAGTTAAACAATTTGAGGAATTTTTGAAGGCTTGCTTCTAGAGACGACTTTTTATGTAGGTTTGACATCTTTCTTCTTTTGTGCATTAGTAGATGTGTGATGTTTCCAACATTAGAATTTCAGAATACTGAATTCCTTATTCTAGTGTGCAATCCTGATTTAATTAATGAAAACCCCACAGAAATTGTGACAGAAATTGTGAATTCTTGATAAATTTAATCTCTAGAACCCCTGACTAGCCAAAGAAAGAATTTCTTTATAAATGTCACAACTAAATGAGCCACAGTTTCAAATTATTATACCTTTGGGATAAGAACATTTGAGTATCAGTATGTAAGTAGGAAAGATCCGTAACAGTAAACATTATTCAGTAACTTAAGTTATAAAATGATTACTGATAATTTGTAATCAAAAACTCCTTTTTTTTAAAAAAATTTTTATCAGTGAAACACCATGAGGTACAGTTGTAGACTTAACAAACTTTTGTGCTTGGGTTTCAGTTATACAATGATTGAGTACCAATCGCTCCACCAGTGCCCATTCTCCACCACCACGGATCCCAGTATCCCTGCCATCCCCCAACCCCCCATCTCACCCTGCCTCTATGGCAGGGCATTCCCTTTTGTTCTCTCTCTCCTTTTGGGTGCTGTGGTTTGCAAAAGAGGCATTGAAAACTTCTATTCTTAATAATGCCAACAATTACAGTAGATAGTCTGGCAGTGGACACATTGAGAAACTGAAAATAAACCTGTGGCAGTGTAGCACTGCCCTCCCATTGTTCATCATTTCGCTTGAGTGGGCACCAGTAATGTCTCCATTGTGAGACATGTTGTTATTGTTTTTTGGCATATCGAATATGCCACTGGGAGCTTGCCAGGCTCTGCCGTGCGGGCGGGATACTCTCAGTAGCTTGCCAGGCTCTCTGGAGGGATGAAGGAATCAAACCCGGGTTGGCCACATGCAAGGCAGATGCCCTATCTGCTGTGCTATCGGTCTAGCCCGAAAAAATAGACCCAATGTTTTATAAATACAACCAGGATGCACATATTAAGAAATTGTATTTTTGTATTTCCAGAGAGAATTCCGAATTACGCTCCAGCTTTCACAATGTTGGGTTATTTAAGTGAGCACCTGCAGCTGAAAAAGGAGGCAGCCAGCGCATATCACAGGTAAGCTCTGCATGGGCTTTATACAGCAGGTAGGTTCTTCCTAGGCCTTGCTCTTTGGTTGGCCTTTTAAAGCTTAGTCTCAGTGTCATGAAGGTATTCAATAAATGTTGTGATTTTGTTCCTGACTCTCTGTGTTATTTTCTATTGTTATGTCTTTGAAGAAGGAGAAAAGAGGTTTCAGATTTTCAGCTCTGTTTGTTTATTGTTGCTTATCCTGGAGAGGGACAAACGGAGATGTTACTGGCGCCCGCTCAAGCAAATTGATGATTAACGGGAAGTCAAGTGATCAAGTGATCAAGTGATCCTGGAGAGATGGGAGGGGAGGGGGGGGGAAAGAGGGGAGGGAAGGAGGGAGGGAGGAATGAGGGAGGGGGGAGAGAGAAAAAGACAGAGAACGAGAACAAATTTTAAATCCCTTCAGCTTTATTTAGACTTCCTGTGGGTTTATTAAATATATATGTTAATTGGGGGGAGAAATTAGAACATTATGATATATTTGAGTCACTTTAATATCTGTGTGCCAAGAAGTAATCTTGACGTTAGCAGCTGAGCAGTGAATTAACCAAGCATTGACCCATTTCGTGGGGTTTCTGTTCCGGTGCGGGAAACATGATAAGTTAATAATGCGTGTGATGACTCTAATCACTGAGATGGAAAATTAGAGCAGGCCAGAGAGCCAGAGAATAAGATGAGTGTGGAATCTCCCCTAGGCTTCAGAAGAGTAGGTTTATGAAGGAGGCAGTTTTCTGCATTGAGTGAAGCCAGAGTTAATGTGGTCTTTTAGCCAGAAACATTCCTGTCAGAAAGAACAGCAAGAACAAGTACTATGAAATATGAGTGAATTTGACATATCGAAGAAACACAAAGAACATTATGCTTGAGGGGAATGCCAGCCAGGACAGTGGTAGGGGATGCATGTGATTTGAAGTTTTTTTTGGTTTTTTTTTCTCTGCAGATTAGTTGATTTGGAATAAGAAAGCAGCCTTGGGTTTTGTGCGGACTAGATGAAATCTTTTGACCTAGTTGCCTAACCTCTGAGGCTATCTAGGGTTCTAAATCTTAGGAAGGGAAATCCCTACTTCTCTTCCTTCTGGTTTGGGTTTTGATTTGGGGCTGTACCTGGTGGTGCCTGGAGGCTACTCATTCTTTCTTGATGAATCTCAGCTTATGTTTTCTGACTTTAGTATTCGAAGCCATGTAGTAATTGTAACTTTAATCAGAGGCATAGTTTTTAACATAATATCAGTTAGCCTTCTTTGACTGATTCTTTGCTTTTCGTGTAACACGATTGGTATTATGGATATTATACACATTTTTATTTTTTGGCTATTTCTTCCTGTCTTATCTTTAAACAAAAGAGGGGAAAAAGCAAAATTTTTACTCATGTTCCAAACCTGTTTAATTGTTGAGATATTTTCCTGCTGGCCCAAAGAGAACTGAGATGGAGATGGAAATAAGGGGTGCGAGGGACTTAGAGGATTTATTTTATACCTCTATGAATTTCTGCTGACTCTTCCCCTTCTCTGAACTCAGGATCACTTCATTTTAATAATTTATTTATTTTTGGCTTTGTGGGTCACACCTGGCGATGTTCAAGGTTAGTCCTGGCTCAGCACTCAGGAATTCCTCCTGTAGGTGCTCAGGAGACCATATGAGATGCTGGGGATTGAACCCAGATTGGCCTCATGCAAGGCAAATGCTCTACGTGCCGTACTATTGCTCCAGCCCCAGAGGTCACTTTATGAAACTTACTGTCCTTTTCATTTAAAATCCATATGTTAGCTTTAGATGTCAGGATTCTTGATTTCAAATCCTGACTCTTTTCTTGTCATGTAGCAGAATAACATGATTTGTTCAACAAATACAAATCTGAAATGGACAAGTATGAGTACAACAGAGTAGTATTTCCAGTGTACGCAAAAAAAAAAAAGGTGTTTTTAATCACTATAATAAACTGAAGGTTAAAAAAGTAAAACCATACCTAAGTGTTGTCTTTGTGGAATCAATTTAATAAATATGAATGTCATTATGGTAATTTAGTAACCATAAAATGATATATATTTCTATAATAATTATTTATATGGTAGTTTTTAAAAATTATTAGAATTAGGTGAAGCAAACAATTGTTTGTGGATTTGATTAATGGTGCTCAGCAGTGAAGCTCTCCCTTGCATGCCTGAGAGTCTGAGTTCAGTACTGATTCTGCCCCACCTTGCAGACCGGGTCACTGCACTGTCATTGTGAGCCCAGGGCCACAGAGCCCACAAGGCGTACCTCCGGCACACTGCAGGCAAGTGTGTGTGAGCACTGTGACAAGGTGCGCGCCCAGCCCGCCCTCATCCTCCCCTGCCCCCAGACACACACACAAAGACACTGCAGTGGTGCAAAGGCGAAAAGGAAAATATGATTTCACTCGGACAAGTGTAGACACTTGTGACTTTTTTTCTTTCAGGGCCATGTTGTTGTTGCAGACTGCAGAGGACCGAGATATGTATAATGTTGCAGTAAGAAATTATGGCAGGCTGTTATGGTAAAGTATTCGTTCCCATCAGTCTCGTCAGTTTATTGGGGGTGTGTGTGTGTGTGTGTGTGTTTGTGTGTGTGTGTGTGAATGTTGTGTGTGTGAAAGCTGTGGGACTAGTAGTGATCAGTTTCCAGAGTAGTGGCACATATATATAGGTGGGGACTTAAGCTAATTAGTTACTATTATTATTAATAATATAATAATTATAGGATTATAATTATATGTGGTAGTGGAGACATTGAGAAGCTGAAAATAGACCTAATGGTTTATAAATACAACCAGGATGCACATAAAAAGAAACTGTCGTTTTGGATTTCCAGAGAGGAATTATTATTTAATAATACATAGCACGGTGGTTGGGCGTTTGCCTTGCACGCAGCCAACATGGCCGACCCGAGTTCGATTCCTCCGCCCCTCTCGGAGAGCCCGGCAAGCTACCGAGAGTATTCGATATGCCAGACACAGTAACAACAAAGTCTCCAATGGAGACGTTACTGGGCCCGCTCGAGCAAATCGACAATCAACGGGAGGGCCTTTACCTTGGGCTGGAGCGATAGCACAGTGGGTAGGGCGTCTGCCTTGCACGCAGCCAACATGGCCGACCCGAGTTCGATTCCTCCGCCCCTCTCGGAGAGCCCGGCAAGCTACCGAGAGTATTCGATATGCCAGACACAGTAACAACAAAGTCTCCAATGGAGACGTTACTGGGCCCGCTCGAGCAAATCGACGATCAACGGGAGGGCCTTTACCTTTTACCTTTACATAAGCAAATATTTAGTAATAATGTTGTTTCTATTATCACTACCAGATATAATTGTCTCTAGTTCTTTTATGTTCTATTTCCATAACACGCATCTCTCCTCATACCAGACTGGGTTAGTCTGTGTCCCTGGTCCCATACCCGAGCCTGGTGTGCTCCGAGAGGGGCAGGTTCCGGAGTAATGCATGTGGATCTGGTCTTGAGTACACACGAAAGAGAGGCAGTAGCACCTCCGAAAGTAGAGCTTAGAAGTTCACTTGTTTGCAAAAGGAGTAGGACTGGTCCTTCTTTTTTTCTTTCTTTCTTCTTTTTTTTTGCTTTTTGGGTGACACCCAGCAATGCTCAGGGGTTACTCCTGGCTTTGCACTCAGGAATCACTCCTGGCAGTGCTCGGGGGACCATGTGGGATGCTGGGAATGGAACTCGGGTCAGCCGCATGCAAGGCGAATTCCCTAACCACTGTGTATTGCTCCAGCCCCAGGGATTGGTCCTTCTATTACGTTCATTCTTAATCCAATCATGGACAGCTGAAATGTCGAAATCCCAGTAGGACATGGCATGTGTGTTCTTTGGAAGTGGAGCCATGGAACTTTTTCAAATTCTCAGTCTTCTAATTAAAGAGATTTTTTTTTAAAAAAAAAGATATTAAAAACTATACAATCTCACTGGCTTTTAGAGCCTAGGATTAAAGTGTTAGGGGAGGATGCTTTGTTTTTTTTATGGTTTGATTGTTGTTGTTTCTACATAAATTGACTTTCCTCTAATTGAGATTAGCTCCAAATTGCAGTGTCCAGTTCAGGACAGGGAACTAGCTAGTCAGCTGGAGCTGCAGAGGCCAGGGGCTGGTGGGGAAAGGGGGTGTGTGTGTGTGTGTGTGTGTGTGTGTGTGTGTGTGTGTGTTTGGGGTGGGGTGCTGAAGAGAGACCTTGGGAAAGTAATGGACGATTATTGATCCTGGTTAGTAGAGCAGTAAAGTAGCATTACAGGTATGAAGCAGTAATACGGGAATGCTTGTAAACCATATTATATCAATAATTTTTTTGTTTGCTTTTGTTTTGGGGCCACATCCAGCAGTGCTCAGAGCTTACTCCTGGCTCTGCACTCAGGGATCACTTTCAGTTGGTTCAGGAAACCATGTGGGGGGCCGGGGATTGAACCTGGGTCGGCCACTTGAAAGGCAAGTGTGCACTGTACTATTACTCCATCCTCCAAAATAAAAGTTTTTAAAGAATCAAACAGACTGGTCTGTTTGTTGTTTTTTTTTTTTGGGGGGGGGGGGCTAGGGCTGGAGCGATAGCACAGCGGTAGGGCGTTCACCTTACAAGCGGCCAACATGACCGACCCGAGTTCGATTCCTCCGCCCCTCTCGGAGAGCCCGGCAAGCTACCGAGAGTATTCGATATGCCAGACACAGTAACAACAAAGTCTCCAATGGAGACGTTACTGGGCCCGCTCGAGCAAATCGACGATCAACGGGAGGGCCTTTACCTTACCTTTACCTTTGGGGGCTATACCCAGCAGTGCTCCTTGCTGACTCCTGGCCCTGCACTCAGGGATCACTCCTGTGGGAATTGAGGGACCAAATGGGGTGCTGGCAATTGAACCCACTTCGGCCACATGCAAGGCAAGTGCCTTACCTGCTCTGTCCCCCTGAACGGTCCTTTCAAAAACCTGTCACTAGTCCTTTGGTATTTTGGGAATAGTGCTTTCATGATTTGAGGAGCTGTGGTACAGAGTGACTGAATCCCAGTATAACTGAATCATCTCTGTAGACTAGAGAATTTCCCTGTTTGATTTCCCTTTTTAACTGTTGTGCTAATTGTTGAAGTACTCACAGTTTCGAGATTTTTTTGAAATGGAAGATAGGTATGTTGTAAAAAAAATATATAGCATAAAATGCCTTGTTTTCTTTAGCTTTGATATTTTATATAACGCAAATATGTCTGAAAAAGCCTACTTTTTTGTTTTTATTATGAAATAAATATGCAGGTATAGAGTAAATAATACAGTGTTAGATCTTTGTACAACAATATTTATAGTCTTGATGATTTAACTCAAAATTATTTTTGATGTTAAAATAAGTTATGCTTTGATTCTTAGTTCCATTGGTGAATATGATAAAGCTATCCAGGCTTTTAAGTCAATACCTCTTGAAGACTTAGAAGACATCATAGGCTATGCGCTGGCTTTGTCTATGAAGGGTCAATATAAAGAGAGCAGCCAAGGTAAGTATTTCCAGGGCTGAGTAGAATGTAATCATGTTGAGTTTATGTACATAAAGATGTAATATTGGGATATGGGAATAGGGATTGCAGCATTCATTAAAGACTAAATGGGAATCAGAAATAGGTACTTTTGATCTCTTCCGTCAGTTAGTGTATCATGGTGATTAGTGTTCTTATAATCAGGGCTCAGTATTTCTTCATTATTTAGATGAAGAAACCGATGCAAGATTACCTATGCTAGTTATCATTTCAGGGCAGATCTTTACTAATCCTCAGTGATTTAATGTAAATTTCTGTTAGGACCGTAGCCACTATTTTAGTATTTTATTGAATGCATATATTATATACATAATATGTATGTTGCATATATGTATATGTACATGAACCCAATGTATGCGTGTTTTGTGTACACAGATACACAGCTAATTTTAAGGATTTAGTGTTTGATGAAGTTGTTGCTCTGAATTTGAGTAACATCTTAATGATTGTAGCTGCTCCTCTTGAAGACAGTGTTTCAGACCTCCCCTAGGAAAGAGGTTGAGGAATGTCAGATAATAAATCCTGATATTTCAGAATCACATGAGACAGCTAAATAAAATTCAATTATTACAAAAGTTTTTTCTTTATAAAAATTACAGAACAATGAAGTGTAATTTTCGTTAGACATTTTTAAAAATGGGAAAAGAGAACTCTCACAGTTTATAAATCAGGATTCTGTTTTGTTTTTGTTTCCAACTATATCTCAGCTTATGAGAAAGCCTTGTCTGTTGTTGAATCAGAGCAAGACAAAGCCCATATATTGACAGCTCTGGCAATAATGGAGTATAAACAAGGAAAAATGGATGCAGCCAAGACATTACTATTTAAATGGTATGTATAATTGCATTAACACTTCATTGTTTTTTTTTTGGGTCATACCTGGTGGTGCCCAGTGCTTACTTCTGACTTGATGCTCAGGGATTATTCCTGGTGGGGCTCAGAGACTGTATGTGATGCTGGGTGTTGAACCCAGGTTGGCTGCATGAAAGGCAAGTGTCCTACCCATGGTACTCTCTTTCTGGCCCAACGTCAACTCTTACCATGATCATGTAATTAAATTCTGGTTAAAATTTTGAGCAAAATAAAATGAAGGTATGTTAATAGGGAGCAGATCTGTGTGGGCCTATCATCTCTTCATTTTTAACTCTGGTTCTATCTGATTTTTCAAAATTAGCATATTCTCTCTCTTTTTTGAAAATAGAGTAACTGATCATTAGATCCAGTAGGATCTTAAGATCATATTGGTTTGTTTTTTGGCATTGGGTATCCAAAGAGATTTTCTTTTTCCTTTTCAAAATTAACCAGGTAAAATAAAATATACTTCAAGTTGAGTCTCCAGAAATTCATACCAGTATAAATTATGGTCTATAAATTATGGTCATTTCTGTAATTTTGAATAAATTAATAACAAAATTATATCTAGGATCATATGATATATTTTGGGCTGGAGTGATAGCACAGCGGTAGGGCGTTTGCCTTGCACGCAGCCAACATGGCCAACCCGAGTTCGATTCCTCTGCCCCTCTCGGAGAGCCCGGCAAGCTACCGAGAGTACCTCGCCCGCACAGCAGAGCCTGGCAAGCTACCCGTGACATATTTGATATTCCAAACACAGTAACAAGAAGTCTCATGATGGAGACGTTACTGGGCCCGCTTGAGCAAATCGATGAACAACAGGAGGACCGTGACCGTGATGATATATTTTGAATTCTTTTTGAGAACATTGACTTTAATTTCTTTAAAAGCAGTAGATAGTGCTGGGCACTGGTTATCGGTGAATGCCTATTGTTATTTTTTGTGGTATAGTTCTTTAAGTAGAGAATTATTTTATGTTTTGTACTAAATTGTAGTTTACAATCACTGGATCTACAGTTACTGTGCCTGCAGATTACATTCCTGTTCTTTATCCATTAAATGCAAACAATATTCAACCATTGTTTCCATTTATCTAAAAATAAATACCACAGTGAAGGCGGGGAGGGGGAGGATTGGATAATCCTAGTTAAGAACAACTTTTGTAGTATAAGCTCTGTATTTGTCTGTTAATTATGATAGTTTTGTCCCACCATATTTAATCCTTGTCCCACTATAAGTAGTCCTTTTCTTTTTTTGTTTTGTTTTTTTCGTTTGGGGTCACACGTAGCAGTGATCAAGGCTTACTTCTGGCTCTGTGCTCAGAGATCACTCCTGGCAGGTTAGGGGACCGTATGGGATGCCAGGGATTGAACTTGGGTCGGCCGCATGCAGGGCAAACACCCTTCATATTGTACTGATACTCTGGTCCCTTTTCTTCTGTAATAAACAAGGTCTTCTCTTCTTTCTTAGAAAATCAAATGAAAATTTAAAAAAAAATGAAAAGCCCTTTTCACTTCACATGAATATACCATATTCATGTCGTGTTTGTTTAGTTACAAAAAATATGTTCAGAGAACCAAAATTTGCAGCTGGCTTAGAGATTCATAGATGTCAGTAAATTACTGCAGTTAGCAAAGGAAAAAGTAATCCCAGCTTAGACCCTATTTGGCTGGAGCAAGAGCGCAGCGGGTAGGGCGTTTGCCTTGCAAACATTTCTCCGCCCCTCTCGGAGAGCTGGCAAGCTACCGAGAGTCTCTCGCCCGCTGCCCGCACGGCAAAGCCTGGCAATCTACCCGCGACGTATTCGATATGTCAAACACAGTAACAACAAGTCTCAAAATGGAGACGTTACTGGGCCCGCTCGAGCAAAGCGATGAACAGCGGGAGGACAGTGACAGACCCTATTTGATTAATCTCCTGTTATTCTAGAAGTCGTTATTATTATTATTTGGACTGTTGGTAGAAGGAAAACAATAATTCAATCTTATCTTTGCCCTTTCCCTTTATGTCCTTATTTATATTAGTAGTTTCAGGCTAGGTATTTTACCTGGTATGTTTCTTTGTTTTTGTTTTTGTGTTTTTGTTTTGTTTTTCCTTTTTGGGTCCACCTGGTGATGCTCAAGGGTTACTTCTGGCTCTGCACTCAGGAATTACTCTGGCACTGCTCAGGTTACCATATGGGATGCCAGGGACATTCCTCTGTGTTTGGACTCATACATCTCTGAACTCTTATGACTTATGATGGATGTTTTAAAAAGTTGTTTATGGGGCTGGAGTGATAGTGCAATGGGTAAGGTGTTTGCCTTGCACATGACTGACCTGGGTTCGATACCTGGCGTGCCATATGGTCGCCCACGCATCGTCAGGAATAATTATTGAATGCAGAGCCAGGAGTAACCCCTAAGCTCCAGTAGATGTGGCCCAAAAAGGAAAAAAAGAAATAAAGAAGAGCTATTTAAAAATAAAAACTAAGCTATTTAAAACAGAGCTATTTGTGAAAATTCATCATTTTGAGGTTGGTTTGTTGTCAAAATTAAATTCTAAACATTTTGTTTTCCCCTGAAGAATATGGTATGACGTCATTGTGACATATATATGTTGTTTTCTAATTTAGTGGATTTTATTTAAATTTCTTGAAATTTGTTTTATACTACAAGATTCATAATTTTTATTAGAAATATCAAATGTATAGAGAGCTAAGATTTTCTTTATTTAAATTAGTACAAATTCTTAAACATGAGCAATTTTATATTCTTTTTTTTTTTTTTTATGTAGGAGTACTGCTATTTATTCAGCCACTGATTAGGCTGATTGAATTGGGCATGAACTCCACCTTACTTTTTTTTTTTCATTTCTTATAATTTTATTTATTGAATCACCGTGAGACCATTTACAAAGCTTTCGGGTTTAAGTCTCAGTCATACAGTGAAACACCTGTACTTTCACCAGTGCCCATTCTCCACTACTAAAACCCCCAGTATGCCCCCATCCTATACCCTCCCCCTCCCTGTGGGGCAGATGATTTCCACATACTCTCTCTCTACTTTGATTACATTCAATATTTTGACAACAGACCCATCATTATTATTTGGGATTCTACCCCAACACTCAGATCTGCCGAAAAGACAACAGTAGACAATTTGTTTTCTGTTGCTGGTTATGAATAACATATGATGTTGTGCGGCTGCGGTAGTATAATTTTGAAATTCCGAAATTTTAACAGTTAAATCTGGAGGGATTTCTCCCAAAACATGCTGGCTTCCGAGATTTGTTTCTGAGTCTCTAGGATCATGGACGTTAAGCAGCTTGATCAGGAGCCAGAGAGGCCGTTCGTGGGTGGCAACTTGAGGTCTTGCTGGGGTGTGGAGTTTCTATATTCTTAAAGCTTAAATCATGAATAAAAAAATGGCCACATACTTGTACACAAAATGTATTTATTTTCTGAGATTATAGAAATATTCAATTAGAATATGGCAGGTATATATGGTTTGTATTATATAAAGATGTGATTTCAATGCCACAGCATTTGAAATCTTTCTCAGATTTATGAAAAATCAAATCTTTTAGTTGAAGATCTTTATTATTTGTATCTGCTGGAAATTTATTGAAACTTAACAGTTTAGCAAAATTTTCTTAGTTGTTTGCCAAGACCTGAGGCCTACAGAGAATGATATATTTGTTTCTAAAACTTGGTTCTAATGGCCAGAAGTTTGGCACTGCTGCTCTCAGAAAGGCATTCGAGGCTTTAACTGCTTTAGCTATTCAGGAAGATTGTGGCCTCTGAGTACTAAGGAGTTAGGTGTTTTTACATACCCTAGAGCGAGGCTTAGTTTGGTGAATCTTTAAATCAATTTGTTTTTTTTCCCTTAATGTTGAATGTGTTTTAATGGTTGCAGGCTACGAATTCATGGCTAATAGGCACTGAAAAAAAATATCTATTTACAGCTCTATTTTAAAGGAACCCACCACAGAAAGCCTTCTGGCCTTGTGTGCTCTGGGATTGGCAGCACAGGATGCTACCCTATCAAAAGCAGCCCTAAACGAGTTACTCAAACACAAAAAAGAGAAAGATGATGAGTACCAGAGATGCCTTCTTACCTCGGCCATCTATGCACTGCAGGGCCGCAGAGTGGCTGTGCAGAGACAAGTATCTAAAGCCGTCCACAGGTAAATTATGTTCTTCTCAATCTGGGATTTAAATTATGTGTGATGAGATTCTCTTTGGTATTTGGACCTTATTGACAATATAAAATTAGGTAAGCACACACACACACACACACACACACACACACACACATATATATATATATATACATATATATACACACACATGTGCGTGCGTGTGTGTGTGTTTGTATAGGCATATCTGCTTGTGGCTCTCTTCTGAGATTTATTTGTGTGTCTCTGGATCTCTGGATCATGGCCATTGATGAACTTATATGGCACCAGAGGCAGTTGTGGGAGTGACTGTCAGGCTCCTAGAAGAATAGGGAGATGGGAGGGGCTTAAATTTACTTCTTAATATTTCTAGTTGTTCTGTATGGACAAAATGAGAGATGTATTTAGCTTAAAGATCAGCTCTTCTTTTTTTTTTTTAATTTTTGGATTACACCTGGTGATGCACAGTGGTTACTCCTGTCTCTGCACTCAGGAATCACTCCTGGCGGTACTCAGGGGACCATATGGGATGCTGGGAATCAAACCCGGGTTGGTCGAGTGCAAGGCAAACGCCCTACCCGCTGTGCTATTGCTCCAGCTCCTAAGATCAGCTCTTCTTAGGGACATCTTGCTATATATATCCCAGACTACAGTCCTCGGACCAGATTAGTCTTTCCTAACCCCAGCAGTGTCCTTAGTCACTTCTTTTTGGGGTCATGTCAGTTTGTTTCATGACTGTGCTCTTAGCTTATTAGATTTCTTATGGTGCCTAACTTGTCCCTTTTCAATGCCAGGGTAGCTTACAGCTTGCTCTGGGTCCATCCTGTCCCTTCATCATCATCCCCCTTTTGGGGTGTTAAGAAGTAAGGGTAACTGAGGCTTAAGTAAATATGATGGCTGCCCAGGAGTAAATATTATTCAGAGTCAGTTAAAACCCAAGTTACAAAAGCATAGCATTAACTGTCTTCCTGTGTCTATGCAAATAAACATTGCACTGAAATAAACTATGTAAAGGACATAAAGGAAAGAGAAAAGCAGTATTTCACATGTACAAAATCCAGAGCCATCAGAATGTTTGACCTACAGGTTACAGGGTGTGATTTGGGGATATATATGATTAACAGATAGGGGAAGAGGAGCACAAAGGAGAGGTTGAAGATAAACACCGAGGATTGAGAGTGCCTGATGGAATTGGGTGTGCCTCAGGAGCACCGTGGGGGATGGAACTCAATAAACCGAAGCTTCCTGTGGGATGAGAAAGGACAACCCCAAGTTATTGCTTAAAATGCTTAGAACTGTAATTACACACACACACTCACACTCACACTCACACACACACACATTTGGAAACCAACTTGTGATTTTCATGAAATTGTGTACAGGACTGGGTAACTACACAGTATTCATCTAACAGGATTAAAACAAATAAGTTTTCCCTTATTTAGATTAAAGACTACATCTCATTTTCGTTAAAAAACTTTTGTTTTGTGGAGTGACTTCCCAGATTGCTTTGGGGGCTACACCCAGCCATTGTACTTGACCAACTCAACTGCAGGGCCCAGCAGTGCATTGCGGATCATGGGGCCACACCTGACAATACTACGATCATACTCAGAACCTTATGTCTGCAGGACATGTGCTTCCGACCCCTGAAGTGTCTCCTCATACCTTAAACCTTATTTCAGTATGAAAATCCTTACTAATTGTCAAGTTTTGGCATATTGTCTATATGCTGCCAACAAAACTATTTTTGATGGTTGAGGAATTTTTTTTAAATTTATTTTTTATGGGCTGGAGCGATAGCACAGCGGGTAGGGCGTTTGCCTTGCACGCGGCCGACCCGGCCGGCTCGGGTTCGATTTCTCCACCCCTCTCGGAGAGCCCGGCAAGCTACTGAGAGTATCTCGCCCACACGGCAAAGCCTGGCAAGCTACCCGTGAGGTATTCGATATGCCAGACACAGTAACAAGTGTCACTGTGGAGACATTACAGGGCCTGCTTGAGCAAATTGATGAACAATGGGAGGACAGTGACATTGACAGTGAATTTTTATATGGTAGAACAAGTTTATTTTTAAGATTCAGAAGACTAAATTTGCAGCTAACATGATCTACAAGTGTAAGAGAATTATGTGCTTATAATTTGTTAATAAAGCTGCTCATTATTTTAATGTCCCTTCTGATTCTTCACCACCCAAAGTTAACTCAGATTCTGTTTATTTTGTTTCTGGGGACTGTTTCCAGTGTTGCTGAAGGCCTCACCCTTGTTGGTGCTCAGGGGGTCAGGTGTGGTGTCATTGATTGAACCCTGAAGTAATGTCAGCCAGGGCGTGCAAAGCTGCAGCCCTACCTGCTATTCTCTCTCTCCAAGCCCTTCCTTTAATTTTGATAAAATACACCCAAAGGGAAGGAGACAGCTCAAAGGGCCTAAGTGCAGACTATTACTGGAGGCCAGATTTGAGTCCCCATACCACTGGGAGTAACCCACAGGCAATGAGCCGGGATGTAGGAGTTTTTAGACTATTAAACATTAAATAGTCATTAATTTTTGGAAAAGAGAAAGCTGTTACCCCTAGCTATAATGGTTGTTTTTAGCAGTGAAGTTTTATCTGTAGTTCATTCTTCTTCCATAGTTCTCATCTCTTGTGTTTTCTTGAATACAACAACTAAACTTCCTTAACTTTTTGTTTTTGTTGTTGTTGTTTTTAGGTCACATTTGGTGGTACATAAAGCTTACTCCCAGCTCTGCACTCAGTGATCACTCCTGGCAGGGCTTGGGGGACCACTGTACTATCTATCCAGCCCCCACCTTTCTTAATGGCAAAGATTAAATTTGAGGGCATTGTCAAAGTCATCATACGCTGATTTTTTCCATCTTGTCTTCATAAGAATTTTCTTCCTGTATAGGAGATACAAAATTGGTTTTCTAATCATTCAGATGCCTTCAACCAAAGATGGGCAGCTAACCCAAATGTGTTTTAGATATTTGAAAGATTTGAGACTCAACTGCTAACTGAAATGTGGGTTGCTCAGTGTTCTTTGTGATTGAGCTAACTCCTCTGGCTAAGTCCTCTACTTCTGATGCTCTACAGTAACCCAGCTAATCCAGCTCTTTGGTCTCTGCTGTCCCGAGTGGTTGCTCAGTATCCCCAACAGAATGCAAAGGTAAGTAATGCTGTAAATTCTGGCAAAAAAGAGAAAATAATTTGTCATGATGTAAATCTAATTTTGAAGCACTTCCTTTATCATTTGGGAAAATAATACAGCGAGGGAGTTAATATAGTCAGGAAATTTTGTTATTTGATGCACTTTTTATTAGTCATTTCAATGCTGAGTATCTCCTGTGTTCCATTGCACTGAGATTTGTGGCAGATACAAAGAAATAGGTGGACTTTATTCAAGCACGTACCGATTATGCTCATGACTGATTCATTATGATTATGATATTGCCTTAGTTGTTGTCTTTTTTTTTTTTCTTTTTGGGTCACACCCGGCAATGCACGCACAGGAGTTATTCCTGGCTCTACACTCAGGAATTACTCCTGGCGGTGCTCAGGGGACCATATGGGATGCTGGGAATCGAACCCGGGTCGACCGCGTGCAAGGCAAATGCCCTACCCGCAGTGCTATCGCTCCAGCCCGAGTTGTTGGCATTTTTAACTCCCAAATGTTAATTTTATTTAAAAGCTCCTGAAAAAATAACAAAAGTCGAACAACTGGTATCTGAATATGTAAATCAAAACATGAAGTCATGACATTCTGTCCAAGGGATTATGTATTAAATTTTAGTTCAGAATAACCAGGTCTATATATTTTGCCAATATCTTAGGTTAATATTGGTTATTGACCCCAGGTTTTTATGGTCTTTTGTAGTTTAGTTTACTAGTTGGTAAAAATAGAAGTAGCTACTATTTTTTGAATCTCTGCTTTATGTCTATTAATCCCAATCTCCAGACCTTTTTTATGTGTTGGTTTTGGCTTGCTATTCCTACTGTTTTTCATAATTATTGTTCTTGTTTCTCCATTTACCTGAAAATGTGTGTGTGTGTGTGTGTGTGTGTGTGTGTGTGTGTGTGTGTATGAAGACAGTGTAAAAGTAATTTGAGACCTCATATTGATGGCATAGGGTCCCATAGAAAGAAATTGTACTAGCTTGTCAAGTGCTTAGCACTTCCACCTTTGAGAAACATCATAAACAAAGATCTGTGGACCAAACAGGCTGCCACTTATTCGGATTTCATGATTTTCAAATCCTGATTTATTTCTCATTCATCTTTTTCCTCCCAGTGTTTTTATTTAATTAAAAGCCATGATTTGCAAAGTTAATGTTAGTTGAGTTTTAGGCAGTTAACATTCCAGTACCCATCCCACCACCAGTGCCAACTTCCCTCCACTTCTTATTTACCACTTTAACTTAGGTCCCTACAGTCTCCGTTTGTTTTGCTGTGTTTGTTGTTTATTCTGTTCTTTAAGTGACCCCCCTAGGATTTAATTCTCTGTTCTACTACCCGAATTCATGCATTTTTAATTTCATTTTATTTTTTGGTTTTGGGTCATGCCCAGCGGAATTCAGAGGTTACTCCTCTCTCTTTGGTTGGGAATTACTCCCAGTGGTCCTCATGATTTCTTTAAAATGAAAATTCAGATTTGTTAAGATCTACAAATGGCAGAAATTACTTCCCTATCCATTTCTTTGTATTGTGGCCTTGCCTTTCAGTTTGGGCCTTGTTAAGATTTTCACGTCACTTATCCCGTGATTTTAGGAATGCGTGCTTATAGTATTTTATCTCAGTGTAACGCAAATAAAATTACCTAATGAACTTGTTAAAACCCAGTTTCTTAATCAGCTAGCAGGGGCTAAGCCTGATATTCTGCATTTTTAACTACTCTGCAGGAGATATTGATGGTGGTAGTATTCAGACCACATTCTTTGTAGCAAAATTTTAGTGTTTATTGGATTGGCTCAATGAACATAGAGAGCCATTGTTATAGACACTGGAATGAACTGCTATTCTAAGAATTTTTAATCCCAGAAACCACATGAAGTAGTTGTAGTAGATGTTATATATGTATGTATGTATGTATATATATATATATGTACATATATATGACTCTTGAGACAGAGATACTAAAATACTAAAAACCTTGTTAGTAAATAAGTTGATGGATCATCCCAGATTCTGACTCCTGAATCTCCTTTTACTTTACTTTTACCTTTCTTCTTTTTCATTTACCATGTATTTAACTTTATATTGATATTTTTTAAAGTTTATTTTTAACATTTTTTATATGCTAGGAACAGGTTTTTTTTTTTAATTAGTGAAACACCACGAGGTACAGTTATAGACTTCCAAATTTTTGTGCTTGGGTTTCAGTTATACAATGATCAAGTACCCATCCCTCCACCAGCGCCCATCCTCCACCACCACAGGTCCCAGCATCCCTCCCACCCCCCATCCCCCCCGTCCCACCCTGCCTCTGTGGCAGGGAATTCCCTCTTGTTCTCTCTCTCTCTTCTTTTGGGTACTGTGTTTTGCAAGAGAGGCGTTGAGTGGCAGTCTTGTTTGGTCTATAGTCTCCTTTCAGCATGCTTCTCCCATCTGGGAGGATCCTCCCAACACCCTTTATTTGGTGCTCCCTTCTCTATCTGAGCTTCCTTTTCCCCTAGCACGTGTGGCTGGCTTCCAAGTCATGGAGCAAAATTTCTGGTACTAGTCTCTGCCACTCCTGGGTGTTAGTCTCCCATTATGTTACTTTAGGTTGCTAGGTACAGTTTTTTGGGTTTTTTTGAATTTTTAATAGCGAGCCATCATGAGGTACAGTTGCCGACTTACACATTTTTATGCTAGGTACAGTTTTAAGAACACTTATGATTTAATATGAAACTGCTCTTACAAATCACTTCCTTTTCCAATAAAGTATCTAGTTAATTTTTTTAAAATTAAGAATTTCAGATCAACGTTGCGAAGCTATGATCCTACATATTTTTTTTTCCTTTCTAGTATGATTTGAGTATTGAAATGGACATTTTTGCATGTGTTTTGGGCCATGCCTGGCAGTACTCAGGGCATACTTCTGGCTCTGTGCTCTTGGATCACTCCGGGTGGGCTTCAGGGGATCATGTGTGGTACTGGGGAGTGATCCCAGGCTGACTGTGTGTAAGGCCCTACCTGCTGTACTATGGCTGCAGAATAGTGATGAATGTCTGTTGCTCAGAACTTCAGTTATCAATTTTACTATGGACGACTGAACGTTCTTAAAGCATTATATTTTCATGTATTAGAAGTATATTTATTTTTCAATAAGTTTTGTGATCACTCTTAGTTGTTCAGTGTTTTACAGTCTTTTATATTGTTAGAAAATGTGTAGTTTCTTCTTTTTTTTTTTTAGTCCTACTGAAATTGTGTAACTTTGGACTTAATATGAGTATTTTAATGAGTGAAATTGAAATGATCTTGGTAAAGGAGCTTATAAAAATATTAAGCTAATCTTTTAAAACAGTTTTCTTTTTTTCTTTTTTTCTTTTTTTTCTTTTTTTATTAGTGAAAAACCATGAGGTACAGTTATAGGCTTACAAATTTTGTGCTTGGGTTTCAGTTATACAATGATCAAGTACCCATCCCTCCACCAGTGCCCGTCATCCATCCCCACGGGTCCCAGCATCCCTCCCACCCCCCAACCCCCCATCCCACTCTGCCTCTGTGGCAGGGTATTCCCCCTTGTTCTCTCTCTCTTCTTTTGGGTACTGTGTTTTGCAAGAGAGGCATTGAGTGGCAATCATGTTTGGTCTATAGACTACTTTTAGCATGCTTCTCCCACCCTGGGAGGGCCCTCACAACACCCTTCATTTGGTACTCTCTTCTCTATCTGAGCTGCCTTCTCCCCTAGCACATGTGGCTGGCCTTCAAGTCATGGAGCAAAATTCCTGGTACTAATCTGAGCCCTTCCTGGGTGTTAGTCTCCCGTTTTGTTGCTTTATGTTCCCCAGATGAATGCAATCTTTCTGTGTCTATCCCGCTCTTTCTGACTCATTTCGCTTAACATGATACTTTCCATGTAGTACCACTTGTATGTCAATTTCATAACTTCATCTTTTCTAACAGCTACATAGTACTCCATTGTGTAAATGTACCAAAGTTTCTTTAACCAGTCATCTGCTCTTGGGCACTCAGGTTTTTTCCAGATTCTGGCTATTGTAAAGAGTGCTGCAGTGAACAAACAATTGCAGATGTCCCTTCGACTATACCTTTTTGCCTCTCTGGGATATATTCCCAGGAGTGCTATAGCTGGGTCAAATGGCAGATCAAATTCTAATTTTTTGAGAGTCGTTCATACTAAAACAGTTTTATTTTGATGGAAGAGTTTAGAAGTTGTGGATATGATCAAACTGAACCTTTCAAATTATTCAATGGAAAGAACTTAGCAGTCTAAATTTTTATTTCATGAATATTTGTGCATCTATCTAAAGTGTCACTTTCTATTGTAGGGGGGTGCTCTAGCAGGGAATGTGGCTCATATTCTGGACTCAGATCATGGAAAGGTTAGTTTGCCCCACCTTGGAAAAAATGTTCAATTTGTCAAGTGGCATCGTTGATGAAAGAATAAAGTGGCTTGAGTTACAAGGTTTAGAAGTCACACCAAAACCAATATGATACGACTTTATGTCACTTTGGAAACTACAGCGCTATACAGAAAACTAACAGTGCTCTTCCCCCTCTGGCATAGAAGGCATTACTGTACACTGCAGTGAATCAGTTGGCTGTAGGAAGCAGCTCAGCAGACGTTGGGAAGGGAACTGCGCTCAAGACCATTCAGAAGGCAGCACTCCTGTCTCCAGGTGAATGCAGTACTTTATTGATTGAGTATATTTTGTCAGTCTTGCATATGTGACCTAGAGGAGCAAAGAATGGGTTTTCATAAAATAAGACGAGGGAGTTTTAAGAAAATATTTGAAGACTTTTACATGTTATTTGGTTAATTTCTTTTGAGTGCTAATAATTAAGAGTTAGTTACTAATATTGAAGAGAACTGGAAGGGATATCTGCTTACAGGTGCTTTATTACCTGTTATACAAAATAGGAATTACGTCTTTTCAAAAGTTTTATTTTTGTTATTCATTAGTCTTTTTTTCCCTGAGGTTATGCTATAGCTGCTAAATTAATAAGTATGTATTGTTACTTTTGTATGTAGTTAGCTCCTTGAAAAGAGTGGAGGTATGCTCTGATGACAGTGGTTGTGGGCCTGTACCAGTCCATTGTGTAAAAGGTTGAAAATCACTGTTTCTATAGTGGCTGTTAGAAAGTCAGCTAGTGTGCTGGGGTGATAGTTCAGCAGGTCAGTATTTGCCTTGCACGTGGGTTACCCCAGGTTCAATCCCTGGCACCACATATGGTCCCCCGAGCTCCCACCAGAAGTGATTCCTGAATGCAGAACCAGATGTAAGTCCTGGGCACCACTGGGTGTGACCCAAACATTGAAAAGAAAAGAAGAGAAAAGGAAGAAAAGAAATTCAGTTAGCTCTTCTCAGTTCTAGCCAGCTATGTTAGATGTAGTCCATTAGTCATTGAATTAATGAGAAATTGCATGTTTGTATCAGCATGTTTTCATTACCATACCAGAGAAATGCTTTAGAGTGGGGTTTCTCTTTAATATGGCCCTCTAAGGGCCCCCAGGATATTCCAGGGGAACCACAGGTGAAAATATGTAATTGGAGGCTGTGGCATGAGACTTAGGGGCCACTGATAGGACAGAAAGGACGTAGGACGGAAACAAAATCAGAAGGTGGGGGAGTCAGAAAAAGGTTGAGAAATATCGCTTTAGAGCAGAGGAATATCTAGCAATGTAGGGTAATGAGATATAGTTATAGATCATCCTATTTTTAGCATGAAAATAGAGTATGAACCAACTTATTTTCCCAAACTGTTCAGATGTTTCTTAAATGACAACGCATTGTGTAGGTTTTGCCCAGAAACCACTGGGGAAAAATGTACAAAGAATAGGGCCAATGTTATCTTCAGAATAAGTGGTAAAGATTCTATGATTTCATCTTACAGTTTACAATAGTATGGTTGGAACTGGAGGATATCATGTTGAGTGAAGTAAGCCGGAAGAAAAAAAGACAAATACAGGATGATCTGACTTATCTGTGGTCTGTAGAATACTGGATGAGGAAATGTATTGCACTGAAAGGGGGATATCTAGATGACCCTGTCCCCATTATTTAGAGAGGAGAAGGAAAGAAATCAAGGGGGAAAGAAGAGAATGGGAAGTATTGGGTGAACAGACTCAGGACTTCGGTTACACCCATGATCTGGGTGAGTGGCATAGCCAGATAACTGGAACACAGACTCAACATCACTGAAAACATGAGATCTAAGCTGCTGTAACCACTGAAACTTTGTAATGTGCTTGTCAAGTTGACAGGGTTGGGGTAGTGGTTGGAGTGGGGGTGAATCTGGAAACACTGGTGGAGTAAAGTTGACACTTGGGGTAGGATTAGTATTGAAATATATGCCTAAAACTCAACCATTAATAACTTTGTAAATCACAGTTTTTTAATAAAAAAAAGATTCTATGATTTCAAAGAAGATTCTATAAAATATGTAAATAGACCAGTATTGGGTTGTTTATCCTTCCTTTCATTTTTTAAATAGCGCTAAAAAAGAGACTCTGAATATTTGAGTTTGTCTGTGTTATGCATTGGGAAAGTTTTAAACTGGGGGAGTTCTCAAGCATATATTAAAATTACTCTCAAGAATTCTTTTTTTTTTTTGTTTTTTTTGTTTAATTTTATTTATTTATTTTTATTTTTTTTCCCTTTATTTTATTTTATTTTTTTTAAAGTTGTAGATTTACAATTTTTTGTGCTTTGGTTTCAATTATACAATGATCAGATACCCATCCCTCCACCAGTGCCCATTTTCCACCACCATGGATACTATCCCTCCCACCCCCATCCCCCCATCCCCCCCTGTCTCTGTGGCAGGGCAATCCCCTGTGTTCTCTCTCTCCTTTTGGGTGTTGTGGTCTGCAAAAGAGGCATTGAGTGGCAAACATGTTCAGTCCATAGTCTACTTTCGACATGCATCTCCCCTCCTGGGAGGATCCTCCAAACATCCTTTATTTGGTGCTCCCTTCTCTATCTGAACTGCCCTTTCCTCTAGGATACCCGGCTGGCCTCTAAGTTATGGAGTAATCCTCCTGGTGCTGATCTCAGCTATTCTTCTCAAGAATTCTTAACAGTGATCAGGAATTACAGGCATTAGTCTTGGCTCTACAAAACTTAAGAAAGAGGAGACTACTCATGTAAGATCTTCTCTGATGACATTCTGATTTTTCTCATACTATCTGGAGAAATACTTAAAATGCTTAATACAGGAACTGAGTGGTTAAGATTAGTGCCCATGTCATATTTATCCTTGGAGTTCAATGAGAATAAATATCATTGTTGGCTGTGTAGTAGCTGCACATGTTGTTCCAATAAATCTTCAGTTGAACAAAGCATAGTTTTTGATAGATGGTAGTGATTCAAGGAATCTTTTCAGAAATATAAATGTATTCCCAAGAGTTTAAAAATTGAATGAAAGAAAATCCGCTCTGTCAGATTCTACGTGAAAGGTAATTTTTAGCAAACTATATAAAAATATTAAGGTTCGTAGCTTCACTAGACATGCATACTATACATATGCATTGCGCATAGAAATTTGGCGTCTCAACCATCATCAGTTTCCGTCCAGGGCCTGGGGAGATATAGCTCAAGGGGCAGAGCATATGCCTCATCTGCTTATGACCCTGAGTTTGCTCCCTGGTACCCCAGGACCCCTTAGTATCGGCAGGCATAGCCCTGGTGGTTCCTGAGCATCTCTAGGTCTGAGCACTGAGCTCCTAGGCACGGTGAGCTAAGCTGATAAGGAATCAGGAATTGAGCCTTATTAAAAACAGGAAAAGGAATTTAATAAGGAATTGAACCTTATTAAAAACAGAAAAAGGAGCATTTGTATTGTTCGATTCCTCCGCCCCTCTCGGAGAGCCCGGCAAGCTCCCCGTGACGTATTCGATATGCCAGACACAGTAACAACAAAGCCTCCAATGGAGACGTTACTGGGCCCGCTCGAGCAAATCGACGATCAACGGGAGGACCTTTACCTTTACCTTATATCCAGCCAGTGATTGTATTAATAATTATTTCTTATTATCTCAACTACCCATCACCGCCCCCCCCCCCCCCGGCCCCTCCATAACTTATACCAAGGCATGAAGGAAGGGTGGAAAGCAAACGAGTGCGAGGGTATGTAATTGCTCTCTATGAAATGATAAAGTAACTTTCTTGCTTGACTGATAAAATGCAACTGTTGACCTTTCTCTGTGGCTCAGACTTTAAGAACTGAGAAATTGTGTTGTTTTGCTTTTCTTATGACTAAAAAGCTTTAAAATAGGAACTGAGTCATAAAGATGAGTGTATGGACTTTGCAGTGAAAGTGACTATGATAAACTCTTCCACAGTGGCACAGTACCATAGGCAACTGGGCTTAATAAAGTATTTTTTTTATCCTCTGAAGTGTCTGAAAAAAAAAAGGGCAAATCTTTTCATTTTTGTTTTTAAATTGTTTTTTAAAGCTTTTATTTTTTATATTGAATCATCCTGAGATACTCATAAAGCGTTCATGATCGGGTTTCTATCATACAGTGTGCCAATACCCATCCCTCTACCAGTGTACATTTCCCACCACCTTTGTACCCCTTATTCCTCCCGCCACTCTAGCCCCCCAACCCCTGACCCTGCCTGCCTCTATGGCAGGCACTTTTCTTCTGTCTCTCTCTCTACTTCTGGACATTATGGTTTGCAATACAGATACCAAGAGTCCATCATGTTTGGTCCTTTCCCCAAGTTCAGCACACATCTCCCATTCAGAGTGGTCCCACCAACCATCATTGTCATAGTGGTCCCTTGTCTATCCCAACTGCCCTCTTCCCCAGCACATGGGGCAGACTTCCAACCATGAACCAGTCCTTCTATCCCTTGTTTCTACTGTTGGGATGTTAGTCTCATACTACGTTATTTTTACATCCCACAAATGAGTGCAGTCTTTCTATATTGCCTCTCTCCTGACTCATTTCACTTAGCATGATACTCTCCATGCCCATCCATTTATAAGCAGATTTTATAGCTTCATTTTTCCTAATGGCTGTATAATTCCCCATTGTGTAGATGTACCATAGTTTCTTAAACCAGCCTTCTGTTCTTGGGCACTCAGGTTGTTTCCAGATTCTGGCTATTGTGAACAGTGCTGCAATGAACATACAAGTGCAGATGTCATTTCTTCTGTGTTTTTTTTTTTCACCCTTTTTTTTTTCACACTTATTCCCAGAAGTGATACTGCTGGGTCATATGGCAGCTCAATTTCTAGTTTTTAGAGAGAAGTCCATATTGTTTTTCAAAAAGGCTGGACCAGTTAATATTTCCACCAATGAGAGTCCCTTTCTCCCTGCATCTGCACCAGCACTGGTTATTCTCTTTCTTTCTGGTGTGTGCCAGTCTCTGTGTTGTGAGGTGATATCTCATTGTTGTTTGATTTACATCTTCCGGATGGTTAATGACATGGGGCATATTTTCATGTGCCTTTGGGCCATTCATAATTTTTCATTTATTTTCCCTATTTTTTGATGGGGTTGGAGGTTTTTACTTGTAAAGTTCTACCAGTTGCCTTATATATCTTGGATATTAACCCCTTGTCTAATGGATATTAGGTAAATATTTTTTCCTATTCTATAGACTGTCTCTGTATCATGGTCACCATATATTTTTAGGTGCAGAAGCTTCTTAGCTTAATGTAGTCCCATTTGTTTATCTTTGTTTCCACTAGCTTGGTCAGTGGGGTTTCATCTTTAAAGATGCCTTTAGCTTCAAATCATGGAGGGTTCTGCCTGTGTTTTCCTCCACATACTTTATGGATTCAGGTCTGATGTTGAGGTCTTTAATCCATTTTGATCTGACTTTTGTGCCTGGCCTTAGAGAGAGGTTTGAGTTCATTTTTTGAAGTTCATTTCATTTGTATCCTTCCAGTTTTCTCAGTACCACTTATTGAAGAGGATTTCCTTGCCCCACTTCACATTTATTACTCCCTTATCAAAGATTAAGTGATAATATATTTGAGGGTCTGTTTCGGGATACTCAGCTCTATTCTCTTGGTCTGTGGGTCTGCCTTTTTTCCAATACCAGGCTGAAAAAAAAAAGGCAAATTTTGAAGGATGAATATGGTATCTTCTAACAAATACAATTTAGTTTTTCCTTTAAAAAAGAACTTTTTTTAAAAAAAATTATTTGAATTAGAGAACTGTGATTTTAAAGCTGTGAACAGTTGAGTTTTAGGCATATAATATTTCAACACCAATCCCACCACAAGTGTCAACTTCTCTCCATCAGAGTTCTATACTCCGTGTTCCCTGCACTCCACCTTCCTGCCACCTTGATACGCATGTTACGTAGTTTAGTGATTGCAGCTTAGATCTCATTTTTTTCTGTGTTGCTGGGAATGTGCTTTGGGCAGAGGACTGTACCTCTCTCCACGTCACTAGTATAACTGAAGCCCCAACTCCTGTCCACCCATCATTTCCCTTCTCATCTTCTTCCTCCCTCCTTGATTTCTTTTCTTCTTTGTCTTTCTCTTCCCTAAGTTCTGGGGTCAAGGGTGAGCCAGGCATCCCCTCTTTACTGCATTTCCTCACCCATTATTCTGTATGCAACACACGAGTGAGATCGTCCTGTTTGTCTAAGAAAGAACTTTCCTGTAGACACATCTACTTTATTATTTAGTATTGTTGTTGTCATGAGCTTGTTCTCCTTTTTGGTTGATTTTCAGCAATACGTTGGTGTTAACAAGACACCTGAATGCAATTTTCTGTGTTTAGGTGATCCCGCTGTCTGGGCTGGGCTACTAGCAGCCTGTCATGCTGATGATAAACTGGCTCTGGTAAACAGTACTCAACCAAAGAGAACGGGTCTAGCCTTGGCACTGCGGTCTGCTGTTTCTGTATCAAGTAAGTTTAGAATGTGTGCTCTGCATAATCAGAATAAGGACACTGGAAGCATATTATCAAAAAATAATGGGCACAGTTTGTCCTATCCGAATCATGGTTAACCAAGGTCTGAAGAGATGAAATTATTTTCAAGAACTGCTAACTACAACACATCAAACTTAGGACTGAGGTAGGGGCTAGGAGTAGCCCCATAGCACTTCTAAGATGCGACCCCCAAAGCAAAATAGCAACAGAAAAACTTCCATCAAGGAAAACTCCAGACAGAAGTCTCCACTGAGTGAATTTTGCAAAATAATAAATAATACCAACTTTATGCACACTTTCAGAAAATTGAAACAGTGATGACACTACCCTCTGTGAACCCAGTGCTACTCTGAGCCCCAAAGCAAAGATCTTCCAATGGAACTACAGAATCATATTACTCACAGACATGGAAGCAGAAATTCCCAAGTGCTGCCTTAGCCAGTCTAATCAAGCAACATAAAAAAAGATAATAACGTACCATGTTTAGATGCGGTTATTTTGCATATGAAAATGAGCAAAATCAACATGTTTAAGCCATGAAAGATGCCAAAAAAGAGTTATAGTTTATGGTTTTCTATGTAATATTTTAGAAAATGTAACTGACCTATTGTGATTAGCAGTGAGTAGTGGTCGCTGGAGACAGAGGGTCAGAGGATGGGCTGGTCTGTGACAGCATGTTTACAAAGGAGCTGAGGAATATTCGTTTCCTTGATTGTAGTGAAGGCTTATGGATGCTTCTGCTAAAACTCATCAAATTGTATAATTTGATTATATTTAACTTGTCCAATTATTTTTAATTTTCTAAAATAAATTGTACTTATTTTTTTCCCATAGTAGAGTCCTAAAATAGGTCACAAATATAAAAGTTCTTAACATATTTAACTCTAAAAATTGCTACCATGAAACTTGAGAGCGTAGTTCATGTCAATGATAGTGAGTGACAGGGCTTCTTAAAATTTTTACATACTCCTAGGTATATTAGTACATACAATAGGTACACAAACCAAATATTTACTTATTTTTAAAAGTGTAAAAAATTTATTTTAAAACAAAATTTTAAAAATTATATGACATGTGGGGTTACAACTCCATAGTTTAAGAAGTGAGAATCAGTGGTATTTTCCAAACATGTGATTTTTTTTTTCTTTTTCCATCTCTTTTATTCTTTCATGTATTATATATAAGAATTATATTTTAATATTCTATATACAGTTGTTCTATTTATTATGTATAATAATAAGATTCTTATATATTCTCCACAAATACTTAAATTTTTCTAAACAGTCACAATATGCTGTTTTACTAAAGTTATAGTTGTAAAGTACTTAGCAGATGATTCCTTACCTGAGAATCTATTATAAGGTGCAACAGAAAGTAACACTAACGTTTTCTGCTTACAGTTAAAAACAAAGAATTCCTTGAAAATTACCACCAAGCTCTTGAAAAGTGGTCTCTTTCCCAAACTGTCACTAGTCTGATAGACACAGGAAGAATATCTGAGGCCGAAGCCCTTTGCACAAAGGTAATATTGCAGAACTGAGCATTGAGATTCGTGGTTTCTTAAATTATTTGGAAAGTTACTTTAAAAATAGAGTGCATGCTAATGATCTAACATGTGGTGGAGGTCATGATGGAAATGGGGGTATTATCCAACATTCATTGAGTGTTTCCTGCAAGCTAGCTGCTACACTTAACCAGTTGTATATGAACTTCCCAATATTCAGTCAGAAATTGATAGAGTTGCCTTTTGTCTGATTCTAGGACTCAGAATCTTTTTTATTCTGAGTCCTAGAATCTTTTTTTGTCTGGTTCTAGGACTCAGAATCTTTTTTATTCTGAGTCCTAGATTTGGGGGCCACACCCAGCAGTACTCAGGGCTTACTCCTGACTCTGTACTCAGAGATCACTCCTGGCAGGCTGGGGGCCAAATGTAGTGCTGGGGATCAAACCCCAGTGGGCCACGAGCCACGCAAGTGCTCTTCCCACTGTACTATTGCTCTAGCCCCTCAGACTCTTGGAGATCTTTTTTTTTCCCCCCTTAATTATTTGGAGTTTTTTAAATTTGTTTTGGGGGCCACACCTGACTGTGCTGGAGGACAGTGTTTGATGCTGCGTGTTGAACCCAGGTTGCTGTGTGGAAGACAATGCCTACCTGGTCACTGCCCCTCTACCCTCTTTCAAAGTGCAAATAGGGCAGCAGCATTTTCTCGCCTAGGTTTTATGGTTGCTCCTGTCTGAATGCTATGTTTGCCAGAATCTTTGCATCTCTGCATTTCCCTTAAGTTCTTCTCTTATTAATCACCGGGGATTAGTAAGTGAATAACTAGAATTATTCTGTAATCAGTGTTACAGGGCTGAATTACAGGTTCAGTGAGTAAATTCTGACTCCTTGCTCGCACTTGGTAGGGGCTGAATAAATATTAATTGAAGAAATGAATTTGTTTTGTAACCTTACTCAAAATAATGGGTAGAGAGTTGTTTTTTTTTTTAAGAATCATTTCTGTAAACAGTGTTTTATGAACCCTGACCAGGAAGATTGTATTCCATGATTAAAAAAAAAATTAGAATGGATTTTCTGAACAGCAGAATAGTGAATTTTATTTTATTAATAAATTTTACCTAGTTCAGGATAGGTTAGTATTACACAGTGAATTGTTGTTTTTTTTTTAACACAGTGAATTGTTATTCTCTCTCTAACATAATAGATACTTTTATGAACACTTTCTTATCATCTTATTATTCTAGTGCCTTGCATTGATGTATGACTGATATATTATATATACATTCATATATGTAGAATCACCTACACATAGTACATAATTGTGCTATACATATATATATATTTTTTTTTAGGGTATGAATAATAGTTAATGGATCATTTGGCCTACTCCAATGTGAAAAAGCACGTGAATGGAGAATGAATATGCAGTGAATAACTTTTTAGAAATTAGGAAAGAAAAAAATGTATAGCTCTTTACTTCTGGTAGAATATAATTCCTTCCAGTAAGAAATGGTTTTATATTTTTTTGTTTAACTTCTTATTTCCCAACCCCAGATTCTCCTGATATCATCAGGCCACAGAGATACGTCAAATCTAAAATAAATTGTTGTGTTGCCATTTTAAAGATGGCTTAAGTGTTGCACTTGATATTTCTAAGGTGTTAAATAGTATTTACCATTGTTTATTTTTCAGTAAGATTAGATATGCTCTTTTGTTTTAACATTATTTTACATTTAACATTTAGGAGCCTATTTGATGTAGTTCTTTCTGTGTGGGGTTTAATTTTCAGAACTTAGTCAGTAACCCTGACCAGCCAGCTGTTATGTTACTTTTGAGGCAAGTTCAGTGTAAAGCACTGTTGGACTCGCAGAAGCCTCTCCCCGATGCTGTCCTTGAAGAACTGCAGAAAACAGTCCTGTTGAATTCCACCTCTGTTCCAGCCTGGCAGGTGAGTTCTCTCCTTTCTTACGTGAACCCCAAGTTAAAATACTCACAGGGGGGCCAGGATATGCTGTTTCTGTTCATCTTGACTTGAGTTCACCGTGTATCTTTCATTTTCCACGTTTAAAGCAAAGGCTCCCAAACTTACTTGGGGGTAGCACCCCCTGGAAATCTACTTTTAAGCTTACAAACAGGAAGTGCCTTGCACTAATGCCCAGGGCTATCACCAAGTGCCCAGTGGCTTCAGGGGTAGTGTTATCCACTCTGGCAAACACTGATTTAAAGGCTATTTTATTTGGCAGACTAAGGGAGTTGAATTTAGGTTCTCTGCCATATGACTCCTTACAAACTTCCTTAATTGTTGGTTTTACATTTCTTTGTTTTGTCTTGAGTCACACCTGACAGAGCTCGGGGCTTTTTCCTGGCTCTGTGCTTAGGGATCACTTTTTGGGGGTACTCAGGGGACCAGATGGGGTGCCAGGGATCAAACCCAGGATGGCTGCATCAAACGCTCTCTACCTGCTGTACTATCTGCTCTCTGTTTTACACTTTAATTTTAAAAAATGCTGAGATTGCCATGTTGCCTGAGGTTGATGTAAGATTGCTAAAGAAGAGTTAAATCTTGTTAGGGTTTTGGTAACAAAGTCCATTATTCTACTTTTCAGAGGGGACGTGCAGAATCACTTAACTGATCAATATATTCTTGGAAAGGGACTTTCTTTTTAAAATCACTTTTATGGAAGCACAGAATTTATAGCACTGTTAATTATCCCTTTCTGCATAGGTGATTCCAACAGCACACCTATCATCAGAGAGGCCACTTCCCTCCGTCAGTGTCCCAGAGCCCCCCAGCTACACCCCCTCCCATGTAAGCTCAGTTCTCTAGATAGACTCTTCAGTTCTAGTAATCTGGGTCATTTGTTGTTCCCACATTTTTTTTTTATACCTATAGGGAACGATGTCTGACAAAACCAGTTCACCATAAGCTAAATCAGAAACAGAAGTTCCCATTCTTATGGCGTGTTTCTGGACACAGAAGCATCACCAGACCCCTAATAAAGATTCAGAATGCTCTACTGTTCAACCATAATTTTATTTATTTATTCATTTCCGAGTCTCCTTTGTTCCAGTTCAGGGTCTCTGGTGTCTGGATCGGATCTGGCAGCTTTGGACACCTGGTGGGAACCAGTGCAGGGCCACATATGCCATTCCATTCACTCCAATTGGCACCATTCAGACGAGCCATTTGGCCTAATCTGCACAGCTCTGGGCTCTGGGCACAACCAGAGTGCCTGGAGAAGAGCCACAATGACAGGAAGAGCACGCCAAATCTGCAGCCGCCCTGGTCAGAATTCCATTTCCTTTTCTCACTGACATTGTATAAAGCCACATTGAGTTTGTTCAGACTTGCTTTCTGACCCAGCATACAGGTTCAGAATTGAGAATTGTTGAATATATACTTCAATTATTGTGCATCGTCCTCTAAATATTTCACGAGGTGTGGAAGCAATCGTACAGAGTGTAGGGTACTTGCCTTGCATGCATCTGACCCGGGTTCAGCCCCTGGCATCCCATATGGTCCCCTGAGCACTGCCAGGAGTGATCCCTGAGTACAGAGCTGGGAGTAAATCCTGAACTCTACCAGGTGTGACCCCAGAACAGAAAACAAACAAGTTTTTAAAAACTTAGCTTAAAAAAAAATTAACTTTATTGAAATGTATTGGGAGTGTTGGGAGTAGAATACCATTTCCAATACTAAGTGAAAATATTTGGAGTTCTTTTTTTTGCTTCTCTTTCTCCTGCTCCTCAGTGGCTGGCACACATATATCAGTCCCAAGGAATGATGAGCGCTGCAGAGATGTGTTACAGGAAGAGTCTTCAAGTCGCATCCCAGCAGGGCAGCTGGAGTGGAAAACTCTCAAGCCTGCTGAGACTCGCACTGCTTGCGTTAGAAGTGTGCATGGTAAGCTCATGTTCCCGTTCCGATCCTGAAAGTTGGTTCTTATGGTTCTTATGTTTTCTCTAAGATGAAAGCACCTTACACGGTGGTGTTTTATTGGATTTCTATTAAAAGGTAAAGGTAAAGGCCCTCCCGTTGATCGTCGATTTGCTCGAGCGGGCCCAGTAACGTCTCCATTGGAGACTTTGTTGTTACTGTGTCTGGCATATCGAACACTCTCTGTAGCTTGCCGGGCTCTCCGAGAGGGGCGGAGGAATCGAACTCGGGTCGGCCATGTTGGCCGCTTACAAGGCAAACGCCCTACCCGCTGTGCTATCGCTCCAGCCCTTCGACTCCTTCGATAGCTCAGTTGGTAGAGCGGAGGACTGTAGGTGTGAGACTAGTAGTCATCCTTAGGATTTCTATTATTTCATGAATTTCTAGGTGGCCTCTCAATAAACTTTGTATTTGGGCTCTTGATGGACATGAGAGTTACATAACTAGTCGACTCTAATAGAACATTATTAGTGTTTGGGAATTAAAAATTAAAGATTGCTGTTTTAAAAAGCTAAGGGTCTGGAGAGATTGGATAGGGCTTAAGGTGCTTGCCTGACATGCTCCTGACCCCAGTTGATCCCTAACATTGCATATGGTCCTCCACGCAGTGCTCGGAGGGATCCCTGAGCATGGGACCAGGATTAAGTCCTGAGCATTAAGCCCTGGGCATCACTTCATTCTGGGTGTGGCCTAGAATAAAGAAAGGGAGAAACAACTACAACAGTTTTAACAAAGTATCAATTTTTGTAATTTAGATTAGAATCACCTCCATGGGTAATGTGGATGTCAAGAATGAACATTTTAATAATTTCTCGATTGAATTATGCTGTTTTTTTTTAATTTTTGTTTTTAATGAAAGAACTGTGATTTACAAAGTTAATAATAGTTGAGTTTTAGGCATGTAATATTTCAACACCAGTCCCATCACCAGTGTCAACTTCAGTGTTCCCCTATTCCTGTCCCACCCCTAACTCTCCCCGTCCCCTCCTGTCAGCTTAACAGGCACCTGTCAAAGTTCCAGTGGTACAGCTTAGATCTCATGATTCCAGAACTGTTGAGTCTGCTTTGGGTATATGGCTATACCACTCTCCCACATTACCAGTATATCAGTTATACTGGTTTTGAAAAAGATACTTGGAAGAGTTTTATTCATTTGAGCTTTGCCTTATTCTCTTTATCCAAAGCATTCAAACTCCCATTATTTCCATCTTGATAAGAAGATGCCTCACAACCTCTGTTCTACGTTTTCAAATTTATTATCTATATGACTTCCTCTTCTTTGATGGCACAGATTACTTTTGCTCGTGGTGTACTCAGTGAATTGCTTTATTTTTTTTTTTTGAATAATTTAGTGTGTAAAATGGACAGTGTATTGACTCATTATATTGACTTTATAAAAATGTGCATTTTGGATGATCTATAATTGCTAAAATCCTTGTTTCAATTTAAATTTTAGCGAAAGATTTTAAATGTATTTTCTTACACAAATCTACAGAGTGTTCATCTTATTTTCAGTTACTGTTTCTTAGGCAAAGCTAATTTATGTTATTTCTGAGTTTGTACTAAAAAAATTAAGAGCATGCGGCTAAATAATATGTAGATGGATAACTTCATGTTTTCCCCACAAGGTGAAATTCATCACAAATTTTTCATTATTACTTTGATTTAATAGGAGAAGGGAGGGAGCACACCTTGCTGTGCTCAGGTGGTGCTCGAGGGACTACCTGTCGGTAATCTCTTATACAAGGGCTTGTTGGCTCCAGTCTGAGATACAACAATATTCACATACTTGCTTCTAAGTAAACTTTTTGATAATTTTTAGCATATCAAAAAATTTAAATAATACAAAATAAATTATTTGGAGCCTGCTCTTGGGACAGGCTTGGGTGGTGATTGGGAAAATTCGAAATAATGGTGGTGAGAAGGTGTAATTGTGGTGGGATTGGTATTGGTCTATTAAATGTAATAAATTATTGTCAACATCTTTATAAAAAGAAAAAAATTTTTTAAAAAGGGACTATGTGTAGTTCCAGAGATTGGACCCAGGTCAGCCACAAGCAAGGCAAGTAAGTGCCTTACACACTTTAATATCTCTCCAGTCCTGGATTTAATTTCTTATCTGATCTGTCTTTCACCCTTTTTTTATCTGTATTGGAATTTTATTATGTTTCTTCTCTCCTTAGATAATTATTGAAATGTAGGACTTCATATTTATCACTTCCAGTTAAAGAATCATATTGTGAGTTTTGTCTGTTTGGTGAACCAAATAGATTTTATTCAGATATGTAATAGTCTATTTTCTTTTAACAGTATTTTTAAAATGCTGTCTCCTCTTTGAAATCTTTCTTTATTTCAGACTCACCTTTTCTGTAGCTCCTTAAGAGAATAATTCAGATCTTTTGTAGTAATCATGCTGTAGTAATTATGTTTCCTGTGGCATTTACGTGGTGAATTGGACAAGTAGGTGTTTGATAAATGAGAGTTGAATTGCATTCTTTTGAAGTAAAACTATCAAAAACTCCGATTTAATGTTTGCCCTGCATTTTTACAGGCTAATATTTCCAGTGACCACTGGCCATCCTTAGTTCAAGAAGCTACAACTGAGGCCTTAAAACTTTGCTTTTGTCCACTGGCTGTCCTCCTACAAGCTTTATTACAATTCAATCGCAAAATGGGTGCAAGGTATGAAGAATATTTGTAGTTTTTGTCTTGGAAATTTTTTTTTTCATTTTTCATTTCTCTGTGAAACAAGACTTAGAATTTACTGAGCTAACTTTAGAGGTATCTCTTTCTTTAGTACAGGAGACAATGCATCATAATTTTTTTTTTAATATAGGAGAACAGCTATTTATTCAGCCACTGATTAGCTGATTGAATTGTGCATGAACTCCTCCTTACTTTTTTTTATATATATAATTTTATTTATTGAATCACCATGAGAGCAGTTACAAAGCTTTCGGGTTTAAGTCTCATCATACAATGTAACACCTATACCTTCACCAGTGCCCATTCTCCACCACCAAAAACCCCAGTATACCCCTATTCCACACCCTCCCCGTACCTGTGGGGCAGATGATTTCCACATTACTCTCTCTCTACTTTTTTTTTTCTTTACATTCAATATTTTGACACCAGACCCACCATTATTATTTGGGATTTTACCCCAACACTCAGGTCTGCTGAAAAGGCAACAGTAGACAATTTGTTTTCTATTGCTGGTTTTGAATAATATGTGATGTCGCGTGGCTGCAGTAGTGGCTGTACGATTTTGAAATTCTGAAATTTTAACACTTAAATCTGGAGGGATTTCTGCCAAAACCTGCTGGGTTCCGAGATTTGTTCCTGAGTCTCTGGGATCATGGCTGTTAAGCAGCTTGATCAGGAGCCAGAAAGGCCATTCATGGGTGGCGACTCGGGGTTTTGTTGGGATGGGGAGAAAAGGGCTGGCTCCACCCACATCCCATGAGGCCCCCACGTGTCTCTCACTGAGGGCCCAAACCTGACTGTCCAGTGGCCTCTGGAGGATGACGGCCACAGGACCGCCAGGGGTAACAGACCAAGGCATGAAACCTATTTCTACCTGTAGTGACCCAGCGCCAGAAGCCTACTGCAGGAACAGAACGCATTTCTGCCAAAAGCCGTTGGATTCCGAGATTCTTTTCTGAGTCTCTGGGATCATGGCCATTAAACAGTTCGATCAGGAACCAGAGAGGCCATGCCTCCAATTATATAGCTGAGCCGGAGGTGGTTTGTGGCTGTGTCTCCCACATACCTAAGTTTGGCCATTTACTTTCTTGGCAAACTTTGCGCCAAGTTTTTGGGGTCTGGTCAAAGGCACAGCAGCAATTTTGGGGTATCTGGAAGTCTGACGGTGCCCTCAGACTGCTGATGCACTCGCCTCACAGGTCTCACAAGTACAGATTGACCTGCTGGCGGCACCATACCGCCCCCCCCCCCCCCCCCCGCATCATAAAAAAATTTTAACTGAAAATTGTTATTGCATGGTTTCACATATTGTATACATGCTTGAAAACATACCAAAAGTCTAATATTACACACTTAACCTCTAGTGAACACATACTTATTTCTTTTTGTTCTACTTGTTGTCATCTTTTTATTATTTATTGATTCGTTTATTTCTGCCTGCTTTTTCAAAAGCATTAGCCCACTTGTAAGTGCTGACAAAATAAGGGTCCTTTTGACCTATTCCATTTGGAATGGGCCTTTACTTATCTGCAAAATGGAATAACAGCAACCTGCCATACAAGATTGTGGATACTCAATGTTATCATATGTATATACACTTAGCATAGTAACCTAACACAATTGGTACTTAATGATCAATGGAACCAGGACATGGTTCAAAAGGGCTGGGATGCTCTTTTTTTCATGTGGGATGCCTGGATTTGCTCCTTGGCATCACTTGGTTCCCTGTGCACCACCAGAAATGAGCCCTAAGCCCTGAACCAGAGTAACCTCACTACTGGTTGGGATCAAAACCTTCTACTTTCCCCCCTAGAAAAGTAATGTTTAATGAATGCTAATCATTATTCTTGTCTTTATTCTTATGTGAATATGTTCATAAGGCAATCTCACATTTGTAAAGGAGAGATTTGTGTGAGACTAGCATATGAATTTTCTTACGTGAATTTATGCGCCTTGAACTAAATGTAAACATCTTTTTTTTCAGAGAGACACGGCGTCTTTTGGAGAGAGTGGTGTATCAGCCAGGGTACCCCAGATCTGTTGTATCAACCGCACGTTGGTACTTACTGAGACACTTATATGCCAAAAATGACTGCGAGCTCATTGATGTAAGACATTGGTTTTACTGAAAATATTTCATCTAGGCTCTCAGGGAGTAGAGGGTTTTTTTCCCAAATTACCTCCCAAATGCACTTTTATGATTGAGTCTTTTTAAAAATGGGCACCTAAGTCTTTGGTTAAAAAATACTGCAGTGGTTATTGCTGCATCTGTTGCAAACAGAGAAACGTTTACTCACATCGCTTGAATGTCTGTAATTTTTAATCTTACCATGGGTTATTCTGAAATACCCGTTTTAACATTAGAGTAGAACCCATACTGGGGCTTTCTGGCTTAAATCATCAAGACTATTAAAGGTAAAGTTTAAAAAATGAAGTGAAGATTCAACCTCTGTTAAAGATGCCTTTATTTGGGGAAACTGTACTGATTTTTTCTTTGAATATATTCATTCGAAATCTAGAATTCCAGTGGAGAGCAAGTACTTAGGATTTAGGGCAGCATCCTTAAACCTTTTTCATACCCAAGGACCAGCACCAGTCCACAGACCAGCAGTTGTAATCAAGATTGTAGACCAGTGACTTTTAACCTTTATGCTCCAGCAACCAGCGCTAATTTCTAGACCAGTGGTTAAAGACCACTGTTTTGGGGCATTGGTTTAAAACCTTAGGATCGGGGAGCCAGAGAGATAGACAGTGGGTAGGTTACTTACCTTGCATGGGGCTGACCCAATACCCATATCACCCTGGGGCATCTTCAGGAGTGATCCCTGGGCAGAGAGCCAGAATTAAGCCCTATACATCACTGGGTGTGACTCATAAACCAAAATATCAAAAAAAAGCCTTGAAATCATGATCAGTTGTAAAGAATCTTGTGGGAAATTGGATGTGGAACATAGCTGCAAATGGTTTTACTTTTTTCTGTAATAAATCAACAGATTTATGGATATCTTTATATGTTTCTATCAATACATTTTTATAAACTCTTTGTTTGTGTTTGTGCTGGAACTCTGATCTAAAGCATTGGCCAGTGACATTTTGAACTGTGTGAATGGATGATTCTGTTTGGCAGTGTCGAGCAACTTTTATGTTCCCCCCACCCCGCCCTGCCCGCCCTGTTATTTTGGTTCAGGAAGGAATGACAGACGCACTCCCTTGCCTTCATTTTATTTTATAAACAGTTTTTGGTTTAATGTTAGAATGGGATGGGATAAAGAGTTTCAATAAAGGCAAATCTGAATAAAAATGGCCAAGCATTATACAGAGGATGGAAGGTGATGCTGATGCTGGCCTTTGATGAGCATTCTGCTCCCATTTCTCTTTGCCTGAGCAGGGAATGTGTGGTCCATCCTTTACAATTCGAACTTCTCCTTGTAACTTAGGCTTTCTCACTGTCCTCCCATTGTTCGTCGATTTGCTTGAGTGGGCCCAGTAACATCTCCATTGTAACAATTGTTCCTGTGTTTGGCATATCGAATATATCACAGGTAGCTTACCAGGCTCTGCCGTGCGGGCGAGTTACTCTCGGTAGCTTGCCGGGCTCTCTGAGAGGGGCGGAGGAATCAAACTCTGGTCGGCTATGTTGGCCGCTTGCAAGGCAAATGCCCTACCGCTGTGCTATCACTTCAGCCCAGGCTTTCTCAGTATCGTCTTATTAAGATTTGTGACTGGCTGTTTCATTGATGGAAGAGAGGTGCAGGTTGCTCTCCTGGGCATTGTTTGAGGTTTGGCAGCATCTCTGGCTTCTGACTATTAGATGCCCATAGCAAAGTCATCCTCTATCCATATGTGACAACCACAACTGTCTCTTGACAAATGATGCTCTGAGGTGTAATGGCTCCTAGATGAGAGCCACTGATGAAACCTTTAGGATATACATCTATACCTCCATGTGCTATGGGAAATATGAAAAGATAAAGGCTCTAGGTGCTGGTATGATATTTCTTCTACCTAGAAATCATGGTTTTCTCTTCATCATGGGGCTTCAGTTGAAGCAAATAGTAGATAGTATAATGGATTAGAGGTAGTAGAATTTATTGGGATATTTACATTATCTTTGGAAAGATTGTTTTCTTTTCTGTAGAATGTATGTACCAGTTTCTAGTTTATATCTTATGAGGTGGCTGTTTTCTCAATGTTTGAACATAAGTATGTGTGTATATAGATATGAATGTACATATTGTATGTAAAATTTTTTTTCTAGAAGGTACTGTCATGGAGCTAGGGATATGACTCAGTGGTAAAGTATTTGCCTTGCATGCACGAGATCTGGGTTTGATCTCCAACACCATAGATAGCTAAGAAAACAATACAGAAAGAAATCAGGAGTACAGTGTATAAAAAAAGTATTTGGATTAAGATTCTCATAACTTTAACCAACGACTATATGCAAGCACATTAAAAATTGATGAAAGCTTTTTTAATGCCTATAGCACATGAAATATTATTTGCCTTTAAGTGAAGGGCTGGAGCTATAGCACAGCGGTAGGGCGTTTGCCTTGCACACAGCCAACATGGCCGACCCAAGTTCGATTCCTCCGCCCCTCTCGGAGAGCCCGGCAAGCTACCGAGAGTATCTCGCCCACATGGCAGAGTCTGGCAAGTTCCCCGTGACGTATTCGATATGCCAAACGCAGTAACAACAAAGTCTCACGATGGAGATGTTACTGGGCCCTCTCAAGGAAATCGATGACCAACGGGAGGACAGTGCTACTGTGCAGTGCTAAGTGAAGCATCCAGTATTAAAGTAATATAACTGAAAACAGGGCCTGGAGAAACATGTAATCTGGGAGCCCAGCTGCAGTTTGTTCCAGACTGTCTTTTCATGGGTGGTTCTACAGTAATAGCCTTGGAAGATGTAGATAATTGTCTCCAAGAGCAAAGGGTAGGCCTGTTTGCAGCTGTTTATAAGGATCCAGGTGTGGGCTTGTGAGAAATGTTCTGCTTCATGGTGGTGCCCCTCTGGGAGACTTGGTGGTAGGGAACAGAAGGAAGTATGTTGCTGTTCGTATGTTGCTTGCTGTATTGTGAGTAGTTCAAGGCCTTTGTCTTTGGCCCAGGAGTTCTGTCTTCCAGCAGTATCCAAGGAAACTAGCAAGCTAAACGTACTAGCTTGCAAATCCAGCAGAATTTCAGACCCAAGAACAATGCTTGAAAATGAACAGTTGGAAAAGGTTTGAACGGTCAGGTTACTGTGACCCATGGAATTAAATGTTCATAGTGATGAACTAAAATTAAGTCTAGCTAATGGGATTAATGAAAATCAAGGAACAGTTCTCGGTAGAATCTTGAACCCAAGCTGTGTTTTTTGTTTTGTTTTGTTTGAGAGTTTTGTTTTATTTTTTTTGGAAAGTAGAAAAGCTTCTTTATTGGAAAGTAGAAGAATGAGGAAAAGTAACTCCCCTTGTGGGGAAGAACTTAGTGTAGACTAAGTTCAAGCTCTGGTTTTTAAGGTCAACAGTTTCCTGTGGATAAGTCAGTGCATAAAAATGGTCCTTTTGGGCAAAGTGTTTTGAGGTTAAAGTAATGTAAACGTAGCTGCCAAGCAAAGATCTTTAATACCGTGCTTACAGTGATAGACAGTGGAAATGCTGGTATTTACACAAATCGATGATTTGAAATAAATGGTGCTTATCTTTTAGTTTTTAATTAAACTATTTCATTTTGTTAGTTTTAATTGAACTATTTATTTCAGCAAAAGTGACTGAAATATTGCACATTTTTTTCTTGTGGCATTTGCTGTTGTTTGTTAACCTTTGGCATACTTGGCCTTCTACAAATCTATCTAGATAAATACACACACACACACACACACACACACACACACACATCTCTAGTGTCAATAAAAAATACTGACATTCCTGTATATGCTTTCCCACAGGTGCTGATAAACAATGCCAAAACTCACGGAGATACAAGAGCTTTGGAACTGAATCAGAAATTGGCCTCACAGCAATAATTTGTTATTTTATAGTATAGCTTTAAGAAAGAATGAAACAAGCAATCAGACCTTTCTCTAAAGCAGCATTTAAACAAACAAACAAACTATAGTTAGGATCATCTTTTTATTTTTTTAACTCTGAAGACATTAAACTAGGGATATAATCAAACTTTAATCTGTAAAACATCTTTGATTCTTAGGAAGCCCATGATGAAGAAAAAATATGATTTCCTTAGTTGCTCATCAGTTATTTACAAACTATTTTCTCCATCTTATGTGGTGCACAGTAGGGTCTCTTTTTTTGTAATGTCTTACAATAAAGCCTTAATTCTATTTTCTAAATAATATGCAGGAGCAGATTAGCACAATGCAGAATTTCATGATAAAAGACTCAAAGATTCAATTCCTTCTGTAAGTTTTGATGCTCAGCATGTCAATACATCATACAATTCATATGTCTTTTATTGTTCAATCTCAGATTCTGTTGAAGAAGCTTAATGTAAATGTTGTTGAGTCTTATACTGCTAATGGATATGTTTATGTTATTCAGAACACTCAGGTATATGGCTCCATTTAAAAAATTAATGGAAAAATATCTTGGAAATAATGCTGACAACATTTAAGTGATCATGCAACTCCTTGAATTATGATGATTTGAACTTTTTGTTTGAAGTTTAAAAAAGTGTCTTGTCTTCTTTAGAGTATCAATATTGAATATAAATTCTAAATTTTAAAACTTAATATATTTGAATATATTTGAAGAACTCCTTGTTGCTTCCTTTGCATTTGTGGTTTTAAAAAACATTCAAAAATATTTCCAGCCACTTACATGTATTATTTATTGTACAAAACTGTGTGGTTGTATATTTTATGTATGTGTTTTTTCTAAACCACCCATTGACTTAGTTAACATTATAAACATCAGCTTTATAATGTTGCTTTGTGAAGTCATGTAAATTAATAATATTCCGTAATTATATAGTTCAGAAGTTAATCTACGAGACTAACTCTACTTTGACAAGTTCCCAAATTTGGCTGTGATCATCATTCAGACTTACGCACCCGAAACTTTCAGAATGGGGACTGGGACTCCGCCTTTTCAAGATATGCCTGAGAGATTCCACTGTTTGGTCCGGGTTTTGAACTACTGGGATAATGTGTCCATGATTCTTCCCTTGACTTCTTTAACAAGACCAAGTACTTGCCAGTCTGCCCATTTCTTTCCTGTTCTCACAACTGTCATGCTAAATTAGTGATTTTGGGGATCTGACCCATGGATTCAGCAGGAGATGCTCCATCAGACATTGTCGGTCCAACCCTGATGCCCTTCCCTTCCATCTTCCTCAGCCTTCGACACCAGAGTGGGCTGGGGCCTGACACTTAAAGCTAAAGATTCTGCTTTTGTTCTCCATTTAGTTTTTGGGGGTGTTAGCTGTCCCACAAGGTTTCTTTCACCTATAATCTTAGCCTTTTTTCGAGGCCCGTCATCAAGAGGTAACTAACTTTGCTACTGGTTCTGACCTCCAGGGAGCTGAGAGCCAGGCTTTCTAGAAAGGAACATAGGAAAACACCCAGAGCTAAACCATCTCAGGTAAATCTTTTTCTTATGGATATACACATGCTCTCTTCTGTTTATTGCCTTTTCTTGAGATTGCTGCCCAGTTCCTGTGAGATTCAAATCATTCCTAAACCAGTTTTTACATTGTTTACTTCATGCCTGACATTAAGTGTTTTAACCAGTCTCATTTACTCCTAGTTAGGAAAGGAGAGTGGTGCTAACTAGTGTGCTTAAAACAAACAAAATTCTAAGTGTGATTGGAGTCTAGGAACTTCAAAAATGGCTGACATTTAGGGACCAGAGGGATAGTACAGTTGGTAGGGCACTTGCCTTGCATACAGCTGAATAGGGTTTGATCCCCAGAATTCCATATGGTCCCCCAAGTCCGCCAGGACTGATTCCTGAGCACAGAGTCAGGAATAAGCCCTGAATGCCTTTGGGTGTGGGCCTCAAAACAAAAAAACAAAGCAGCCCCTCCCCCCCAAAGAAAAAGTGGCTAAAATTTCTCTTCAGGTAAGTTTAATTTGAGAAATTGCATTAAAAGTTATTTCTTGAAATACTTAGTATTTATATCAAGTGATTTATTAATTGGATTTAAAAAATCTAGTATATTTTCTGTCAAATTTTATTCATTATTTTATTTTTATTGATTAATTAGATGTTTGGGGGCTAATTTCTAGCCAAGATTCAAAAAAAAAAAAACTTCACTTGAAATGCTGTGATGTTTTTCCACCTTAGAAAATAAGGTGACTAATGTCCTTTAATTTGGGAATCTACAGAGCGTACGATTAGACAAGATTACCCAGGTTGTGCGTTAAGTGAATAAAGAGTTGTATTTCTCTAACAATATGAAACATTAATTAGGTGAATATTTACTGACACATATGTGTGAAGTGAGTATTTACTGACACATTATATGATGTGAAAGGATGTTTGGATGCTCCATAGAAACTTACATTTAGGGACTTTTTGTTTTTGATTTTTGGGTCATACCCAGTGATGTTCAGGGCTTACTCCGGGCTCTGTACTCATGGATCACTCCTGGAAGAGCTTGGGGGAACATTTGTGGTGACTTGATGGAACCCAGACTGGTCATGTGCAAGGCAAGTGCCCTACCCACCGTACCATTGCCCCAACCCCTGTACCTAGGAAATTTTTATAGAAACACAAAAAAGAAGCACAATTTATGTGGGAATCGCTGTGGTCTGCAGTTGCATTTCAGTATTTGCCTGAAATAGGAAGAAACTTCACTTGGCAGAATTGGCCCAGCACTGCTGCCGGCCTCTCTAGTCTCCCACTTTGGCTGGCAGACAGCAGCTCCGACTGGCCACTGCTGCAGGAGGACACAGATCTGTGCTGCTATGTCTAAGTTGACCTTCAGTTTGAAGAACCGGGTTTTGAGGTTTGACTTCTTTTCCCCCTAGAAATAAATATTTGTGTGTCTGATACAGGTAAAGTAATCTTCCCACATGTGCGTTTTTCTTAAGGCTTTTTTATACAGAGGAAATAAAAAGTCAGAAAATTTCCTCTTGGCACCATTTTGGCGAAGAGGAGGCATCAGTTCAGATCTAAGGCACCACAAATCCAGCCACGGTATCTGGCTGTTCCTGTGTTTCATACATAGAGTTTGGGGGTTGGCTGGATAGAATGTGAACTTTTAGAAAGGCTACATTTTAAATTATGGTCTGTACCACCCTCCAAATCCCCCCACCCCCACACAACTATATTTGTAAATGAATGCTGAATTATCTGTAGCCTTGAAACGATTTGGAGAAATTTAAGAAGAGGATCTCTTAAAGTGTTAGTATGAAACAACAGGATATTTTGTTTTTTCGAGTTGAAATTGAAAATACTTGTTTCAATGCAGAGAAATGATGCCACAAGAGAGATTATTAATATTGGAGCAACCCTGGGAAGAAGGGGGTTGAGTACTGTAACACTGAACTATTAAAATAATTTGCATGGTCTCTTCTGAGTTTAAATCACTAAAACAGTTTTTTTTTTGTAATTCATTATTTTCCACATACTTCCCCTTGTATATAATGCTTGTTATATAGCTGTTTCCAATTATTTTAATTTTTCTGGAGAGAAGACAGGTGGTGAAAACGAATACTTGTTAGTTCTGCTGTGGTGGGCAGAATTATGGCTCTTAAGGTGTCTCTGCCCTGAGCTCCAGAACTTGTGAATTCATGAATTCATAGCAGAGGAGACCATGGCAGATGTGAGACTGAGGAGTAGACCCTGAAATAGGAGAGGATTCTCTATTATCCAAGTGGACTCAGTTTAATCACAAGAGTCCTTAAAAATGAAGAACTTTGGAGAGAGAGAAAAGTGACGGCAGAAGGTTGGTGAGATTCAACATTGCTGGCTTTGAAGATGGAGAAAGAGGCCACCAGTCAGGATATAAGGGCAGCCACTAGAAGCTGGAAAAGGCAAGGGCAATGTCCTTTGGAGCTCTCTGAAGGAACGGTGCCATTCAGCTAACTTGATTATAAGCGTGGTCAAACTCGTACTGGTGTTTTGATTTAACAAAACTATGAGAATAAATTTGTGTCATTTTTTTAACTCACCGTTTCTGGAAATTGTTTTGACACGAATGGAATAGTGTGGTGTTGTTCATTATGGGTATTGCTAAAAGAACATGCAGTCCATTGATTGTGAATTTCCCAGATCACCAAAACTGGGGTCAACCAAGCAGTTGCAAAAAAAAAAAGGTCATCAAGTAAAGATAATGGGTCCATCAGAATGATTATTGTGAAAATATAAATGTTAGAATACTTGATTCTCTGTGGCTGGTTCATTTCTGTCACCATATTTCAACTCTTCTCACTCAGCCTGCTGCTCACAGCACAGTATCATCAATAGTTGAGTGTATACTTCATTCTTTTTGAAAGAAACTCATTAAAGTATGCTCACAAAATAAGTGTTTTAAGTTTGAGTGTCAGTAGCAAATGGACATAAGACTGGGTAACTCTTAATCTCTCAGACTTTCATCTTTTCTGTGAATTGGCAAACTTAAGCCCTTGAACTAGTTTTCATGTTGGCTCAACCCCAACTCAACAAGGGACAAGATGTGGTGCCAGGGACTGAACCTTGGTCGGCTGCCTGCAAGGCAAGCACCTTCTCACCGTATGTCTCTCTGATCCTTGACATTAGATTTTTTCTTTTCTTTTCTTTTCCTTTCTTTTTTAATGTAGGAGTACTGCTATTTAATCAGCCGTTGATTAAGCTGATTGAATTGGGCACAAACTACACATTACTTTTTTTTAATTATTTTCATTGAATATCTGTGATATAGACCATTACAAAGCTATTCATAATTGGGTTTCAGTCATATAATGATACAGCACCCATCCCTCCATCAGTTTCCCACTGCCAATGTTCCCTGTTTCCCTACCACCATCCCCCAACACATCCCCACCCCCACCCCTAGCCTCCCTCTATGGGAGGCACTTTGCTTCTTTGACCTAGATTCCTTATGGTGGCATTTTTTTGTTCTGAGATCTTTAAAGTTCCAAGTCAGAAGTGAACCAAAGAAGCTGATTGGCCGAGCATCTATAAAACAAATACTTCAAATGATTCGGTAAAAAATGAAAAAAATATACGGAAAAAACCCACAGCAACTTTGATTTATATAGAATAGCACCCATGCATGCCTACTTAAGGACTTTCTTAAAATAGACTACCAAAGAGACCTATATTGTGGAAAGGTAGGTAGGCATAAAATTCTAAAAAGAAAAGAGTTCCACTCAATTATTTAATGGAAGCCAACATTTTTGAATAGTTGAATAGAATGACATGTTCCTGCTACATGATAAGAGGGTTTTTCACAGAAAAAGATCATTCCCCTTAATAAACATGTTTTGATATCTGACTCCCAGGTGGTTTATATAAGTTGATTTCTAGATCCTGCATTGTAAATACCATGTCCTCCCCATTAATAATACAAAATATAGGTAGAAAAATGCTGCATATTTTATTAATAGACGATCAAGATTTGTTTTAAGCCTATATATTAGTGATTTTAAGAAGTTAACTCTGTTCAATAAAAATAGTGATTTTGGTGGGGGCCTGAGTGATACTGGTAGATACAAGTGGAGTACTTGCCTTGCATGTGGGTGGTCTGGGTTTGATCCTTGACACCCCATATGGTACTCTGAGCCAACCAGGACTGATCCCTGAGTGTTAAGAATAAGCCCTGAGCACCACTGTGCGTGGTCCCAAGGGGGAAAAAAAAGTGATTTTGGTGGATCAATTCTGAAGCTTTTGTGGGGAAGGAGGGGTTGGTTCATATCCATCAGTGCTCAGGGTTTACTCCTCACTCTGCTCAGGGATCACTCCTGGTGGTGCTCAGGGGACCAGAAAGGGTGCCAGGAATGGAACGCACACTGGTCACGTGCCAGGCTAGTGCCCTACCCACTGTACTATCACTCTGACCCTGAGGGGTTTTGCTTTGTTTTGTTTGGGTCTTATTGTTTCATGACTACAAAAAGCGCTTTTTAAAAAAATTTTCCTTTCGGTTTGCAAGGGGTTTGTGGCTTGGCAGCGAGTAGCAGCGTGATTTCCGAGCTGCTGTGTGGCTGCAGGGCCCAACAGAAGCCCTGACACCACGGAGATGCTGGAGCCTGCTTAGAGGCCACTGCTGGGCTCCAAGGGCTAGTGGTTGCACTTGAGGATAAAACTTTCCATGGGAACAATGTGCAGAGTTGCTGCGCTATGTGGGAGCCTGATTCCTGAGGAGTTTCACCTGCTCTTCTGCGAGGCTTTCTCTGGAGTGTGGACACACC